TGGCTGGCTGCTTCAGTACTCTTTCATCAGCAGGCCAGCCATCTTATATATACATGTGTAGGAGCCAGGCTGGCTGGATTGTATGTCTTCATTTATAATCAGCCAGTGAGGGTCTGCAGTAGGTAGAACCATGGCTGGCTGTTTCAGTACTCTTTCATCAGCAGGCCAGCCATCTGTATATGCATGTGTAGAAGCCAGGCTGGCTGGATTGTAGGTCTTCAATTATAACTGGCCAGTAAATATCTGAGGTAGGTAGAACCATGGCTGGCCATCCTGTATATACATGGGAGACAAGCTGGCTGAATTGTATGTCTTCAATTATAACTAGCCAGTAAACATCTGAGGTAGGTAGAACCATGGCTGGCTGTTTCAATACTCTTTGATTAGCAGATCAGCTGTCTTGTAGGTCACTTATATATGTTTATGTTTCTATGGTCTGACAACAGATCTACATGGCTAAAACAGCTGTTAGCCAAATCCTAGAGGCAGGATGTTCAGTTTCAACAACTTCAGATTTTTTCAAGAGCCTATTTATCACCTTTGAAGGCATACAGTTACCGAGTCACTGAGTTCTGACAACTAAAGAGTAAGGTTTCTATGACAGCAATTGTGCAGTGAACTGGCCGGCTCTTTTCCATTAAACTGGAACAAATGCTGGCTGGCTGCTCCTCAAAGATATTCAAGTCAGCCAGCTACAGTCCTCCTGACTAGAACAGCTGTGGCTTGTAAATCTCCATATTGGCCAGCTCTCACATGAGACAGCTAAAACAGCTGTTGGCCAGTGTATAGTTAGGTAACCTATGTCATTAATATCTTATTGCCATATAATTCTTTCATCCAAAGTACATGACATCAAGCTACAAATCCACACTCATGGAAAGTCTGCTGTGCATCCTCTGCAAACCTTTCCCACATTAAGACTTGTGTATACACATAGGCTTGATGACCAGGTCCAGTAGCTTGAGACCACCTTTTATACCATTCTTCCCAGTGAAACTTAAACTAGTTAATAATGCACCCCATTTCATGTCTAACTATGCACAACTCCTCTTTCCATCTACTAACTCTAGTCTTGGCCTTCAACTAGTTCACCCTATAGACTATATTAATAAGTCAGTTTGAAGTAACATGATACAGATGAAACTTGTTCCTTACATTCATTCAACCAATCATCATCATTACTGATGTTATTCACCTGCCAAAACCAAGCAAGCTTATCTGACCCTTGTCCAAATCAGTTTTCTTCAGTTACCTCTTTGTTGACACTAAGTTCTGTGGATAATATTTCTTGATACATATTTCCAAGGGTGTCTTTGTTCATGCCTAGACATTCCATTGCTGACCTTGCCCTTTGATATCTTCGTACATACTTATCAATTTTGAGGTGACAACAGCTTGCATCTTGCTTGGACCGGGTTCCAGCCCAGGTGGAATCTGCACTCCAAAAATGCTGGCAATAAATAATAGCCTTGTGATCCAATGCCATATGTAGGATTTCCAGGCAATCATTTGCTTGACCGATTCGAAGCTCCAACTCTTTGGATTGCAAGGCATGTAGCCCAAGGGATGAGGCCTCACTGAGGAATACTGAAGATGGCATCCATATACTCATCTCTTCTGCAAGAATTTCTTCTTCAACATCCTTCAAAATTTCATCATCCAAGACCTCCCAGTCATTTCCATCATTGTGGATACCACAGAATCTAGGATCATCGGAGTGAACTGTTCCAGCATGAAGATCCATACCTGCTGTCATGGAATCAGCAGCTTCATGAAATTTGGCAATTCTAGCTGCCAATCTCTGGCATTTTTCTTCTATAGCAGCTTTTTGACCAGGACTTGCATCATTAGGAAGTAGTCGTATATCTGCTCTTAATGCATCCCTAAAATAGATTAACATATGACATCTTGTTGGCATAATTAAATCATTATGTACTGTGAATCCTCAAGGTTAATGCCGTCAGAACAAAAACATCAGATGTGTCTCCACAATAGAATTTTACTGACATTTGTTGATCTGCAGCTGATAGATATCAAGATTCTCCCCCCTCTCATCCATAGCCTTTTTTTCATCACTTTCCCACATCGAAATTTTGACACAGTCCAAAGAACGAGTGAGCTCATCAAAAGGAGTTTGAGTCTCATCAAGACCTTTGGCAGCTTGTTTGTACTTTCTCAAGAGAGTTTTAACTGGAAGGTTGAGTGTGAAGTATAATTTTGAATATGTAATACTGTAGTACATACCTATTCCTGTCAATTTTTTCTAGTTTGAGTCTCGCATATGATCATCAAGCACTTCTTGGCAATGAGCTTGACTCATTGACCGAGCAGTTGGAGAGATCTTATTAAATGGAGCCCATAGAGTCTCCAAATCTCCCCATTGATCTGCCCAGCCCCTTGAATAAAGTTGAGGCTGTACCTCGCAAAGCAAGCTAATTTGTGAGCACTGAGATGGAATTTTCCAACTGCCACCATGACCTTCATCGTGTTGGAATGGACATTCGGCCTTGGCTGTCAACCACTCTCTGTAGAAAATTAATGCTCCACTGATACCTCACATCATAAATGATAAGAAAGGAATCTATACCCATGGAGTGATAATTCATAGCATTGCATATTGAGTAGTCCATGTTCATCTGTCTAAAAATAACGTCAACTCTTCTGAACACACTATATTTGAACATCCTGAACAGACCTTTCACCCTTTTGGAAATCAACAACGGAGTGAGGAACAAAGCATCCATGTCGGGCACAAGCAGTTGCACCCACTCCTGTGGCTCGTAGATTGCTTCTGTTAATGTTGGCTGCATTGACTGCTCGGTGGTTACTACAAGAAGAACACTTCTCAAGTTGTCAGATAATGCAGAAAGAATATTTGTACAAGTCACCCACCTCCTTACTCTCTGTAGCCAATGATAGGTGGGTCTGGTATTCTTGCTCAGTTACCATATACCCAAGCCCATCTGAGAGACTGATATCCAGGAGTGGTTGTTTCATAATCATATGTTGTGTGGTAAAGTTTCCATCAACAACATATCTTTGTGAAATCAGCCAACTGTGTCAAGGGTATATAAGTATAAGATCTATCTCAAAGATAATGTCCAAGTGAAGATAAAATGGCAGACTGCCAGCCAGCTCATCTCTAGCACCAGAAGAAGTAAGACCAGCCAGCTGGATCCTATATCCTGATAGGAAGAGCTGTAACTAATCTGAGCCCACCGGCCACCATCAGTCTGCACCATGTAGATCCAGGGCTGGCTGTCATGGCTATAGCAAATCTGAGTCCACTGGTCACCATCAGTTTGCATCCTGTAGATCCAGGGCTGGCCGTCATGGCTATAGCAAATCTGAGCCCACCAGCCACCATCAGTCTGCACCCTGGATCCAGGGCTGGCTATTATAGCCATAGCAAATCTGAATCAGCTGGCTGCCATGATTCTTCATCCTATAGATACAGAGCTGGCCAGCTATTTTATACTGTCAAGCAAGGCTAACCGACACGTATCAAATTTGACCATAGCTAGCCCTTCATAAGCAACAGTAAAGCAAATGACTTGCCTTTCATACTTGTCTCTCCAATCAGTGGCAAGGTTGATGCCTGGCTGAGGACAAGCAGGACAGAATAAAGCAAGATCACTCTTGTAGGGAATCTTCTCCTTGTTGTGTCCAAAACCAAACCATTTTCGACTCATCAAGTCTCTCCACAAACGAGACACTCTCATGAGCTCTCTATATCTATTCTGCTGTATTGAAAGATTTACAGTAAGTCTAAGAAACATAGAATGACAAGTTGCTCTCACAGGTACTTTATCCAGGAATGAGTTATTGGCCATCCTCCGAAGTTTCTCAAAGAAGCTTGAGGCAGAAGTCTTGCACTCTAGTGCATCAATGAGAAAAAGATCTAAGACTTCAAATGTGAAGGCTGTTCTTGGGTGTGTGGTACTTGCAGGAAATAACCCTGCCTTGAGCAATTGTAGGTGTTGGCTTCCACTAGACCCAGGACAACTGCACCAAACAACATTGTGGAAAATACTCCTGTTGAATGTACAATGGTCAATGTGGTTGTGCGAGGTGCAGCGGTATTCGTAGTCTCCATTGGAACAAATTCATCATTGGCATCCATATCCTCCCATGCTTGTGAGTCGTCTGAAAATGGGCAACATTGCCCTCCATGACCCATATGCCAGACCAAACCCAGCTCTGCCAATGACTTATCCTCATAGCATTTTCCGGTCCATTCTTGAACCTTATGGAATGGCAAAAATTGGTGGGCTTTGATGATGCAATGACAACACCATATAATCTCCACTACAAGTTGCATAACAGAAATTTCCTTGAGCTGTCTGGCAAGACTGGCACTTGGAGACTTCTTGTGGTTTCTCTAATTTGAGGAGGATCTGAAGATATAAGTCGCAGAAAATGAGATATTCCTGGATAAAGTCATTCTGAGTCTGATTGCAGCATGTCATCATGGTTTGTTGTTGAATATTGCAATGCAACAATTCACTTGCCTTGGTTTGTCTCTGACTGTTAACTGTAAACTCAGGCCAGTCCTCAACAACTTCTCTATCACATTCCTCTTGAACATATTCCAGACCTTGAGCATCATGCTTAATTCATTTATGTGGGCTGGAGAAAGCAGATGGGGCCTGGTGAATTTCATATGCAGCATCGGCACAAGATTCTACCCAGGTGGGCTTTCTTTTCTTGGAGTAGTTCGTTTGTGAGATACATAATCAACATCAAGGTCCTTTCCTTGAGATAATTGACCTCTTCCCTGAAAGTTGAATGTTGTCAACTTTAGGCGAGTTTTTTCCGAGAAGATATCCTGCAACTTTGGGGTGCAAAGAGAAATGTGGCTACTGCTGGTAAGCCGAATAATTTTCACAGATCACTAAACCGCCAGTATTTCGTATCTCCTTCCCACCCTCCCTCCCCAAACATCTAGACTCCTGAACCTATACTAACCTAACCTGTTAACTAACTAAACTACCTGACTATCTTTTGATTTGCCTTCCCACCATCTGCAAGAAAAAATCTTGTGTTGGAAATGATGGTCTGGGCACCCCCACTCTAGAATGAACTTTATCTTTCATAAAATGGGCAATGACAAGCCTTTCTCCTTTAATCCATAACCCAACAGAATGTTCCAGGACCTTTCCTGAAATGAAGACCATGGTCCCAGGGTAATAATCCAGCTCTGCTCCAACATCTGGTAATGTCAACTTGGCCTCATGTTCACTACCTAAACTCACTAAAAGATCCATGAGTGAAGGTGCCCTCACCAGGGTCTCGGTGAGAGAAGATGACACGGTTGGCAATTACTTCCAATCCTGAAAAATTGAGGGCCATTAAGACACAGGTGGTGCATCTGGTTTATTCGCCCCCCTGACTTGCTGTGCAACTTCCGAAATAGCAGCCAAACCTGCCTCAAATAGACCAAGAGCCAAGGCGCGGTAATTGCATTCCAAAAATATTCAGTAGTTGATAAGACATCGAGCCACTCTTGGACTTCTGCAGATGAGTACGAAGCAGATGTAACAAGCGGGTCTTGAATTCTCTGCAAAAATGAGCAAAAACCACCTAGATGTTGTAGTAAATTAGACAAATACCTCTTGTCTTTTGCATAAAATATGCTGGAGATACCATAACTCTGCCAGTTCCAAAAACTCCGCCTCCCTCGGGCGAAACAAAGCCTTGAGATTGCCAAGATGATTTCAAGGCTAAATGGCTTCTAAGAAGGAGATTTTGTAAACCCACAGTGGCTGTGTTGACATAGTCCTACAAAATGAATTGACGTTATCCCTGTCAAATAGTGGACTTACCACTGGAGACCTTGACAAGATATCAGGCAAGTAAACCGTCAATATTTTACCATGTTTGTCCACAATGGTTGCTGGTGCAGACAATTTTCCTATTGCTGCTGCTGGGAAGTATTTCTGTAGACGTTCAGTTTCTGGGGAGGGTGAACCATCTGCCTTGGGTGGAGAAGACTTTGCCATTTCGGCATATCTTTCAACATCCCATCTACATAATCTGCCACTCAAATTAAACCTTGGTATAGAGTTATCACATAAGTAGCTTACAAGGGTTTACCATTGCATAAGCAATTGTCAGCGCTGCTCAATTTATATTCAGATATTAAGGAATGACAGTTTGATATGACATCATCCGTTGCCAAGCAACTGTTCAGCTGCACTCCAATTCTCAACCTAAATATGTCAGTGAGTTGAAACTTAATGTTAAATAATGAACTGTCATACCTTGCCTTGTGTAGAAGGTGAGATGTTTACTTTCCCCTCCTTGAAAACACTTGTGTTTGCAGAATCTCTCATAATTTGAGTGATTTGGCCAGTCAGCATGGCCCTTAGCTTTGTTGTTTCACTTTTTGTGTCGTTCATGTGAGGGAAAAAATATGAACTGAATCGCTGCCTGAATATAAAAATTGTTGTCAGAATTCCCGCGCTGTCAATTAGTCCCATTTCAGTTACAAGCGGCCAATTTAACTAAAAATGGTATAATCAACCAACTGACGGCACATAGATTACACCATGTCATAAGTCGGGTCAACCATGTTTCAGTGTGTCAAGTGAGTTCGAGTCAATTAGACGCATGATAGCATTTGATGTTGGTGTTTTACTATTATCCATTAAACTTATCTTACAAGACCTTACACTTGAATTACAACATGCCAAATCAGAGGAGTGTTCTATACCTTGAGATTTGAAACTAACGGCTCTAGAACCACATGAACCCAAGGCTTGCCATAGTGTATTTTGGGCGTCGGAAGGACACATCTGTTGATCGAGATAGGGTCTGGAGATACAGTGATCCCCACGTCTTGCAAGAATGCAAGTTCAGTTCTGATAGTCTAAAGCCTGTACAATCAGTTAATCATATCAGTGCTGGCATTAACAATTCAATTACAGGCGACCAACGCTCTGTAAATGAGACATCCATCTTTGCATGCATATGATTAAATGCTTGTACAGGTTCTAGACTATCAGAACTCGCCGTTCTTGCAAGACGTGGGGATCACTGTATCTCCAGACCCTATCTCGATCAACAGATGTGTCCTTCTGACACCCAAAATACACTATGGCAATCCTGCTGCTAGTAGACCTGTTGTAAGTTGAACTTGCCATTCTTGCAAGACGTGGGTATCACTGTATCTCCAGACCCTATCTCGATCAACAGATGTGTCCTTCCGACGCCCAAAATACACTATGGCAATCCTGCTGCTCTTTGCCACCAGTGCAGCTACCATTGAAGAAAACACACACGGTCACGTGACTTTCTACACCAGCGGCAATGAACGTCGGTTTAATCAATTAACATATTAATTAAAGAAATAGTAAGTAGTACAAAAGTAAATAATTTACTAGAGTTTAATCACATTGCAAGTCAAAACAATAAAGGGGAGCTGTGAGACGTTGATGAGGGAGCTCTCCTCACCAACACCTCACACTCGAAGTGAATACTAAGTAGTAAAAAACCTAAGTTAAGTGGTAGTTTTTAAGTCCTATAACCGCATTAGACAGAAATCTATTTGAATGGCAACACTTACTTAAGAGAACGTGGTGGAGAATCCTCCTGTTAGAAAGGCATCAGTCAGAAAATTTAATTAATTATCCACTTACTCAAGATAAGACGCGGATACAGATGGTATAATCACCACTCAACCAGAAAGAAGCAAGGAGCGCTAGTGCTACACAACTGCCAACAAACCGGGCCCAATGACCCCACAGAAGCAGGGGGCACAGTGCCACACAACCGCCAAAAAATAACACTTAAGACACTCAACAGAAGCAGAGGGCGCAGTGCCACATAACCACCAAAAACCTGAAAAGAAAAGCAGGGGCGCCGGGCCAAACAACCACCAAAGAAGTCAGTAAGGACGAACAAAAGTAGTGGGACTTACTGTGAGTATTTGTGCCACAGAGAGGCGCTACAACAGAGTGTCAGTGGCACCATAGACAGAAGTGCTGAAAAAATGGAGTCAGCACAAATAAACAAAGGTAACACTACTTACCATAGTGCAGTATACAATGATGAAAAAAAACAAAAACAAAAAGTTAGTAAGTTGGTGCATAGAGAATAAGCACTCACCATGAATGCAAGGCACCTGTAGTGTATTGCCTTTAGATATTGCAGCTGCTGCAGTCTGCAAGGACCCTAAGGGTACACTAGAAGGTGCCCTTGAGAGAGTATTGAGTAGATGATGAGGAGTGGAGTGATGGAAGTAATGGTAAGAGGATGAATGGCATGAGATTTCAAGTTGGTTGATAATGACACGCATCCATTTGTCCTGTTTGGCCTTAAAACCAACCATGGATTTTTGCCTTGAGTGCGTGTCCAAGTTCCGTGCTGCCAAATTGTTTTGGTTTATTTGTGCTACATGCAGACAATGCAAGTAAGTGTTAGTGTTCTTACTTTTTGCTTGTGCCACTCATTCCTCGCCACTTTCAAAACTCCAATGCCGTGGACCAAACAAACTTGCAAGAAGTCCACCGGTGGCTCATCAAAACGCATCACTGTCGACTTTGCTCCTTTGATGGACTTTGCTCCTTCGACCGGCATGGATCTTGGCTGGACTCCACAATGCAGGAGATGTCATCGGATGAGGAGCCGGGAGGAGTCGGCATGGATGAGATGGATGAGATGGTAGCTTGTGGGGTGAAGTCAGGTCATAATGAGGTAAGTACATGCTATGTTTCATGTTTTGAACAACTAAGCCAGTGTTTTTTACAGTGGTGTATCATCTGCTGGGATGGTTCAAGTGGGCACGAGTTTCTGTACTTGTGCAACTTTTGTCCCCACACAATGTGCTCTCGCTGCATCGATGTACCTGTTTCTCAGGCCGCCGCTCTCAACCACGATGGTGTCACCTTCAAATGCATTTCTTGCCACCTGGCAGCGCAAGAGCGTGAATCCTCAGAATCACACTCCGCCTACTTTGTAAGTCATTATCTATTCTACCATTATGTATTAACACACTATGTAGGGATTCTACAGGAATGATATATACCGGTTTTGCCCACTTTCCTCACAATCCGTGGTGTGCTGGAAGTATCTCTGCAATCGCAGATTTCCTGCACTGTTGTGCTAATCCATCTCGCACTTGTCAACTATGATACCTCTGGCAGACCTTTCAACCTTGCCTTTCAGTTTCCTCCCCGTACTTTCCATCTGGAGGTATCGCATTCCACGAGCTCATCTTTGATGTCGCGTCGAAGTCAAAGAGTGACCACTATCAACTTGAGGTAGGTGAATTGGTGCACAGCCTAGTGACTCAGCGCCACTGGCCACGTGTCATGTTCACCATCTCCAACCATACATATGATAACACGGAGACCCATTCCTGGGTCACGAGCACAAGAAATCATTGTATGTCTCTGGCCGAGTCGACAGTGTGAGTAATGTTTTTTCTGAGTACCATTTGCTCACCATCTTAAGCATAGTTTTTGAACATTATCCTCACGCCATGGCAACTGCTCATCAAATCTGCCAAGGACTCCTACCTATGGCTTTTGTTTTGCGGTGCGCTGGTCAACAACGCTGACTCTTTTTCATACTTGCAAACATCTGTCTTTAAGTAAGTACCACTCTCATCTTGCGCTTCATCAACACCTGACCTTAGTGCATGCCGCCAGTCATCATATTACGGCTACCATCTGCCTTCAATGCCATCCGCTTCCAGCCAACATTTACAGCTCCTCTTCTTCTGGCATTTGCAGAACATGTTCTGATTGAGCGTCTGCCTATTCATGAAGTTTTTCCGGACCATGCTCATGCAGTCATACAAACTCAGGCAACACACTGACGTCTTTTTGTTGGCAAACTAATGCTGTGTTGCTCATTGGAACTAACTAAATTTGCATATGGACACATTGCAAGGAACGGCCTTGGGGCCATCGTCTTCCACTTCAATGTCACCAGTGTGGATGGGCTAATTCTTGGTGTTCGGCTAACCACAAGAAGACGTACTCATTTGAATGCATGAACTCAAAGTGCAGAAAGAGTTATTTGTTCAGCCCCCCAGAGAACTCTGTGACCCTTTCACATGTGAGAAAGAGCGGTTCCTGCTGGATTGCGGTCAACTTGGAGGCCAAGCTTGTTGTGTGAGGTTGAAGTTTTGGCCGCATCTTTTACTTTTGTACTTTTGATCATTCATGTCACATTTGTTCCTATGTGTTTTGGGTTACATATAATGATAGTTGCTTGTTCTTATGATTTTGAATGTCAGTTGTTGACTGTTTTGACGACTTCAAAATTGAGTATTCAACAATACCATGTGACCGCGTTCATTATATAATGAACACGGTCACGTGGTATTGTTGAATACTCATGCAAATCAGTGTTATCGGCCGGCCGCCCTCATACCGCAAGTACCGTCAAGACTCAACCTGCAATTTCTAGCAAATTGGACTCTGTTTTTTTTTGTGGAATCGCTTACAATGTCTTCTGACTGGACAAATCAATTCTTGATCTTTACCAGAAGGATGTTATCACTGCGGAATCACAATCTGATCAAAGACGTGTGGTGAAGAAATTCGCAAAGCTATACTGGCCGTTCACAAGGAACAGGAAGAGGAGGTGCCCTTGCCTGCTTCCTTGAAAAAGGTAACAATCATTTAACAATATATGTATATTGATTTGTTCAATCTACATTAATGCTACTGTACAGGGGATCAACGATACTACACCAAACTCATCAAAGGCAATGAGGAGGTGGAGGAAAGAGAGGCTGCATGTCATCCAAGAGAAGCGACATTCTACAAGAAAACACTGTCTGAATGGGATGTCACATAGAAATTATTCAAGCAGGAAATCAACGAGTATGACAAGGCCGAGCAGGAAAGGAAAGGCTTGGAACACTCGATTAAGTATCAGACATTGCATGCCTGGGAATGGTTTGATAAAATGACGGCTTCACAAAAGCAGGAGGTCAAGTCTGCCATGGAGAAATGGAACAGGGAGGGCGCACCAGAAGAAAGTCAAGCTGTGTAAGTTTGACTTAAATTTAGGTGTCTTTTGAGCCTTACACTTGCTGCCAAGGTACCGTAAGAACCATCTGAAGAGAACTCTTGAGGACTTTTCAAAGCAGATTGAACGCACCATGGGTTGTCGCATGGTGATGTTTGTGAGTCACAAGAAAAAAGCTCCCCAGTCATTGGCTGTTAGTGTGTAAGTAATCAAGTTATCACAGTGATCTCAAGGCTAACTCATATATAGACATGAATCTGAGCCTCAGAATGCCAAGAAGAGGTTCTTGGTCAGCTCCAACAGTATCAAGGAGTGGTCTGCCACTGGACTTAATTCCTTTGCAGAATGATCCAAGACCAAATTTTGTATGTGTCTTGTTTGATTTTAAATATTGTGCTTACTGATATTAACTTGAATTGATAGACCCTTCAGAGGGTCAAGACCATGCAGATGCAGGTTCAGACAATGGCGATGACGACAGTGGCCCTGTCATACCTGAGGTTATACTAGATGAAGATGGATATGCAAAACTTCCAATGTGTGATGGTATCAGCCTCAAGGGACAACATGAATTAATTAGAAGCATATTTCATGCTTCTTACAGTAAGATATTCCATTTTTAATATATGTCGTTTTTAATCGATGTGTTGTTTGTAGAAGTTTGCACAGGTGGCTCTAGACCTGTGCCTTGGGGAACAATCACCAGCAGCTCATCCAATTATTTGGAATCTGGCTCAGTACCCACTGGATTTATGGTCAAGGACCCTTCTCACATGAAGACTGAGGAGGTAAATCATCTATAGAATCATTTGGAACAATGTTCTGCTGCCAAACAGAAGCTAGTCATTTTTATCAAGGCCAAGGTCAGTGATTTACGTAATGGAGATGGAAGGAGGAAGTCTAAGGCAAAAAGAGTAAGCGGACTTGATGCAGATGAGGAAGACCAAGACCGGCCGGTTTTGAACATCCAGCCAGTTGTTCACAGCAACCAGGCTGAAACAACCCCAGATGATATTTCAATCACTGAACGATATACATATTTAGAATCTCTTAGTCGCCATGAAAACTACCTGGAGCTTGTAGATGCCCTTAAGGATCTGGCAATCTTAGCCAATCAGAAGGTGGGCATTACTTCATGTTTGTTTAACTGTGTAGCTTATATCCAATAGCCCAATTCCGAACAGCACACAGATTTGCCTATCTGGGCTGACTGGTCTTGGAATGGATTTTTTCTCCCTGAGGATGTGCATATCTCATATGACACTTTGAAGGCCAGCTTGAACAAGCTGATAACATCTCTGATCACAGGAGCACCATCTGCAATGCCCGTCGTTCTAGGAATTGGACTTCTCTACAGGGAGTCTAAACGTGTGATGAAGTTTGAGGAAGATGAAGCCAACTCCAATACTCCTGCCTACCTACCTGGGTCTGTTTTTGATCTACAGTTTCTGGTTGCTCTGGATGATGCTGTTCGAGAAGTCTTGGCTAACATCATTGAGCACATTGAGAGGCTGACAAAGGACGCACTTAGTGAGGATGATGATGTGGAGGATAATGGAGTGGATGGAGGAAAAGAAGTAGCGGTGAACCAGGAAAGTGGTAAAGTTGGGGAAGATATTCCTATGCAGCAGATGGAGATACAGGAGAAGCAGGAGGAGGAGCAGGAAGAACTCGAAGAGGTACAGAAAGGAAGGAAGAGAAGGTTACCCCAAGCTTCAACAAGTAAGTCTAAGAAACCCAGGACTGAGCCTGAAGTGCGCAGATCACCTAGGGCAAGGCAACCTTCTAAGAAAGCTCAGAAGTAATCTTATATCCTCCTTTGTCTTCTTGATCAATCCTGTACAACCATTACATCTATATATTGCAACTTAGGCTAGAATCAAACTATTTACTGATGAGTGATACATAAGGGCTAGCCTTGCTTTTATATAGGTAAATGCAGTGTGGCCTGTCTGCTAATGAAAGAGTCTTCAACTGGCCAGCCATGCATCTGCCTACTGCAGAGCTTTCCTGGCCGGTTATCATATACAAGCTAAACACTGGCCAGCCTGGCCTTTGTATAGGTAAATGCAGTGTGGCCAATCTGCTAATGATATAGTCTTCCACTGGCCAGTGAAGCTCTGCCTGGAAGACTATTTCATTAGCAGATCGGCCATACTGCATCTAAATATGTACAAGCCAGGCTGGCCAGTGTGTAGCTTTTATATCATACCTGGCCAGGGAAGCTCTGCAGTAGGCAGATGTATGGCTGGCCAGTGCAAGACTATTTCATTAAGTAGCTTGGCTTGTACACATGTAGATACAGTGAAGCTGGTCTGCTGATGAAATAGTCTTGCACTGGCCAGCCATGCATCTGCCTACTGCAGAGCTTCCCTGGCCAGTTATCATATAAAAGCTAAACACTGGCCAGCCTGGCCTTTGCATAGGTAAATGCAGTGTGGCTGGTCTGCTAATGAAATAGTCTTGCACTGGCCAGCCATACATCCACCCACTGCAAAGCCTTACCAGCCAGCTGTCATACACAAGCTACACACTGGCCAGTCTAGCTTGTACATACGTAGAGGTAGTATGGCCGGTCTGCTGATGAAATAGTCTTGTACTGGCCAGCCATGCATCTGCCTACTGCAGAGCTCCTCTGGCCGGTTATCATATACAAGCTAAACACTAGCCAGCCTGGCCTTGACATAGGTACATGCAGTGTGGCCAATCTGCTAATGAAATGTCTTCCAGGCAGAGCTTCACTGGCCAGTGGAAGACTATATCATTAGCAGATCGGCCACACTGCATGTACCTATGTCAAGGCCAGGCTGGCCAGTGTTTAGCTTGTATATGATAACTGGCCAGAGGAGCTCTGCAGTAGGCAGATGCATGGCTGGCCAGTTGAAGATCTTTCATTAGCATGGCTGGTGAAGCTCTGCAGTAGGTGGATGTATGGCTGGCCAGTGCAAGACTATTTCATCAGCAGACCAGCTTCACTGCATCTACACATGTACAAGCCAAGCTGGTTAATGAAATAGTTTGCACTGGCCAGCCATGCATCTACCTACTGCAGAGCTTCACCGACCAGTTATGATGTAAGACATACACACTGCTAAACCTGGCTCATACATATGAAGATACAACATACAAGCATATTATATCCTGGTCAGCATCCATTTTACATGATAATGATTGTCATATTATATACCTGCCAGCAGCCATCCTACATAATAATGATTGATATATTACATCCTGGCTAGCACTCATCCTACATGAATGAGATTGGCCCAATATATTACCAGCCAGCATCTATCCTACATGAAACAATGAGGCTCAGGTGATAATCATGTAGTACACTGGTCAGCATCTATCATACATGTACCAGCTGAGGCTGGCTAGCCATGATTCTATGGTGTTTTTGCACATCCAGGGCCACAGGTCTATGTGAGAGATGACTGAAGTATGTGACGTGATGGTCTCACGACCAGCAGCATGTGGAAGCGGGAATTCATATATGGCTCCACTGATCTCCCCCCTAATCACCTCATACTTCACCCCCTGCCGCCTCCTCGTCGATCAATGGCATCAGGCGATCTCAGCCGCAAGTAAGGATTCGACAGTCATCTCTCACGATTACATTTGTGAGATTCTAATACGGGAGTTAAGCTCAATCAGTCAGAAAAGTGCACAAATACCTCCTGCTGCACTTCCATCCATGCTGGAGCCAACCATAGCTCTGTCGCCTCCTCCCATACCACTTACTTCACAGCTGGTTACAACCATCCCCGTGTCGCTTACGGTGCCTCCATCTGTGCCTGCCAGTGCAATAATTGTCGCCCTGTGGCTTTGTCATACCCCTTTTGTAGAGTCTGTCCCTGCAAAACACAATTACTCCATTTGATTACTCATATGTTCACCTTTATTATTTGTTTACAGGTCATACAGTGATGTTGATGTATCAATAACCTATAATGTATAGTGTTGCTTCCATACATTAATTCCACCAGTTGATAGCTTGCCAGGATACATAGTAGTGATATATCAGTAGGTGGATCCGTGTCTCGGCACTTGTTCCTGGCCTTCTTTGGTTCCTGACTCCCATGTTGGTGGAGGAGAGGGTCGTAGCTGTATTTTAAAAGTGTGTCCCCCCTCCGTGCCTGTCTCAAAATCGAGTGCTACATCAACTTCGGTGTCTCGAGCGTGGCATGTGAAGCATCCCGCAAGCCTACGACTCCGAATCAACACATCCCTTGACTCAAAAAAACTAAAGCAGTGCCAACCCATCTCGAGATGAAACTTGTAAACATCTTTGGGGCTCTTCGAATCAGTAATGCCCACCGCTTTTTAAAACTTTCCACTGAGCTGTGCATTGCTTAGGCAGTCTAGTACGTCTTCTTGGAATTCATCTTCTGCGTCAATATTTGATGGGAATTTGTGCACGCGCATGAAGGAAAGGAAGGTGTTTCCTTGTCATCCTGAACAGATAAGAGTGAATATCAATGCGCATGTGAGATGACTCACGGGTGATCAGAGACGTTGAAGTCTTGTCAGATGAGTGCAACATCATTAAGGCGGATTGCCACACCGAGAGCTTCAGGGAATTTGGAGAATTGGATCTTGTCTATCATGCCAGAGAAAGTGACTATGATGTCGTCAAAATAAGGGAGGAGTATGTCGCATCTATAAAGAAGTTCAAGATACAAGAATATGAACAAAAAGGCACACACGACCGACTGAACGTGTTTGCATCCACGAGACATTTTCATCTGATCAAAAGAAAAAAAACAATCTCAAGCTCCACGAATAGGTCTACGGCGTCTGACGCTAGGAAGAATGTAGCGCATTCTAAGTCGAGGTTGTGTAAGTCTTCGATAGTGCCAGAGACTGAGCGGGCTTTGATTCAGCCGCATTTAAATCAGTCGCTGGTGCTGGTATTAGGACTGGTTATTCACCCCTTTTGACGGATGTTATACTCCTCTCCTGCTTCAGCAGCAAGATGAGATGACGAACTGATTCATGTCTGAGCCAAGAATCAAGTTCAGAGATTTTGGATGTAGGAGGGAGGAGAGATGCGAAAAGAAGGCGACAGCAGAAGCTTCCTCAAGACCTCATAGTTCAGTATTGGAGTAGGTCATAGTGAGAATAGAGAGCACATATTACAGTGACATATTTCCATATGATATGGGTCACCCGACCTACATAATATCCCGTATAAGATGAGCCAGCGGACTATGGGCCGATGTTATGTATATCCCCAATGTTGATGGATGGGCCGGGAGGGATATTATTTCCGATGGAGACGGGTGGGCCCATCTATGCTGATATTATATATATCCTTGAAGATGTCAGGTGGGCTGATGTAATGGTTTATTGTATAGATGGGTGGGCTGATGTACAGGAACTATTTTGTACACAGGTGGGCCGAGGGAGTGGTGGAATATGTATTATATAGATAGGTGGACAGATGTAAGGGTTTATTGTATAGATGGGTAGGCCGACATACTGGAATTATTTTGTAGACGGATGGGCCGAGGGAGTGGTGGAATATTCATTATATAGATGGGTGGGCCGAGGTAGTGAGATATCTGTCTGACATTCACGGATTACCGAGTCCCAGATGCCCAAAAACCGAATCCCATTGTGCAACATCCATTCCAGACACCCGAACACCCCAAGCTCAAGACTGGAAACTGGAAACTTGTGAAAATGTGTGAAATTTCTATTTCCTGACACCAAACACATGAACACATGAACACCCAAAGCCTGAAGCTTGAAGTCCATTTATCAAATTACTGAGTGCTGAGTGCTGACAAACCTGAAGCCTGAGACCCAAAATCCAAAGCCTGGAACCCAAAAACATGTATGCAAAATGTCCATTTTTCATTCATTGCACAAATCACTGAGTGTCAAGTGCCAAAATCCGAAACTCAAGACCCAGTACACAAATCACCAAGTACTGAGTGCTGAAGGCCGAACCCCAAAGTCTGAGGCCCGAAACCCGATGTTCAAAACCCAAAAACATGTATATAACATATCCATTTTTCAGTCATTGCACAAATCACCGAGTGTCGAGTGCCAAAACCCAAAACTTGAAACCCGGTATGCAACATGCCCATTTTTCATTTCCATTAAACAAATCATCAAATGCCGAGTGCCAAGGCACAAAGCCCGATGTCCAAAGCCCAAAACCCGAAGCCCGAGACCCGAAAATATGTATACAACATATCAATATCTCCCTCACTGCACCAATCACCAAGTGTCAAGTACTGAAACCCAAAACTCAACACCCAGTACACAAATCTCCAAGTGCCGAGTGCCGAGGCCTGAAGCCCGATGTCTGAAGCCCAAAACCCAAAGAATGACACCTGAAAATATGTAAACAACATATCAATATTTCCCTCACTGCACAAATCATCAAGTGTCGAGTACCGAAACCTGAAACTCAACACCCAGTACACAAATCACCAAGTGCCGAGTGCCGAGGCCCGAAGCCCAATGTCCGAAGCCCAAAACCTGAAGCCTGAAACCCGAAAATATGTATCCAACATATCCATATTTCCCTCACTGCACCAATCACCAAGTGTCAAGTACCAAAACCCGAAACTCGACACCTGGTACACAAATCACCAAGTGCTGTGTGCTGAGGCCCGAGCCCCAATGTCCAAAGCCTGAAACCCGAAGCCTGGAACCCAAAAATATGTATATAACATATCAATATTTCACTCATTGCACAAATCACTGAGTGTCGAGTGCCAAAACCCGAAACTTGAGACCTGGTACACAGGTGCTGGGCTCAGAACCACTGATTTTCATACTCATGTCATTCTTGTCAATTGGGGATTATTTGAAGACTACGTTAAATGTTAGTCAGTGTCGAGTATGATAATGAATGTATAGTCATACCTTAGTCTGAGAACAAATAGACTGAGGTAGGATGATGCAGGTATGAGGATTATATATTTGTCTGGCATGTTAGCAATGATGTAAAGATGAGGCGTGCATTTGTATATGTGTGCAGTAAGTGAGCATAAAGATAAAAGAATGAATGACTTGTGCAATGACTGAAAAATGGATATGTTATCCATGTTTTCAGGTTTCGGAGTTTGGAGTTTGGCCCTCGGCACTCGGTACTTGGTGATTTGTGTACTGGGTCTCAAGTTTTGGGTTTTGTCACTTGACACTCTGTGATTTGTGCAATGAATGAACAATGGACATTTTGCATACATGTTTTTGGGTTCCAGGCTTTGGATTTTGGGTCTCAGGCTTTGGGTCTATCAGTACTCGGCACTTGGTGATTTGATAAATGGACTTTCAAGCTTCAGGCTTTGGGTGTTCAGGTGTTCATGTGTTTGGTGTAAGGAAATAGAAATTTCACACATTTTCACAAGTTTCCAGTTTCCAGTCTTGAGCTTGGGGTGTTCGGGTGTCCGGAATGGATGTTGCACAATGGGATTTGGTTTTTGAGCATCTGGGACTCAGTAATCCATGAATGTCAGACAGATATCTCACTACCTCGGCCCACCCATCTATGTAACATCCCCCTCCATCAGTCAACCCATCTATATAACATCCCCCTCCATCGGCCCACCCGTCTATATAATGAATATTCCACCACTCCCTCGGCCCATCCGTCTACAAAATAATTCCAGTATGTCGGCCCACCCGTCTATACAATAAACCCTTGCATTGGCCCAGCCCTCTATATAATACATATTCCACCACTCCCTCGGCCCACCCGTGTACAAAATAATTCCTGTACGTCAGCCCACCCATCTATACAATAAACCATTACATCGGCCTACCTGACATCTTCAAGGATATATATAATATCAGCATAGATGGGCCCACCCGTCTCCATCGGAAATAATATCCCTCCCGGCCCATCTGTCAACATCGGGGATATACATAACATCGGCCCATAGTCCGCTGGCCCGTCTTATATGGGATATTATGTAGGTCAGGTGACCCGTATAATACAGAATTTGTCACTGAAGGGGCTCTAGAGAGAACATCAGTGAATAGACTACAAGATGATAAACCAGTGTTTATGATAGACTGAAAGTTGACAACCGGTATGACGTAAGCCTTTTTTTATTGGCTGAGAACCTTTGGCACCCAGCGATTAGGGATGTTGTCAAAATGTTTTATGGAAAAGTAATACAGAAGGATGTAGCTGATAATTGATCTACATAATGCGGGTGATAGCTGGAAGGCTTCACAAGCGAGACATTCCGATATATCTATCGTGGAGACTGCCGTTAAAGTTGTTGCATATGGTCATTGGAAGAGAATTTGGCAGGATGTGCAGGACCTGAACCTAATGCAACAGGGTTGAAGGTCTTCGGTCGTGGGCATGAGGTACCAGTCTGAGCTGACTGGGATCCTTCAGTACAAGTGCTGCTGTACCTCCATGACGAACCGCCAGCACGAGGGTGGGGGAGCCATTTGTCATATATGGGAACTGCCACAGACGTACCCAAGTTTCTATCACCTACCAGCGCACGTTTCTTGTTGAAGATATCATCAAATGAATCTAAGATGGGAGAGGGTTGCTTGTCATGTTCCACAGTCAGGCGGCTTTCATGGTCGTCGCCATCATTCCAATCTTGGCTATCATTCCAGCTCATCTCATGGCCATGACCAGCCAATCCCAATCCTGCTACTTTATCCTGGCAGGCATCCTGTAGGCCTGTAGGTTGGTCCGACTGAGCATCGGGAGTGAATACTAGAGCAGTGGCAGGAGCAGGAGCAGGAGCCAAGGGGTCGGTGGATAAAGAGGGGTGGTGTGGAAGAGAGGGACAGAGAAGAAAACTGGGAGAAGCAGACGGAGAGGTCAGAGGTGGGTTGGACAGGGATGAATCGTCATTTCCACTCTACAACTGAGGTAGTGTTGTGACAGTGCTCATTGTACTAGGTAGCTCCTTGATCATAATGTTGGCTAGTGGCTGCTCATCTTTGCAATGCTTGTGTGAGTCGCCCCCGAACTCGCCATCGACATTAACGGTCATGGACTTTGTCTTAATTCCCTTAACCTTGCACTTTGTTGCCTGTCTGGCAGGAGAGAGTGGGTTCTTAGCTGTTGCTTTGGTACACGTCTTCTCTTTGCCAGCCTTATTCCTTCCGACGGGTTCATGCTCGATGTCTTCATCATCATCTGACTCTGACCCTAATACAGATATCAAATCTCCCATGGCGCTATCATCATCTTGAAACATGCATTCTACAGAGATGCTTTTTAGCCAAGTCCTCAAGATTCAAAGCAGACACTTACAAAATTCCTTGTCAGCACCCACAAATGCCTCATGCATTGTGCCCTTTGAGAATGAGATGTTGTTTAGAAAGACACCGGCTGTTTTCAAGGTAATGGCTCAGTAAACATGAACCTCTTTAGCCTGAGGGTGACGATAGATCCGCCCACACAACTGGAGATCGTCCTGCTCCAACCAAAGGGTATCCTGCCATGACGATCAGCTGCACCTGAAATACGAGCACATATAAAAATGCACATACTACCACTACCATTATATTGGCGCATGCCAAATTTAAGCCTACCATACCTACACCTGACAAAATCAAGACACACACTTCTTTGGTCGCCGCAGATGACCTAAAGTCGTCCAAAATATCCTTGCACTTCTTCATGGGTGTCTGTCCATTGAGTTCTAGTGCATGAATACTGTGAAGATCCAGGATCTGACAGTAGTGATTTGATCAAAATGCTGAAACGGTCAGTCTACCTCACACTCACATCTACAATGGCCTGATTGGAGGTTACGAAAGCTGAAAATACTACAATTCTGTCTGGCTCATCTGGGTGAGTATTTCCAGCTTTGAAGGCGAGGTTAGGAATAAGGCTGCAACCGCTCTCATCCATCGCCAATGGCTGGTGACCGTCAGACTCCAAATGGTATTTCAGAAGTTTAGCTAGGACGTCCAACTTCGTACTTTTGGTGGGGCTGTCGTTCCACTCTTCCAGAGATTTCGGTTTGGTCCATGACCGTTCATCAGTTGGGTTCATATGTGGGTGAAGGATAGACCGCCTGAAATCAACATAGAAATTCTGTTCAAAAAGAGTTTGTTTCTCAGATGACTACATTCTGAACAATTGACTTCACCTTGCTCATCCCTATAATGGGACAGTCATGGATATATCCCCGCGCTATACTCCTCAAATTCTCCATCTCCCAGTCAAGTAGCTTGACTTTTAAGCTATGGTCATGATAGGAAGGGAGGCCTAGGATCCTATTGCCTGAATTGTCAGTGGAATCTATGGTACAAAGGATGACAGCAGGGGAGAACCACTCTCTCATACGGCCTATCCATTGTTTCATTGCAGGCAGGTATTCTTCCTGAGCAGCCTCTGGATTATGGGTGCCGACCAAAATGCCTCGTAGCATCGATCCCTCAACTCCCACCTCTCTCTGTACCTTATGGTCCCGTCTCTGAGTGGCTGCCAATTCTTGGTTCATATTCTTGAGTTGCACAATATCCTTGAATTGCGGAAGCCTAGCAGCTGACCCATAATCCAAAGGTCCTGGCGTTCATCAAATCCAATATCGGCCAAAGTCAGTAACATTCGCTGATTGATGGCATTTAGGCTGGCTTACCGTGGGTTTCATGGTAACCGGTGTTGCAGTCATTGCAACCATCAAGTGAGATCTCTCCTGAAGTCCTCAAGCTGCTACATGTACTTTATTGTATTTCCTTGCGCAGTGAGCTTCATCAAAAAATGTCACATTATATTCATGACTGAAGAGGGTACTGGGGCCCGTTCGTTCAAAACAAGGACTAGCCATTGGCTGCCCATAACTGTCCATATTGCCCTTGATGAAGACAGTGGCTGCATCATCATGCGCTCCCTGCCAAACATAAGGTATTTTATATTCCAATAAGAGACTCAGAAATCACTTACGTTTGTTGTGACCAAAATGATGTGTCGTATTGGAGGTTGCTGGCATTTACTCCAAGCCATTGTCCACCACTGTGAACGTGCGGTATATTTTCCAGTGTAAGGGAGAACGTCAAACATTGCTCGCCTTAGATACCGCTGGATTTCACTCATCCAGTGATGCTGTAAGTTAGGGGGACTCATAATCATGGTGGGTAAGTCTGGAATGTTGCCACCTGTCCTCTGGTGGCAATGTTGTGCTGCAGGGTAACTATCATTGCGTGCATCTGTGCTGGAAGCCGAACAGATTGCTTACAAAATTTTTCAGGAAACTTTTTGTGCTTCCTATAATGCTCTTTATAGTGTGCAAGGCATGCGATCAAACCAACAGCCTGCATGGTTTTTCCAACCCCAACGCCATCCATCAGCATCACTGGTTTACCATCTAAAAACCTGTCAATTAGCCTCAGGATGCCAACTAGCTGATGCCACCAAGGTGACAAAATCTGTGCCGGACTCGTCGGATCATCAAGCCATCGCTGGCCTCCTTCACTCCATGGATCAATGGCGGCATCGGAGTCAGACCGCCTCTGGAAAAAAGGTAGCATCTTCTCTGGCACACCCAGGTATTTTCAAAGGTCATCTTCGCTGCACTTGTCATATTCCTCTACTCCACTCTTCCAATCACGCACATCCATATCCTCTGTGAAGTCTATCACCACCTCATCACCATCAAGCGGCACCATTGCAGTAAGTGTGGTCTCGATCAAAAGTTCGAGCTCTTTGACTTCTTGTTTGGTGGCCAGCTTGTCAAGCACATCCCATAGAGGTTTAGGGAGTCCTAAACAATCACTTTCAGTCATTGTGTACATATCAGTCACATATGGTTCACTGACTTCCTATCGATTCTGCTTTGGCAGGATCTTTCTTGGCAGCAGCCAGCATCACATTGACCTGTTCATGGCGCGCATCAAGGTTCTTGGCCGTATCCTGATCTTTAAACACGCTAAGAAGGGTGACCAAGGTCTCTAGCTTCTTCATGTAAGTGCGGATGCTGGCCATCGTAGGTTTTGCATTTGCAGCCATGATGACTGCCCGAAGGTTAGTTCCCGCGCTAAGCCATTGCTCTTCAACTTTCTGAGTTTTCTTGTTGATGCTGTTAGCCTGCCTTTTGATCGCCTTCCTATACCTGCTCCATGTTGATACCAGCACTGTACTGACAAACATCACGATGGGTAGTGCAAGGAAGGATCCATTGGTGAATGCATCGTCACCAAACAAGACATCAGCTAGTTTGATGGAGACAATCTGCTTGACCTATGCAGCTTCCATCATTGGAAACTAAGTACATGGCTATATCATGTTATGAGAAAGATGGATTGGCACATAACTTACATCGTCTGTGATCTTGTAATTCAACCTGGCCATGAAATTGTGGGGTGCACAACCACTGTCTTTGAAGATCTCATTGACCAACTTGTTGATATTCCATTTGGCCCATGAATTCTTAACCCAGGTGTTCCACAAACAATGACCTTCATGGTTATTATCTTGTCGTTTAACAGCATAGTATTCAGCAGGTTCCTCAGCCATTTTACAGTTGTTAATGAAAGCTTCGACTGCCTGAGCCTTGCCCATGGTTCATCCAGTAACGTCATAATATGTGGCCGCAACAGTCACATCCTCGCCACGGTCGTACACCCATGGCTCGCCAAGAACATGTGTCACAGACTGCCACACCGGATTGGACCATGGGAGGGCTGAATTGGCGATCCAGAGTTGGATGAGAGCAAGAGGGAATGGAATGATTGGCATTTTGGAGCTAGATCTTTGGGGGCATCAGCGAGCTCTCTTATTCTGCCATCCCACAAGGCTGTTATTTGGCATGCACCTGGGCCAGAATGAGAAATCCGAAATTTGATAGGCTTGCATTATGATAATTTCCCTTGCCTCAAGGCTCAGGCCCAACCAGTGCTGACTCGGATACTATCGATCATCATCATATTGGTGAACGCTAGCTATGATTACTAGTATCAGTTGCGGTCCATTCTTTATGAAAAAGCATGACTCACGAAATTACATCGGGTGCAAAAGACTTGAGATCTGCAGTAGTAGTGAATGACTATCAAGCTGGTAATGATGATCCAAATACTACAACTTGCAGGCTTTGTCGGTTTTGTGATGCCAGTCAAAGATGTGCAAAATGCAATGACTCAACTGCTTACAGAGCTCTGAGCATGCAGAGCAGACTCGCAAGATTTCCCGAGTCATAAGAACTTGAGTAATTGAACTGCTCGAGGCACTCTCTCATTGGTGATCACACTAGTGTGTGGATTTATTTTGGAGTCAAACTCTTCGAGCTGAAGTTTCCAGGGAACTCCGCTTGATTTATCACCCTGAGATCTTGGCGTAAAATTGATTTGATGCTTAGTACACACTTGGCTGTAGACTAACTCTGTGAACTTTATGCTATCTGAATCCTTTATGACTTGTTTTGTGAGTCATGCTTTTTGGCATGGAAGCATGGTAATGCAACTACTTAGCAGTGTGCCTCACAGAAATGATGGACGATCGCATCTGAATTGCACGTAAACTGTACAATCCTTCAAGTTAGTAACAATCCATTTGTGAGTCACTTTTTTAAGTACTGTATAGTTTACAAAACTGCAAATTGAATCTGCCTCAAGACATCTAGATCTGCACCATAGCATGAGCAGTCACTAGCCATCCTGGAAGCCTCTCAATGTGTTGTATATCATCTGACCAACAAGTATAATTGAATCAGATACACTATGGTGATGAAATCATCTCATCTTATGTGAAATTGAAGGATGAAGGCGAAACAAAACAGGCTGAAGAGCATACCATGAGAGCGAAAATCGAGTACATGGTGTCATAAATGGTGAATGGCATGGATGGAAGTGAATGACAGCCGCATCTGCATAAAATGATATAGATATAATTACTGTCATCAGCTGAAGGGTAAAAGTCGGCCCTACTAGTTGCAAAAAAGAAATACCCCCTCTAAAATCTCTAAACCTGATCCATGAGTTCGTCATCTTGCTGCTGAAGCAGGAGAGGAGTGTATGCATCCGTCAAGAGGATGGATAGCTAGTCTTGATACCAACACTAGCTGCTGATTTAAACACGCCTGAATCAAAGCCCACTCGGTCCCTGGCACTACTTATTGAAGACTTACACAACCTCGGTTTAGAATGCACTATGCTCTTCTTAAGGCAAGATGCTGGGCCAAACGCCGTCGACCTATTCGTTGAACTCGAGATTAATTTTGTTGATCGTCATATGATAGTAGTAAGTCGCGTGGACACAAATGTGTTTAGTCGGTCACGTGTGTGTACACTTACAGACAGTCATACTGCTCCTCTGACGATGTACGGACATCACTGTCACTAATCTTTGGCAGGATAGACAAAAAAATTTCAAATTCCCCTAAGCTCTCGGTGTGGCCTTGCTGCAAACTCATCTGACAAGACTTCACTAGCCCATGAGTCATGTCTGTGACAATCGCATTGGTATTCAGAAATCCTGACTCGGTTACCGTTTCTCACGGAAATGGCGGGAATTTTCTTTTTTTGTACTCAGACTCAAACTCAATCTAGAGCTATCTTCATTGAAAGTCTCACAACAGTCACATCTACTAAGTCAAGTCATTCTTTAAATTCCGTACAGACATACAGCAACATTTTGCATTGGGCTGTCGCTAATTGATTATGTATGTGATTAATTTTCAACTTGAGCAGCACATCATTTAATTCATAATTGTAGCGAGTTACATTGGCAAATTTTTATGTGCACCTTCTAGGGTTCGGTTGGCAGTTACTGGGGCTCTTCACCAATTGAATTCATCCAGAGCTGCTGATGCGCAGTATAACCTTTTGACATCATAGGTCAGCTCCCACGACACCACTTCACATTCAACAGCCCAGATATCGCTTGAATCCACTACCCCATTTATGTGTCTCTTGCCCAAGGCCCTCCGAGTCATACGGTCATCTGCACGTGGTAAGTCTGTTCTTCATTATTCTCCATGAGGAACCAAAGGGCTAATCCAAGTGTACTCAGGCTTGCCACTTAAATATGAGCGACTCATCAGCAGTTGAGTCGCTTCAAATTCCCCAAATCTTAATCACCCATGACCTGCCAGATTCCCCGACCGTGTTATATTGATAAACTTTCTGTGGAAATCCTGTCTGAAGTATTCATTCTAGCCGCACATGACACACCCAATGAATCCATTTAAAGTGTCATGGTGCCACATGTACTTGCATTGGTGAACCGGTACTGGAGAACAGTCGCACTCTGCACTCAGAGCTTGTGGTCAAGCCTTGTTATTGATCTTCACAAGATCATACACAACCAAACCAGTGGGGGCTTGTCACCATTTCCCACAATGATTGCACGATCAGGACGATCCTCAGTGGATATTATTATAAGAGCTCAACAAGGCCCAATGTCGGGTACTGAAGAAATGATGTAAGACGCATCTTGATTTTGGCTGAGTACGAGTATCTAAATGTCTGCCTTTAGGAAAAGAAAAAGGGGTTTCACGAAAACAATGTCCTAATATGCTGACTGTATGCCCGCTATTTTCAACCTCTTATTTTGTGAGATGTATCGGTGGCGTTCACTTGAAATCGTCAGTGATACCTGGATGCCGATTCACAGCGCCCTTCAACTTCTCAATGAGTGCAGGACAGAGGGCTCAAGTGCTTTATGCCTTGAATCCATAAGTCTCAAGAGAACCAATGACTACCTCTCTCACCTCTGGCTTTTCTGTCCACGCATAATGAAGATGGTGGAAGGGATTATGTTTGCCAATTTGATTGGACCTACCAGTCAAGGTGTTTCAGTGCAATCCCTCCCACTTCCAAAATTGCGAAACATAGCTCTATATGGTGTTCATTTGAACTGGACAAATTTCCTTCATTATACTCTTGGTGCACCTCCCAATCAGTCACTTACTGTCAGTAGCTCTATGCAGTCGCTGGAGCTTTCCTATCACAGCGGAGAAGTAAGGCCAATGCCTGATGAGTTTTCAGGGATCTTTGAAGCTTGTCCTTGCCTGCAAAACCTTGTCCTTAGGTTCTCTGGCCTGTTGACCGGACTTTCATGTCCCATATCACTTCTGCTGCTTCAGCGGCTTCACTATGGATATTTTTTTCTTGGAGATGACATCAGGCTGTTCAGTGGGCTTCATGCCCCCAACCTGATAAAATTTTCCTTGGAGGGTCGAAATTTATCTGGTACCACCCATTCGCCTATCGAGGATGATGGTGAAGATGACAAAGCTGACAGCCTTTTGAAATACTGTGTGGCTCATCACTTGTTCCCAAAACTGCAGGAATTGTCGCTCTACAATGTCAACGCACCGGTGGCCACGTTCACTCTCCTCATGGATGCTATTCCCACGCTCCTTCATCTGTTGTTACATCGCACACCAAATGCGATCTTGGCACTGTCGCCCATACAGAAGTCTTTGGCAGATCATAGTATGCCCTTCCCTGTCCTTAAGTCCATCCGTATCTTCCCAAATTCGCATAAGGACAGTCTTATCGCTACACTGAAACGGTGCAGTAAAAGCGCCCCAGATTTGCTGAGTGGCAATGTGAAGAGATTATGGAAGGTGGAATAACGGTGTTTTTTGGTTGCCTAGTGCAACACTGTATAGTGTAAGAGCGTGTTGACATTTAACAGGCAGTAAATAATGCGATGTTACATCCACATTGGCAAGAGAGCTACTAAAAGAGATACACGACTGGAACTTATTAGAAAAATCTAAATCGACAAAGTGCACAGGGATGTATCTTAGATGAGCTCATGCCAATACTAACACCAATCCCATCTCCAATTATACCATCACAAAATAAGCCAATAATGTATACAAAACTATTGGTGTCAGGATGTACCCAGTGAATACATGCTGAAATTCTGACAATCTTGCATAAACCTTACTACCTCACAGTTCTAAGCATTCTGTGCTTCAAAGGACGAGTTTGCATCAATCTTGAAAAATATCGAAAGCTAGTACGTCTGACACAGCAATCACCTTGTGTACATCTATGATCTCTAGATGTAGCTGACACCTTCTATATACCTCATTTGCAATGCAGTGGACTTGCACCTGGGACAGTTTTCCACGAAGGGTTGGTACTCTGTGAATCAGTCGCATCTGGAATAGGACTGGTAGCGAACTCTGAGGACTAGTACTGGAGATCTGCCAGTTCTCTGAAAGATAGAGGGTGAGAGGGTCGCGAGCCTCCGTGCCAGTCTCGAAATAGAGTGCTAAATTGCCTTCAGCATCTCGGGCATGGCATCCGAGGCATCCCACAAGCTTACGACTCCGACTCAACACATCCCTTGACTCAAACAAACCTATCAAAATGTACCAATGTAAAGCAGCGCCAACCCCTCTCCATATGATTCTCATGGACATATTTGAGGCTCTTATAATCCACAACGCCCACCTCTTTCATAACTTCTACTGAGCTGTGCACTGCTTAAGCAGTCTATTATGTCTTCTTGGAATTCATCTTCTGCATTACTATTCAATGGGAATTTGTGCACGCGCACTAAGGAAAGTGAGGTGCTTCCTCGTTCGAGTCATCTTGAGCAGATAAGAATGAATATCAATGTGCATGTGAGATGACTCATGGGTGATCAGAGACATTGAAGTCTTGTCAGATGAGTGCAACATCATTAAGGCAGATAGCAACACCGAGAACCTCGGGAAATTTGGAGAATTGGAGTTAGATCTTGTCTATAGTGCTCAAGAAAGTGACTGTGGTGTCGTCGAAATGAGGGAGGCCGGTGTAGAAAGCTGATTCCTGCTGGGCTCAGCAGAAATCATACTACCTAGACAACAAATATTTAGGTAGATCTTAGCATGACCTAGTCTGCTATACTTGCAGAGAAAGTGCGTTTGATCCTAAAGGGATTGCTAATTGGTATCAGTAGTAAAAATGTGTCAGTAATGCAAATAACAAAATGTCTGATGGTGCGAAACGATGTCTGAAGGTACTTATCCAATGTCCGAAGCCAAAGTGCGATGTCCGAGATTTCAGACTTTCGGACTTCACAATAATGGGTTGGAACTTTATAACGAGTGTCGGATTGCGAGCGGTATGCGCGAGTATAACGAGTGACAGAGTATAACGGTGAACGAATGGTAATATTTCGCAATGCAACTAAGAACTACGGGAATATTCTGGGTGATTCACAGAGTCGGGAAACGGCTCCTAACTACTGGATCATGATTGCTACAGGTCACTACAGAGTATTTAAGTAAGTATGTAGAAATTCGGAGTACTACAGGCGAAGATAGTAGCAATATATTTCGGGTCCGATGTCCTATGTAATAAGACACAAGGTGCTGCAGACATGTAATAACACGGTCCGAATGTCAGAAAATGTGCACGGGAACAACTACACACCTAGTGAGGCTAGTTCGGATTGACAAGACACGGGATGGACAAGTGTGTGCGAAGTGCAATCGGCCAATGCAATGTCCGAAGGTCTGATGCACCAGGTCCGATACAGAGTGGCTCGTACATGTGTGGAAGTGTGTTGGACATGTGTGCATATGTTTTGGGTGTTGACGTGAGTATAAAAATATGTAGTTTCGAGCCCAACACCGCAACCATCGCTACACCAGGGACGATCCACAAGATGAATGCCCAGTTAGCCAAATTGTCCCCGAGATCTATGAACGGTTCATCTTTGATGTCATCGAACAAGCACCCAACAGGAAATATATGCGGGAGGGTTCATACCTGACCATCCCTGTCCACAGACACATTGATCTGGCATGGCCAGAGCTGTCATTCGATCAAGCTCAGTCCTGCTTCAGCAGCAAGATTTTGAACTTATTCAAACCCCCAAGAACTGGGTTCAGAGACTTTGAATGTAGGAGGGAAGGAAAATAAAGAAAGAATACAATATAAGAGGGTTCCTTGTGGATCAGCATGGGAGTGACTCATAGCGAGAGAGAGTATTGGTGAACACTCAATACTAGACTTTGCATGCAGATGTCATCAGCATAAGCTGACGTAAGCTCTGGATAAAACACTATTACATAACTGTTGATCTGAATATGGTCATTCAATCGTCCATCTTGATCAACTACAACCATAAAGGGAACATTTACAGTAGGAAAATAAATTATATCAAATTAAATGTACCCATTTATATTGAACTCTCAGATCAAAAACATGTCTCACATTTTAAATATACCTCAAGTCGGCATCAATGTAGAAAATATGGTAAGCTTATCACACGTAAAATATCTCATCTGCTGCAATATACTCAATTTCAGACACAACTTGAATACCTTGCAGCAAAGGTAATAATGTGTTCAGTCCTGCTGAGATGTGTGTCTACGAGGCGACACCAAACACCAATATGGAGACCTTGAGTGTGTAGAATGGTGAGAGTGCATGCAGGAGGAAGATGGGAATGTAGACGGGACATGCTGAGATGTGTGTCTATGAGGCGACACCAAACACTGGTCTGGATACTTTGAGTGTGTAGAAGTAATGTGAGGTGAGCACTCACATTTAGGAGGTCGCGCTAGAGCAGAAGACCCATTAGACACCACATGTTGAGGTGATGGTTGATGAAGAGACTTCAACTGGCTTTTCCTCACTGGGGGCCACTAAGGTTTCCCCAGTTTTTTTCAACTGGTCTGCATGTCCACCTTGGCCTCGCGTAGATCTCTCACTTCATTGAGTACCCTCAGAGACTTTGTATGAGCGCCTGGCCCTCTTCTTTGGAGGCATTGAGCAACAAGGCAGGAAGTGTCAAGAATATTGTCACCACCAATTAGTACCCAGAGTATATCACATAAGCTGATGCTTGATGTACTAAACTAGCACAACAGAGTACATGTACAGGTACGGTATGACTCCAAATGTAGTAATAATAATTAGAGGGTACAACAAGTTGAGGTTTGACAGTAGGAGTTGAAGGATATTAAGAAATACGAGAAGCATAAGAGACTTGAAAATTGTGAGAAGACAAGAGGCTCCAGAGTCCATAATGCAGAGCACCAGCACTCGGAAAGAGGATTGTGGAATGAATGTATGGGAAAAAAGTTCAGAAACCTTCTCATTGCCTCTTCCAAGTCGTTCATTTGTTCTGTTTTTTTTGTGAGGAATGAGACAGCAAAGGCTCGGAAAGTGCTGTAGAGGGTATTGGAGGATCTGCTAATGATTTGCTAAGACAAGCAGAACGATGTGGTAAAGAATCAGATGGCCCTGCTGAGGGGGTGTGAAGGGCATGAGATGCTGATGTGCGGGGGTGAAGACTCTGGGATTGTCCTAAACTTAAAGGAGGTGGTTCTTCACCAATAGATCTCATAAATCTATCAAGTAGGTTGAGGACTTCAGCGTGGGTCATCTCTGCCTGATTTTGGGGCACATTCACACCATAAACCATGGTGCCCCATTTTTGCACAAAGGTTGGAATTCCACGAAGTATTTAGATGTCTTGGCGACCAAGAATCTGCCTTGCATCAAAACCCCCATCTTCCTGAAACAGATTGTACTCAGAGGCAAATGGTTATCTGCATTGCCCAAAGCTTCATAAGTGCTCGCCCATGGCAAAGTTTGCTGGGACCAGGTGGGTGCTAATTGGCCATGTGGCCCCCAATACTTAGCAACAAATTCAAAGAAAATGTAAAATAAGGTTTGAGGTCATCACTGGGCCGGTGTTTGATTAGATCTGTATCGAAGTTGACATTCTGCAGAGCATTGACAGCCTGTGGAACAAGGTCAACATTGTTGTCCGCCTTGGAATTGTCCACATTGTTCAGATCAGTGTCCTGGCCTGGGATGTTGGCACCATCCCCAAGTGGGGCTAAATCCAGCATAGCCTGAAGAATATGGATAGAAATGTAGGGCATGGTCCCCTGAAAAAATGAAATAAATAATGAATAGCTAAAAATATGCCAAAACTTACTGTACCATGCAAATAGGTGCCAGTCATGCCTTCCGCTAGAATTGAGGCATGATTGAAATCGATGAAGTAACCAATACCGTCATGAACAATAAAATTATTGGGACTGAGGTCCCCATGCAAGACTCGCTTCTTAATCATCATGTGATGAGCTGAAAATAAAAGGTTGATACAAGTATTTTGCATGCTCAATAAGACTCACCAACTACAAAGGCATGGAAGGCGGTGAGCAATTCTTGTCTAGAGCTGAATTTAGATAATGGCTCTCTACAGGGGGACAAGAGAATGTGGAGGTGGAATCTGTTGCGGAACATCAAGTCATCCCGATGGCCCATGTCGTATTGGCTGCGAATGCATGCTGTACAGTCAGGCTCCCCTTTGTAATACACATCCCAATGGTCTACAAGTTCAACAATGTTAGGGATGCCCTTGACCATCTCCAGGATGGTTGTTTCATGCATTCTCTTCTCCTCTGTCACCCAACAATCTTTTAAAGCATCCTTATTCCCTGCCTCATCAACGACACGATAACAAACCATTCCACGATAGAAAAGCCCATGGCTCTTCCATAGAACCTCCATAATGGAATACATTTTGTTGTGGTTGTCCTTCACCCAGCCCTTCACCCTGTGTGCTAAATTAGGATGAGTTCCTGTGCATGCAGCATTACACATGTGAATTGTTGAATCAAAACCCAAATGGTGAATATCCGATAAAATGAGGGTGCCCAACATCTTTGTGAATTGCACAGGGCCCATGTTTTGATGGATGTGAAAAGGATGGGATATGATGAGACCAGAGTGGTCAAAGTAATGTGCATGAAGCTAATTGGCACAAATCGAATACCCAACAATGAATTGACACCATGGTTGTTCTCTTAGCATTAGGTAGGCTTTGGTCGTAGATCCTCAGAGCACTGGTATATTTTGCTTTTTAGCGAGATCACTGGAGGTATGCTCTACAAAGGACAGGACGTCTGCCCATGTCTTTCCCATGTTTTTGATGGCAAAATTAAACAGGGCTATGTTGGGCTTCTGGCACTGGCAGTTGTATTTGTCTGGTATAGGAGAGGTGGAGAACTCTGCAGACCAGTACTGGGATCCAGCTGATATATTGAAAGGGAGGTGGGGTTTCAGTTTGTGATGCAGGTGATACTGGATGGTGTAGAAGAGACATTGAAACTCTTTTTCAGTTGTCGCGGGCACCTGCCTGTGTCTTTTCTTTGATCCAGAAGGCTTGTACTCTTGGGAACTCCATGTTTCTGTTTCAGATTGACCATGGATCACCAAGTCAAAAGAGGGCTCTATGCCAAGCACTGCACCCTTAATCTCTGCATCATTAATATCCATATCATCGTCATCTGTATCATCATTCCCTGCATCCTTATCATCTGTATCATCATCCTCTGTATCCTCATCCTCTATGCCACTATCCTTGGTATAGTCATCTTGTTCATACTTTGCACCACGAGTACATTTGATTCCTTTTCTCCTGCGATAAAATTTCCATTTGTCTCTGGAGTATGCAGATGGTCCTGTTTTGTCATACTGAATTGTCTTGATCTTGCTTAGTTGGAGAGTAGTTTTTATCACAAGACGATGAAAAATGGAGTTCTCCAATGGTATTCTGGCAACCCTTCCAATACCTTCATGAATCAAGCTGTTTTTCAGCTCTTGCCTGAGGAGAGCTTGCATAGTATCTAATGTGCATGGGCCAGAAGGGACACCAACAGAGCTTATCATTGCATAGAGCAAGAATTTGTCGATGTCGGATTGCCAGGATGACATGGATGACTGCATTGTCCAAGTCAGGTGGTCACGTTCAACTTGTTGTTCAGGCATACAACTACCAATTGGGCAGTGTCCAGGCACATTCCTTATCTGTTACCAGCATGGACCAAAACATATGCCTTTCTCCATTTCCCAATCTTTGCTGACTGTCCATGTGCTACCATCTTGTAGTCCTGTGTTTCATGGCTGTCCTTCCCATTGCCTGCTAAGGCCATCTGCTATGACATTTAACTTACCTGATACATGGTGTACATCTATTATATTGTGTGCCAAAATTCCATCTCGCCATCTTGTGTGTGCCACATTGAGTTGATCGCTTAGTAATACATCTCTTAGCACCTGGCAGTCGGTCTCAATTTCTACTGGAAAACCCCAAATGATGTCGGAGAACTTGTCCAATCCAAACTTTAGCACCGCGAATTCCAGTATGAAAGGTTTGTACTTCTGTTCTGTGGTTGATGTCCGTTTTGATGCAAATGCGATCGGTAACAGATGCTCGCTCCACTTCCCAGATGGTCTTTGCATATGTGTTCATTGTGACAGTACTGCTGCTAGTCCTTCTTGGCAACTGTATGATGTGATGACAAACAGTGATCCATCATACTTTGGCGCTTGTAGAATGGGACGGGCCACTAATGCTGCCTTTAGGTCTATGAATGCCTTGGTGTGTTCTTGTGTCCACTGGTTGTCAAGCTTATGGTTTCATAGAATGCGTCTGTATGTATTCTTGGTGTACAGATGTGTTAATGGTGCTTCCTTTACTAGGTTGCACAGTGGTCCTTCTTGTTTCATGTATCCTAGTATTAAATCCCTAAAATGACTGGTGAGTCCCAGAAATGATTCTAGATTAAGTGCATCTGCTGGCCATTCCCAGTTTATGATAGCCATTAGCTTTTCGAGATCCAGTTGAACTCCTTGTGGTCCTACCGTCGCTCCTGCAAATGTTGTTTCTGTCATGAAGAGTCGACACTTTGTAGGTGACAAAGATAGTTTTCGCTCCTGACAGTACTGAAAAATGTGTTCTAATTTCTCGAACATCTTGTTGAATGTATCGCCTGCACTCCCTCCGTCATCAACAAAGATCTCCATTGTGGTGTCAGCAATCAGGTCATGCAGATGTGTTGCTGTCATCTCACAGAATGTGGTGGGTGCACCGGTGAGTCCCATTGGCATGTGTTTATACCAAAAGTAACTGTGTCCTTCTACATAGAAGGCCATGTATGGCCTAGACTCTTCTGGAACTTCGACAGCATAGAATCAGAATGCAAAGTCAAACACTGACACGTACTTGTTGCCACTTAAACTTAGTTTTTTAGCTTGTATGTCTCCTTGAGGCATTGGCACTATAATGGTGTGTCTGTTGACTTTGTTAAAGTTCTGACATATTCTCCATTTCTGTGGTTTGTCCTCTAATGCTTTTGTAGGTTCCTCACAAGCTTTGCGTTCCGGTAGGGTGAATGCGGATGGTTGACCGTGCTGTGTGTACTGCTCGTTGACCTTGTGCTGTAGTTCTTCAAGTGTAAGTCCACCTTTTTCATGCACCTTCTGTGCTAACACTGTGGTGGTGCAGCATTTGAGTTGTTCTGCCAATGTTTTTTCAATTATTCCCATGGCTAACATTTTGTCAACCCTACTATGTAAGAATTGGGTTTGTGGCAGCATAAGTGCTTGCTGACGAATGTGTAGGCTGAATGTCACGCTTTCCGGTATGTTCAATCGATGTTGGGCTCCAGGTACAGGGAGGACTTCTGAAAGTGAGCATGCAAAAATGTCTGCATATTTTTCCACTAAGTCTTCGACCTTTTTGTGTTCTTCTTCTGTGAGTTCCTTTCCATATTGAACTGCTTTCACAATGTAGGCTACTCGTTTTGGGTTTTTTGGGTCCGTCACTCTTGTCAACACTGTTGCTTCATCTTTGCTGCTTCTTATGATGTTTACTGATGCCTTCATTCCTAGATTCAATGTTTGATCAGTGCTGATTTCTGAAGATGTATTACGACTTTGGGGTCGGACTTCTCTTGTATTGGTATGCTCTCTTTCCTTTGTCATGTCTTCTTTCTGACCGTGGTTGAAGATCATTGTTGAACCTCCTTCTCCTATTATGTGCACTATGTCTGTTTTGTATTCATGTATTGCTCAGAATGCTCGTAGTAGCAGTTTCCCGAGTAGGAACTCCCATCCACCTGTGCTATCAAACACCTCAAACTCTCCCTCCATTGTAATTCCTCCTATTGTGACTTTGCCTTTCCATGTTGCTTTGGATGGTATGACCATACCGTTCACCATGCATAAACATTTTGTCGATGTTCCCCAGCCTCCCAAGCAGTTCTTCACTTGTTCAAATGTCATTGCACACATGGAATTGATCATAGCACCTTTGTCAAACAGTGCTTTAATTTGTATGGCTTCCCCTTGTGTTCCTTTAAGTGAGACGTACTGCAGGAACAGTTGGCATTTGCAGTGAGTCTCTTTGTCGTCCATTGAGTACAATTCAACAATATTATATTGTTCACTAGAATAAGGCTGCATAGTGACATACTCTGTATGTTTGTTGCTTTCGACAGAGGTGTGGTGCTTGTCCTCGTGCGTCTCCTCTCGACACACAAGGACAGATTGTTCCTTGTACTTGTTACAATAACATTTAACCCTACTTATTTTTCTCTTTCTGTAACCATAGCGCCAACTCTAGACTCATCTAGACTTGGCTATTCTCTTATCAAGCAGGCTGTCCGCACTCCTTTCTTCTTGATTGTAACCTAACTACTATCATGCGCCGCATGGTTGTTTCACCTATTCTTGCTATCTTGATAGGTTGTACTATTTCCCTATCTTGTTACCTTTCTTGACGCGGCTGCGCCGCTCTTTGTTACCTATATAAACCCCATGTACAACAGTAGTATTCTTTAACTTAATCTACTGGGTTTTCCCCTTGAATCCTGTTCTATAAGGTCTCCAGCCTTATAGTCTGATATTTGATTCTAAGACAGTCACTCACTGTCTTAGCCTGAAACCTTGATAGGCAGAAGTGCTAAAACCACTCACCGCTGAACCTGACTGTTTTATTTGGTGCTGTTGGGCACTTTAAGGTTGGTATGGGTATGAAGGGCTTAAAGCTTGGAAAGACTATTGTGGATTGATCTGGTGCTTCTGGTAATGATTCTTCGTCATCGTCTGCTAGCTGTTGGTTGACCTTGTATTCTGACTCGTCTTGCTCGTTCTCTAGCATTCGTTGGTCAATTTCGAGAGTGTCTAAAGGCGATGATTCTGATGATGGGAATGTGCTATCGGAGAGGTCTGGGTTACAGGGTGTTTTCTTTCTGAAGTGTCCTTTCTTGTCTCTGGGTGGTAATTCTTGTTGGGAATGCAGTTTGTCTGTGGTGGTGGGTTTTAGTAAGAAGAACAGGTTTTTATATTGGTTGGAGGCTATGCTTGGTGCGTTTTCCTTGTGTTCTGACATGAGGTGTGACATTCTCTAGGCTTTGTTTAACTCGGTTGCTCTGGCTCTGGCTCTGTACTCTGTGCTCTGCTCTGTGTTAATTGGAATGAAGAAAATGAAGTTAGGACGATCTCACCCTGTTCACCAGTTGGAGTGGGCTCTGCTGAATGTGTATGCTGTACTCGACAACCTAAGTGATGAACTGCTACTGCTCCTGAGACTCTCTCTAAGCTCTCCAACTCTGCTCCAAACACTGCTAAACAACCTCTACAACACAACCTCCTCCCTAGGGGTCCCCTACTCCAACACTTCAGCCAGATTGATAAGAATAGAAAAGGACTCACCCCTTAATCCTGACTGGGGCCACTCATACTCTCTATCAACATTGATAAGGACGGCATCTCATTGGCCTTTCGGCCACTTGGGACATGGTGGAGAGGCATGCAAGGTTTGCGCTGGTAAGATGACACATGGATCATGGAAGGAAACTTCCTGCAAGTGAACTGTGTGCCAAATTTGAACACAATCAAAAGGCAGAGTAGAAGAATGGTCAATTGATGATCTCCTTGAGATTCCAACCCCGTGAATCACATTTCTGTTCCTCGCGTCAAGTCGCAAAAAGTTTGAAATAGCATCACAAAGATCCAGTATGTTGAACTCGTCTGCAACATTGTCAATTTTCATTCCAGTGTGAGTTGGACTATAATTTAGATGGATAGCAGTATTACCAGCAGTAAATGTTCAAGGAGGATGAGGGCTAGGTCCACGAGGTATGGTAGCTGCCTCATTAGCTTTGATGAAGTATTTAGTAGTGACATGTATGCAATTAAGCCCCTCCAGGAGTGCAGTTCATTGATCAGTAGACAGTTCTTTGACTCCAGCAATGTCTTCATCATCTCCCTCATCCATTGGTAATTCTTTGGGGTCTGGATCAAGGACATCACTCTTCAACGTCATAGCAATTGCAAATCACTGCAGCTTGTCCTGTCAATCTAAATGACGGCAAATCTGAGGGTCATAATCATTATTGTTAGTTTGTTGCGCAGGTTCCTTGATTTCAGACACATGCACATGTTCAGTGACATCCACAGACCACTGGATGAGGGCTCCAACTTTGCGTGTGCTGGTGGTGATGCTCTGCATTAGCTCTAGCTTAGGTATATACCAATTATCGATTGTCTTCTTCATACCAGTCTGTGCGCCCAATGTCATAATAACATCTTTGTTTTGATGAAAGGTTGAAAGAGATTGGTTAATAGATGCCAATAAATTGTTGTCTGGAGAAGGAGATTGTGACATATACTGGACATCCATAAGGGCACAGATTGCGATCACAAATCGATGAGGGGCTGCACCAATGATGAGACCGACAATGTAACACTGCAGATTACAGTGGAATCTGCCTGTAACTTGCTTGAGCTTTGTTATTCCACCAGAATAGTGATGATAGCCTGTGACTGGCTGCAAAATTGAGAATCAAAAATTGAGTTCTTGAGCTCCAAGAACCACAATGCACCACTAAAGATCGTGATCGAAACATTGCTTATGCCAGTGATGCCGAGCCTCTGGAGTTAGAAAGACTGAGGGGCAAGCAGACAGCCAATCTTGCCAGAAGGGTGCATGGACACCGTTTAGACAATATACAGCGCATGCATCAAAATAACCTTCGAGGTCATTGGGATCAACGTGTATCTTGGTGAGCTGATTGAGAGTGATATGGCATGTACGTTTGGGGTGACGAAAATTGTCCCCAAACTCCAGATACGATGTCATCGTAAATGGGGAGGTTTTCCCATGTACACACGCAAGCATACATGCCTCCAGGGTATCAACAATGTATGCTGCAAGGGGCATATAGCAATGGCGAACATTTCTGACAGGGTCAGACATCATTATCCCAATTTCAGCCGTGATCATCAATGGCTTTAAGACGATGGAAAGACATTGATGTATGAGGTGGTTTCTGAGTAAAAAAAAAGGGGTGTGGTGCAGACACGTGTTAGAATGCGAAGGTCTATGATGGGGTTATGCTCACACTATACAATTAAGGTAGTTAGTAATATGTACTTGCAGTTTATTGGTGTTTTGGGTGTTCTTGTATTATAAAGTCTGTTTGGAGATATGTGCAGGCAATGCGCATTATATGAGACAAATGCGGCAAGAGAGAAGGGAAACTGAGTGTCACCAGCTGAAACCCAGGGTAAAACGGAGAGTATATACTACGGTGCGATATTTTTGTGTTTTTCTTTTATTTGATGTTTTTGTTGTGTTTTAGCGGATAGGATGGGGGTATGTGGATGGGGTCGGCATATGTGCAGGGTGTGGATGATCAACATGTGCTAGTTGTGCTGCGCATTTTCCGGTTCATCTTCTTCGGGCTCTACAGCTTTCCTTGCTTCTAGTTGGTCTAAACTCTTGTCGTCTATGCCAGTCATTTGAGTCACCAATACCCATTCTTCACTGCGCGGGTAGTACAGTATGATGCAAAATGCGGCGAATTGAAGCTTTGAGATCGTGCTGTCCAACTCGGCCAGCATATATGAGCCTCCCTTTGTGCACCACACTACGATCATTGGTCCCAGATAACGCGGCTTTGTCTTCTTGCTCAATTCGTACTCAATTCTTGAATTGCGGACGAGAACTAAGGTGCCAGGTTCAAAGTCATGTGATTTGATAGACATTGTAAAGAGTAGATCTGGGCTGGGCTCTACTGAATGTGAGTCCCTAGTCCTGAGAGATGCGAGTATGCTTCGTCCCAAGAGACAACCTAAGAACTACCTTGATAATGCAAGGGAAGTCTTATACAGTTAGAGAGTAGACAAGATATTGGAAGAAAACCTCTTTAATGCTCATCCGTAGTTCCGAGACTACTTCCAAAGTACTGAGAAGCTTGTCCAATGCGACCAAAGGTCGTCCGAGGCTGCAAGAGTGTTGTCCAAAGTAGCGCGATGCCTTCCGAGGCTTGCGAAGGCTGTCCGAAGGTCTATATATGTCGGTGTGTCGATGTGTCGGTATGTCAGTGCGTCAAATAACAGTATAAGACTTTGCGCAACGTCCGAAGGTCGGAACTACGCTAATCTATCGGGACTCGAGAATAAACGAAGTGTGGAATTGGCAGCGGTCTAGCCAGACAATTGTTCCAAATGAACAAGGATCAATTGCACAGTTTACGATTATACCGAGGTGACTCTACTAATTACTACTCGAAGTACAGGAAGTGAAGTGTCCTATCAGTAGCCAGCAAGCAAGATTATATCCCACTTCCATGAGAGGCCGGAATCCGTAGGCGAAACTAGTAGCGAGATAAGCAAGTCCGAACCTATGTAATAAGCCGCGAGGTGTGCAAGAATGCAAGTATACATGTAATAAGCCGCAATGCGTACAGCTTATATGTATTCCAAGGCTCCCGACAGGATGCCGATGGGATTGTTATCCATGTAGCACTAAGACGTAGTCAACATATAGTCAGAATAAAGGAAAATGCACCAGCAAAGTCAAAAGGACGAGGATAGGACATGGTATGGTAACTTGCGAGGTTTGGACGGGTCTCGGAACACGAGAACTGCCTGCAGAAGGTTCGGACAAGTGCGCGCGGCCTTCGGAAGGTCAAGGGAGGTCGGGGAATGGTATGAACGTAGGTATTGGATTGCCTGGTTTCGAGCCCAGCGCCGCGACCATCATTACACCGGTCTAGGACAGGTCTGGGCAACTTGATCAAGCTATTGGCCTGTTCCTAAATATAAACAGTTACAAATGATTTGACTGCATGTCTGAAAGTTGGGCACACCATTCAATCAGACACCAAGATCTCTGGCAAATACCAAGCGAGTATCCTTCCGTGCTTGTCAACAAACGTGGTCAGCTCCTAGATGTGGCCGAAAGAAGAAGTTTTGAAATATTTTGCAAGTTTTTCTCTTTGTTGACTGTCAGCATTCAACAGGTTTGTTGACACCTTAGCTTGGTCTGCAAAATGGTGGACATCCCAATCCGCCCTTACTGGGGTCAAACAATCACAAATAGATCCCAGTCAAATTCAAATAAAATCTTACAGCTATTAACAGCAGCATAAGCTATGGTGACTGCAGCCTGTTAAGATCGTGCTCAAAGGTTCAATCCGAAGGACTTGGCTTCAGCTCGTGCACTGCGCCCCTTACCCGAGTATGTGCCCCTAACTTCTGAAGGCTAATGGACAATGTTTGAAGGGCATCAGGCGATGTCCGGAAGTATTGGACAATGTCCAGGTTCCGATTGTCCGATGCGCAGGAATTCTGGTGGACGTTCGGGAACAGGTGATAAGACTAATCCGGACAATGTCCAAACTAGAAAGGAAACAGTGGAGGACTACCAAAGGTAGAGGCAGAGGTGATAAGTCTATCGGGATCGACCCTAAGACTAGCGGAGGTCAATGAGAGAATAACTCAAGTCAAACGGAGGGAAGAATGAGCAGAGTCTAAGATAATATTGAACTGAAGATGTACATAGATTCTACAGGGTTTATATACCATGGAGGACTTAATGGAGGACAAGCCAGCGCAGTCCGAAGCTATGCGAGGCTGTGGACAGAGATTATAGAAAAGTCAAACACTAGTCTATCAAAAATAGTAAATGAACCTGGAGATGAGAACAGAGGAAAATAAAGGTGGAAGTGAAATGGGGTACGGAAAATAATATAGCCTAACTGGAATAGGAACGTACAAAGGGATTAGGCACAGAAGTTAGATGCGGGTCGGATCCGGACATAGATAGAAGTCAGTCGGATCCGGATATCTGGAAATGATGTGTGTGATACGTCCGGGTCCAAAACGCAGGATATGACACAGCCCTGGAGAGTTCAATCTCGGCAATCTCCCTGGTCTTGACTTGTATGGCAGAACTGGAAAGTTGAACCTTCTGCCACTCATTCCACAGTCTCATCCTGAAATTTGGAGCAGTTCAGCACAACCGAGTCTTAACTTAAAACCGGCTTACTTTGCTTTTTCTAGTAACCTATCATCTATCTCAGTATCTGAGAATAATTCAAAAGGTGATGAGTTCTGGAGTAGCTCATCTACACAGCTAGAGAGGTTTTTAGACAGTTTTGTCACAGGATCTTCCATGGCAGAAGCAAAAGAAGAACAGAAGATTAATGGCACCAGGTGGCAACAGGAAAACTTTTCCAGTAGTTTGGAGCTAGTCTATATGGAGAATTACCAAATTGAGATAATGTGAGGTGATGTATGTAATGGCTACCGGAATGCCTTAGATGGATTTGATAGGCTGTTAACCTCATGATGACCGGAACTGGTAGGATTGTAGGAGACTGCTGATGGCATTATCTGGTACAAGAATTGTAATACTAGCCTGCTCAGAAGCCATTGCGTACACCACCTCGCAAACACGTGCAGTACAGGAATAGTGAGACTGTTCTTGTACTGTAAGGAAGATAAGATGATATTTGTATCCAGTACAAGAATAGTCAGATAGTCCGACTATTCTTATACTGAGCAAGCTAGCTTGGCAAAGCTGCTCAAGAAGCCACCGGCTGCACCACCTCACAAATCCATCCAGTACAAGAATAGTGAGACTATTCCTCTGTTCTTGTACTGTAAGGAAGATAAGATGATATCCGTATCCAGTACAAGAATAGTCAGATAGTCCAACTATTCTTGTACTGAGCAAGCTAGCTTGGCAAAGCTGCTCAAGAAGCCACCAGCTGCACCACTTCACAAATCCATCCAGTACAAGAACAGTCAGATAGTCCGACTATTCTTGTACTGAATGAGTGAGCTTGGTGAAGCTGCTCAGGAAGCCATTGCATACACCACCTCACAAATCCGCCCAGTAGAAGATTAGTTTCACTATTCTAGTGTTATATTTAGACTTGCCACAGACACTACTCAGAATTCTAGTTGGGCAAGGAGTACCAGCTGGACAGTTACTTATTGGGGGCGCACTGGCACAGTCACATGTCTTATCATGGGTGGTCGGTCACGTGACTTGTTACTTGGGTGAAGGGTGGCCTGCTCAGTCTTTCTTTTGCAAGCTTTGTTGTAAGGTATTACATGACAAAGCTAGTATAAAGTAAAGAAAACAACGAAAATACTAAGATGTACAGAAAAACACATATTACAGTGACATATTTCCGTATTATATGGGTCACCTGACCTACATAATATCCCATATAAGACAGGCCAGCGGACTATGGGCTGATGTTATGTATATCCCCGATATTGATGGATGGGCCGGGAGGGATATTATTTCTGATGGAGACAGGTGGGCCCATCTATGCTGATATTATATATATCCTCAAAGATGTCGGGTGAGCTGATGTAATGGTTTATTGTATAGATGGGTGGGCTGACGTACAGGAACTATTTTGTACACAGGTGGGCCGAGGGAGTGGTGGAATATGTATTATATAGACGGGTGGGCCGATGTAAGGGTTTATTGTATAGATGGGTGGGCCGACATACTGGAATTATTTTGTAGACGGATGGGCCGAGGGAGTGGTGGAATATTCATTATATAGATGGGTGGGCCGATGGAGGGGGATGTTATATAGATGGGTGGGCTGAGGTAGTGAGATATCTGTCTGACATTCATGGATTACCGAGTCCCAGATGCCTAAAAACTGAATCCCATTGTGCAACATCCATTCTGGACACCTGAACACACCAAGCTCAAGACTATAATCTGGAAACTTGTGAAAATGTGTGAAATTTCTATTTCCTGACACCAAACACATGAACACCTGAACACCCAAAGCCTGAAGCTTGAAAGTCCATTTATCAAATTACTGAGTGCCGAGTGCTGATAAACCTGAAGCCTGAGACCCAAAATCCGAAGCCCAGAACCCAAAAACATGTATGCAAAATGTCCATTTTTCATTCATTGCACAAATCACTGAGTGTCAAGTGCCGAAATCCGAAACTTGAGACCCAGTACACAAATCACCAAGTACTGAGTGCTGAGGGCCGAACCCCAAAGTCTGAGGCCTGAAACCCGATGTTCAAAACCCAAAAACATGTATATAACATATCCATTTTTTAGTCATTGCACAAATCACCGAGTGTCGAGTGCCAAAACCCAAAACTTGAAACCCGGTATGCAACATGCCCATTTTTCATTTACATTAAACAAATCATTGAATGCCGAGTGCTGAGGCACAAAGCCCGATGTCCAAAGCCCAAAACCCGAAGCCCGAGACCTGAAAATATGTATACAACATATCCATATTTCCCTCACTGCACCAATCACCAAGTGTCAAGTACTGAAACCCAAAACTCGACACCCGGTACACAAATCACCAAGTGCCGAGTGCCGAGTGCCGAGTGCTGAGTGCCGAGGCCCAAAGCCCGATGTCCAAAGCCCAAAACCCGAAGCCTGAAACCCGAAAATATGTGTACAACATATCCATATTTCACTCATTGCACAAATCACCAAGTGTTGAGTACCAAAACCCAAAACTCGACACCCGGTACACCCATCACCAAGTGCTGAGTGCTGAGTGCCGAGGCCCAAAGCCCGATGTCCAAAGCCCAAAACCCAAAGCCTGAAACCTGATAATATGTATGCAACATATCCATTTTTTCCTCATTGCACAACTCACTGAGTGTCAAGTACCAAAACCCGAAACTTGAGACCCAGTACACAAATCACCAAGTGCAGAGTGCCAAGTGCCAAGGCCCAAAACCCGACATCTGAAGCCCAAATTCCGAAGCCCGAAACCCAAAAACATGTATGCAATATTTCCATTTTTTACTCATTGCACAAATCACTGAGTGTTGAGTGCCAAAACCCGAAACTCAAAACCTGGTGTGCAATAAGCAAAGATAATGAAAAAATGGAAGTTGTTGTCTGAGTCTAGGTGAGTGTATTGGTAGTCTTTTCTTGTCCATCAGTTATCATTTGACCAAGATATAAGCTAAATAAATCTGAAACATCGGCGAGAATGAAAAATGAAAGTTGTAGTCCAAGTCAAGGTGAGTGTATTGGTAGTCTGTTCTTGTCAATTGGTTATTTCATTACTTGGTACTTGGTGCTTAGAAATCAGTACTCAGTACTTGGTGCTTAGAAATCAGTACTCAGTACTTGGTTCTGATACTTGGTACCTGGTGTAATGATAGTCATGGCACTGGGCTCAAAACCCATGTTTTTGATACTCACATTAAACAGTATTTGTCCGATGCATCCCTGACATTCCGATCCTGATCCCGACACCCGACCCCGACCTGAAAGTTTGGACCCAACGTTTTTGCATCGGACTCATCCTTCCTATGTCCTGTCTAGTCGTATCTATCCCCACTGGTGCATATTTACTCATTTTCACATTATTGAATATTACAGACAGTGTTATTACATGTAAGCATAGACCATTGCACTTTTGACATTTTTCACGATTTTCAGTATCTTGCCCTTGCATCCATGATCCAACCTTTTAATATATAATGAGCATAGCTTATATTATTGCCTCTTATGACCAAGATCAGCTCACAATAGGCTGGAGTTTGTGAGCTAGTGTGCATACTTGCCATTTCTCCTGATAAGGGGCCCATACCTTCAAAACATTGAATCTTCATGATCAGAAACCTGCAGTACATTGAAAATATATTAAGTATCATAGACATAAATTTACAGACAAATCCACCAAGAATTGAGTACTGAGGAAGTGAAATAGATAAAAAATGGAGTGTGGGAAACTTCAAAGACCCAAAGCATCGAAAATGGTCAGTGAAGCAATAATAGGACTTTAATGCTGAGTCAACTCATGTTTTCACTATATCCCTTCCACCCACCCCCTACCCTCAAGGCAGTAGGCAGTATGGGTTCCTTAGGTAGTTTACAATCTATCCTACATATTTGTAATGAAATCTTTGGCCTGAATCATCTATAAATGCGACTTTGTAAAAATATGTCTATTGTCACATTTCACACATATGCCTGTCATTACATCAATCCTTCATGTATCTTTCTAAACTATTAGGGCTATTATAATGGACATATATGGGTGTTATTCCAGGTCTCTGATCCCATCACAGGCTTGTTATGTTGGATATCTCAACATAATGTGCAAGTCTCGCTATTAATATTCATTCCTTTATCTTTATGCTCACTTACTGCACACCTCATCTTTACATCATTGCTAACATGCCAGACAAATATATAATCCTCATACCTGCATCATCCTACCTCAGTCTATTTGTTCTCAGACTGAGGTATGACTATACATTCATTATCATACTCGACATTGACTAACATTTAACGTAGTCTTCAAATAATCCCCAATTGACAAGAATGACATGAGTATGAAAATCAGTGGTTCCGAGCCCAGCACCGCAACCATCACTACACTGAGTACCAATACTTGGTAGGACCACCAATACACTCACATAGACTCGGACTACAACCTTCATTAAGAAAGTTAAGCATAATAATAATTTTCATTTTTTCATTATCATTTTTCTATATTGACTAGCCAGTCCCGAGTCCCAACACTCGGTATTCAATACAATTCCCAAGTTATTTGAACCCTACATCAATGGATAATACATACAAATACAGAATTCATGTCCAGTTGTAGTCACGTGTACCGGGTGTTCAGTTTTGGGTTTCAGATTTTGGGACTCAGGCTTTGGGTCTATCAGCACTCGGCATTCGGTGATTTGATAAATGGACTTTCAAGCTTCAGGCTTTGGGTGTTCAGGTGTTCATGTGTTTGGTGTCAGGAAATAGAAATTTCACACATTTTCACAAGTTTCCAGATTATAGTCTCGAGCTTGGGGTGTTCGGGTGTCCGGAATGGATGTTGCACAATGGGATTCAGTTTTTGGGCATCTGGGACTCGGTAATCCATGAATGTCAGACAGATATCTCACTACCTTGGCCCACCCGTCTATACAACATCCCCCTCCATCGGCCCACCCGTCTATATAATGAATATTCCACCACTCCCTTGGCCCATCCGTCTACAAAATAATTCCAGTATGTCGGCCTACCCATCTATACAATAAACCCTTACATCTGTCCACCTGTCTATATAATACATATTCCACCACTCCCTCGGCCCACCTGTGTACAAAATAATTCCTGTACGTTGGCCCACCCATCTATACAATAAACCATTACATCGGCCCACCTGACATCTTTGAGGATATATATAATATCAGCATAGATGGGCCCACCCGTCTCCATCAGAAATAATATCCCTCCCAGCCCATCCGTCAACATCGGGGATATACATAACATCGGCCCATAGTCCGCTGGCCCATCTTATACGGGATACTATGTAGGTCAGGTGACCCGTATAATACGGAAATATGTCACCGTAATATGTGAGTTTCTACCATCTCAAATTCCGTGTAAGCCAACATTCCCTTGTGTGCAGAAGTGTGTTGCCTTTTGATATTCCTGCTAGCATCTCTGAAATCACACCCATAGCTTACAAGCTCAGATCTTCATTATGGCTCTTGATGAGTTCCATAATGTCTTTAGCTCATAACTCATTCTACATATTTTCTAGCGATAATGTCATTCTGTATTTGGTCAGAAAAGGAAGCCGGAGCGCAGATGAGCAGAACGAGAGGTGGTCATATGTATTCCTGGCATATGCAAGGCTGCAGCTTTTTGCCATAGGTTTATACTGTCACAAGTTCCTCACACCACTCACATCCCATCTCATGTTGCGCGCACAAGTTTATATTAAAGGAGCTGAGATGGTACCTATAGCTATTTGGCGCTAATAGAAATTCACACTTTGCAGTGTAGAGAACTGATTCCCGCTGGGCTCAGCAGAAATTGTACTACCTAGACAACAAATATTTAGGTAGATCTTAGCACGACCTAGTCTGCTATACTTGCAGAGCAAGTGCATTCGATCCTATAGGGGTAGCTGTTTGGTATTAGTTTTTATAGTTAGTTATCAATAATAGGAAGATAATCCGAAGCTAAGAACTACTTGTCCGAAGGGAAACTGTTGGGTCCGAAAATATCAGAGTCGGGTCGGGTGTCGGACTATGCATCAGACTGTCGGGAATGCGCCGGATGATAAAGGAATGTGTCGGAAGTGTGTCAGATTGTCGGTCAAATGAATGTCGGATGTGTCGGAATGTTTCGGAGGAAAAGAGCAGATAGATATTTCGCAATACAATAAAGTACTACTAATATCCAATGACTTCCATCCTACTACTGAGTAGGGAAAAGTAAGTAATGCAATAGGTAGGAAGTACTAGATATTAAATAGTGACCATGTAGAAATTCGGACTGCTATAGGCGAGAGTAGTAGTGATATTTCGGGTCCGAAATCCTATGTAATAGGACATGTGGTACTGCGGACCATGAGAAAACATGTAATAACACTGTATACAATGCTTAGCAAGTCAAAAGGAGTAAATACGCACCTAGTGGGGATAGATGCGACTGGACAGGACATAGGGAGGACTGGTGCGATGCGCGGGAATGTCGGGTCGGGATCGGACATGTGTCAGACTGTCGGAAAGTGTGTCGGGTCGGGATCAGACTGTCGGACTTGGGTCAGGGTAGTCGGGAGTGCGTCGGACAAATACTGTTTGACATCAGTATCAAAATAGCTGGTTCCGAGCCCAGCACCACGACCATCGTTACAGCGGTTTGTTGGTGGTGCATCTAGAAAGGCTTACCAAAACAAGAACAGGAACAGTTGTTAGTGTTGACAGAGTGCTACCATGTGTGTTGCAATAGCGGCACGTCACAACTTTGTAGTAAATTTTAATGATATCATACATCTGTTGAGCAACGCCAAAGCTACTTCTCACAAGAAGGTTGTGGATAATGTTTTAATTCAGAAGAAAAAAGAGAACACTAAACAACGTTGAGAGAAGTGCGCTACCATATTTTACATGTTGCGATGGCGCCGTGTCACGATTTCATGGTATGCTGGAATGGTATTATACATTTGTTGAGCAGTGTCAGAGCTCTGTCTCTCGAGAATGGCTTGAATAGTGTTATATTCAACATATAAATAAGGCAAAATGACAATGCTCAAAATAAATGGCACAAGCAAGCTATCACCCCTCACCTGCTGCAATGGAAGAATGAGATGACATTGTCGTGGACTGTTCATGCTACTCTGCATTTAAAGATGTGAATGACTATGTATCTACGACTCAAGATTCTTGCAGTATTTATGATATTATTTAGCAGGAGCAAAATTGTATCTTTCTGTAGTTCTCATGGCTACAATATCAAGGAATCATCAATTCACTGATGATGGTCATATTGGTAGAGAATGGAGGTGTGGGTGAGAGATGAAGTTGATAGACCTACAGTGATAGCATATATACCTAGCCTGCTCAGGACCAGCCTGGCTTAGTTAGTTAGGTTATAATCACCGAAATGGAATCCAACTGTTAGTCATGAAACATGGGGGCCATTTTGACTCAGATCAGTGGAACGACACTGCAAAGGGCAGAATGCAAATTGTGTTGGCATGCCAATGCCAGAACACAAGGAGATCCAACAGATAACTCAAGATGGACTAGCACAAATCCTGGACTGGCCTACTCCTCATCAATCATCCTCGGGTCATCTGTCGCTTTGTGTACGCCTCCTTTCAAATTCTCTCTACCTTAGTTATCGAACTTTCGTATTACGAGTTTTCCGATAATGATGAGCACAGAATCTTCAATCTGCATGGTGAAGTTGGTGCGGTGCTGACAGGGCATCAGTTCGCCCAGCCAGATATAAGCGCTTAAGCCTCACCAAAGGGAAGCTATGATAATTTGAACCCTCCACGTGTTCACCTTGATTATATCAGCCTATCAAAGATCGAGACACATTTGCAGCATGCGGTTGATGAGATGTGGATGCATGTCCTGTTGGATTTAGATTATTTAAATTTCCTTATCGAGTTTCGACTCGGAACGAGCCGATTGTGGCTTAAACTTTATTTCGCCGTGATTACATACAGTAGCGATATTTTTGTATACCTTACGCGTTTGCAACAAATTCACCGTGCTACCTGCTGCCGAAAATTCTATATGTCCATAATGTGTGGTGAACACAAGAGGCATATTGTTCTTAACAGGAACGATCATGCACTCAAATGGATAATTGAGCACCTGCTAGGCTATCACTTGTTTCATTGTCATGATGGCATCATGTACTCCACTCACTTAGCATATATGGTCAAACGGAAGGATATACCGCGTATGCAAAGATGCAACAATACAATGCTAAATACCATAAATCACAGGAATGTCGAGGAAGTGTAGAGGAGACTAGATCATATCCACCAGTTGATTTGACACAGCTCTATGTAACGAACGAGCTCCCTCTGATGGAACATAACTTGGCAGCGCTTTCATCACAATTGCCTCCACGTCTTGAGGGGACAGGGTGTTTGCAACGTTGCAAGTGAGAGAGTATACCGCTTCAGCCGCGATCGCCATTTTTTCTTCCAAGGTGAAGGGAATAAATGGCAACACGGTGGTCACGCGAGACAAAAGTGAAGCCTGGAAAAGACAGCATAAGAGAGTCCGTAAAGGATTTGACCACTTCGAGCACTCACTCCGAGGCATTGCGAGACATGAGGTCTTGAAAGATCCATGAGATCTCGGTACTCGTCTCGAGTGATGGGTTTGCTTGGATCTGGTCGGGAATCATGGTACTCAAATACAACGTTATGGCCTATATTGGACGTTCCAAGCCAGATCACTTTCGTGAGATTGACATGTCGTTTTCCCACTTCAAGGGAACAGCGGCCTTTAAAACAGTAAAGTATTGTCGTACTCACAATGTTATATAAACTCACCGAGCTCCCAAGGCATGAGAAGAGAGTACAACGCCTTTGGATCTTCTACCTTCTCAATCTCCTGAGGCAGAAATGAGTGAACTTCGCGGAAGAAGTTTGAAGCGGAACGTACGTCTAGTACAACTACGCATCGCTCGCCTTCGTTGTTAAGCAGAAATTGGGCCAAAGTATCTGAGGAAGGTTCCTTCGCGGAAGTATATATCAAGGTGAGTTCCATCAACAAAGAAAACATGACAAACCTCATACGGGCTCATAGAGTATGATTGCCATAGATCGTGCGTGGAGCGCAAGGTGGTCATGTTAACAGTATGGGTGGGAATATCTAAGAGACTTCCAACTACAAGAGAAACGATAAGTTGAAGGCGTAATTCGTAAAGATGAGTTACGAACATTTACGGGCCAGTAAGCTCTTCCCATGACCACTCGGACCTAGGGGAGATATAACAATGCGTCTCGTACTTAGCTGGAGAACATACCGCAAAGCAAAACCACGATGGGAGCCACCGACAACCGTTGAGAGTGCATACTCAACACCCTAAAAAGTTGTTCTAAGACCCAGTCTTGACCAATGAGATCATATCGAACTCTTGTGAGTGGCCGGAAGAACGAGCGATATATAAGCTGAGATGTTTGTCGAGTGTGTGGTGAATCGGCTCTGGTAACATAGTATCTAAAAATCGAGTGAGCAAAACAGTGATGGAAGGTTAAAAGGTACTGCTTACCTCGTCGCAGGGTCCATTCCTTCTGGCATTGTCTCTTCAGGCTGTGAATGTGAGCCCGAAACACCATCACTTCCCTCCGGTGACATTTGTGCAGATGGATTTAAGTTTGGATTCCGCAATGCCGATGGATCTGCGCCATATGCTAACAGGGCCTTGACAATCTCATTCTTGTGCGATAGTTTGTCATTGGTCAACGTAAAGGCCAGGGCGGACTGAGGACCGACTTGGTCGTTAGGTCCAGCTTCGCCGCTCTCGAGCACCTGTCGCACTTCATTGACATCGTCGCTCGCAATGGCAAACAAGAGAGTCGGCTTTGGCGTCGCTATCGCATGAACTGGAGCTTCGAGAACGGATGAAGATTGTGGGGGAAGACCGGAGAGGGAACGACGAATCGTGCGGCTGTATTCATCGACATTATCCTCTTCATTGTCGCGTGCCAAACTAAGAGTTGACAGTTGGCATGGCTGGGGGTGGAGCGGCTGATTAACATCACAAGAGTCCCTTTGGTAACGCGAAAGGCGCCAAGACGGAGCCTGTTGAACTGGCGCAGTGTGCAATTGGGACTCTCTCCGCGCGGAATGAACAAGAGACGAAGGAGCGGAAGTAAATGCGAACAACGATGAAGAACTAGGATGAGCGGGTGTGAGGGTATTGTGAATATGCTCGGAAATATGCTCGGGTATGCTTGGACATGGTGAAGGCAGCTGCCCACAAAAGTGAGACTGGCACAAAGGGCAGAAACACTATGAGCTTACGTACCAGTGAATTATACGATAGCGAAGTACTAGATGATACATTGGGTGAATGAGGTGAAGCCGAGTTGAAGATATGATCTGTATTCAAGAATGAGTACGACAATCACCGAAAAGGTATTTGAAGTAGTGACCGGATAATATATTAGACATGATGGACGAAGACGATGATACGGACGACCTCGGATTAAGCAAACTAGACTGAAGGCGAACTTGAGTTATGGTGTACAGGAATTGCTGGCATTTGACAACTCACCAGCCTGAGAGGTTTTAATCCAGTAGCAGATGGTTCTTGTTGCAGCTCAACGGGAGACAAGAGCCGGTCAGTAGACGGTGGGTTCGGTGGAAAGTCGAGTGTCTGCGGGGCAGCATTCGCACTGGCGGCGTCACTATCTCGTCTCGCTGCTGGATAAAAGACAGGTGAAACGGAAGATGAGGGTTGAATACCCTGCAATGGCCTTCTGGCTACAAACTACAGGGCCATCCATGAGCGGCAGTCAGACTATCACTTCAAAAGCCTACCTGTGGATTGACGCGTCGAAAACCCAACGGTACCTTTGTGCTCCCTGCTTTTCGCGATGAAAGATTTGATATTACTGGAGCCGAGAGGGAGGGACTATTTGCTCTAGGCGAAAGTCCATCTGTATGGGAGGAGAACCATCGCTTCGTATCACGTCCATTCGACAGGGATAGAATGAGTGGTAGACTCTGAGCAGTAGACGATGAGGACGGCTGAGCCTCAAAGGTCGATGGAATGCGTATTGTGAGATTCAATGGAGCTCTAAGTGGCACAGGGGAGCCCGTTCCAGCTAGCACGGAGAAATGTTTCTCCTTATGATCATGTGCTGTTGATTCAAGAACAGATACTGGATGTAGATTCGGAGATTCCCCCATTTCATGAGCTAGTTTCACGTCAGTAGCATCCATATTTGGTGAATCGGCGGGATGTGTATCCACGGTTCGATCATCAAGCGCTTGTAGGAAGTCTGCGTCTTCGTCCATATTAGTGTCAACGGGGTTAGCCGGGATGAGGGCCATGGGTGACGGAGAAAAGCAAGGAGCATACGGCGACAGTGAATCTGGTTTCACGGTGGCATCCGAGATAGCACGACTCCTCTGTACAAATTCGATGATCGATGGAGCATCGACAAAATCAAAAGTCGCAGCTGAGGAATCGTTGACAGTACTGGTGTTAACTAGTGATTGATCGTGAAAATGAGCTGTTTGGATATCTCGTTTCCTTTGAAGTAGGAATGCATCTATGTCATGAGTTCCAATTTGCCCGGCAGGAGCCTCCAAGGCCACTGGTAAAGATACCATGTCATCCAAGAGGCCTTCAGTGCTAGGTCGGCCACGAAGTGCATCGCTCTCATCAAGTTCAACAGGGCTAACACTCACGCCTTCCTCGACGGACAAGACATCTTCCGCACCACTCTGACGATGAAGGTTGACGGAAAAGTCGCCTAATTGAGATCCCCAAGACGTACGCACGCCAGCCTCATCGTGATCGAAGTCTGCATCGTCAGATAAGAACATCATAGGAGACATTGAAGACATGCGCAAAGCCTGTCGGACATCCGCGTTCAGAGCATCATGCCACGAATCACGATGATCATCAGTCTGGACACCTGAACCACCTCCGGTTGTGTCTAGAGCATCCCCTGCAGGCACTAGCATGTCGTCGGAAAGGGAAAATACATGCCCAATGTGGGCTAGAAGTTCACGGGAAATGCTTGGCCGCTCGCTGAGGTAGGAAATAAATGACTCTTGACTTTCCGTTGGGTGGCTTGTATAAAGTTGATCTTCCTGGAGTTCATATCCATCCATATTATCATCATGCCGTATCAACGATAAAGTGGACTTCGCTGGTGTAAGACCACTCTGCCGTGGCGAAGGAGGCTGAGAGGAAACGGTTTCTTGAGTGATGTCGCCAACCATGTAGTCGCACTCAATTGAGGATATGGACGTATTCGGAGACGAGCGGCCAGACGGGAAAGTGCCTAAAGATAGCGCCGACACGTTTGATGACAACTCTCCCTGCACAAGCTCAGGGTCATCCACATACGGGGAAACTAAGGAGGGGGTAGTGACGTCATTAGCTCTGCTGACAATATGAACGTCGGAAGTAGCGGGTTCGGGTAGTAGAGAGGGCGGAAGACCGCAAAATTCCAGGTCAACGAGCACTGCTTCCTGGGATAGAAAAACCCCTTTGACAGAGGACGGACGAGTCAAAGATGAAGAAAGCGGAGAAACCAGTGACTCTGGAGGGCTGTCAACATCGAAAAAGGCACGTCCAGTGCCATCCTCAGGCGCACGATCGAGCCGAAGCGATGATGCTTCTAAGGTGCTGTCATGGATGGACGCACTGTCGAAAATGAGAACGGATGGTTGTTTTGGAGAGGACGGTTCTGCTAGAGGACTTAAGGGAGGTGTTAACCCCATCCCGGCGAGACGGACAGTGGGGGAGAGAGGCTCCTCGTCAAGATCAGATGAAAAATCATAGGAATCTAAGATAGATAAAGTCGAGGATGCGTCCTCGTCATGCTCTTCGGCCACCACCGGTTGGCGGGAGGAAGGTCGAACGCCGCGAACATCATATGATACGCGTCTATCTTGTGACAAAGATACTGAAGCACGGCGAAATGGGATTGAATCGAATGCAATGCTATTGCGCGTGGGATGAGGTGGAGAACGCGCTAGCAGTGCAGGTCCCGTCCAACTGTCGGCATAGCCCGAGTCGATAGAGTCTTCCCGCTTTGGCGGAAAGTTACAGCTGTACATTGAGAAAGGTCGCAGGCGTGCAGAAAGCTCGACAGGAGACAGAAGGTCATTGTAAACTTCTTGTCCTGAATTGCCCAAGGGCGCCTCCACTGAGTCATGAGGACATGCCAGAAGCGATAGGACAGAGCTAGCAGTACTCGTAGAAGAGAACCTGGAAGGCGGGGTGGGGAATCGCAAGACAGTCATGGAAGTGGATTGCGAGTTGTCTTCTCCGGCCTCTTCAGGGTCCTGTTCCTGCTCGTCTGTCTCATCCTCACCATCCACCACATATGAGGGAAATATATCCCTAGCCTCTTCATAATCATCTGAGTCGATATCATGAGGTGCGAATATCTCCTGTATCTCTCCAACATCCCGAGGCACTTCAATAACAGAGTCCTGCGTGTCACATAAATCTGATTCTTCCACTAACGTAGAAATATTCGTGGAAGAAGCGTCCGGGAAGAAACCAGCCACGGCGGTATCTGCTTGACAATTCTGCAAAAAAATATCGTTCATATCAACAGGTCGAGGTGTGAGTGTTTCACCGTCCTCGTGAGTAGTTGGGCCAATTACATCTTGAAGAACCGAAAGTAAACCGAAATAACGAGAAGTGTCATCCACCGGGCTGACATGTTGGGTAGAGCGTGGACTCGCAGAGTTAACCACGACCGAAGGAGGATTGAGAACTGTCTTTGGAGGAAAAAACACGCGGGGCTTAATAGGGTGCGCGACGTGCACGTCAAAAAGCGACTGATTGAGAGGACTCTTTACTTTGATATCGTGAAGGAAGTTGCACGAATCCGCGAACAGACAGCGTCCTTGAGAGAAAAACGGACACGGCCGCGCTAGAAAAAATCAAAATATATCCGTATAATATATGTAGAAACATACTTCTCTGGCGCCATGGAGGGTCCTGAACTGTCATTCCACTGATTCATCGAATGGCCTGCAGCTGGGACGCGGACGGTGTACAGAACATTTGCTTCCGTTATTGAACCAAGGCTGTTCCCCACAACCCATAATAGGAATTACAACGGACCCCAGATACCACCTCCAATGGCTGCCCGACTCCCCCAAGTCGCCCGCCTCATTCTCTTTACTGGCCCAAATTGTTCGCTTTGTGATGTCAGTATTCTTCCCTTTCTCTTTATAAAAATTTCTAATTATTCACGCTAGGTTGCAAAATTAGAATTGGCGAAAGTCAGGCAGTCAGTGCGTCACAATTCAAAACTCAAATGCGACATACAAGTTGTTGATTTGAACGAGTAGTATCAATTTGACCTCGAAATAGTCAATATACAGGAGAAAGGCCAGGAAAGGTGGAAGAAGAAATACGTCTACTGGATTCCCGCGCTCCATCTGGACGGGAGGGAGATAGCGAAAGGTCGTTGGGATGCCTCCACTGTGCTCGAATCCATGAGGCAGCGGAATACGGCGCTGGAAGCTCAGGAGGATTGTGTCTAGAGAATAGTCTTAGCGGTTCCAATGCCACTTGCAGCTTTTACATCGATACCTCTGGGTCGGCTGGTTTTCAGGAATTGTCACCTCAGTTATGCTTTTATAACAGGCACATCTCGGGTGTCCTAGGCGAGAATCGAAGTCCATCCCCTGCTGCGGCACTCCATGATGCTCGCTTTTGTTTCAACTGCGGGTCGCCTGATCACATCATTGGATCCTGTCCTGAAGCACATAATCATCCCCTCATCGCGCTGTCGCGGCAACTTTTCAATTTTTTGCGCTCTGGCGAGCAAACGAGGGACCCGAGCAGGTTTCATGTTGTTGAAGCTTGGAAGAAACAACGGCTTGAATGGTTGGAGTTTTTCCAGCCCGGAAAGGTTGTTGGTCCCACCTTACGCGAAGCTTTGGGCTTCGAGCACGGAGACTCAGGTCATCAGTGTGCTTGGCTACATAACATGTCATATTGGGGCTATCCTGCAGGATGGATAAGTGATACCGACCCAAGGGATGCCGTTCGCCAAAGAATTTTGGGAGAGCTGGGCACTCTGGTACACGGTCATCCACTTGAAGATGACGATGACTCCTTCCTTATAGTTAGTGACGAAGAGGACCGCGAGGTAATCGACCTAAATCTTGCGACGTCTTTCTACCTCAAAGCAGGCGGGGACGAAACATCAATTGTCGATGATACTTTGTCTGCCAACTCTGACTTGGAGCTCCATTCATCGACAACCCGTAGGTGGGCAACATACCCCGACGATTATTTCTCCTCAAACCACCTCACTGTCTATAATGGAACGATATTGGTATCATCGTACGCCGCCACTTCTCATTCCAGTAATACATTTACTGCAGAAAGAAGAGCTCTTTGGGAACAAATAATATCCGGGACTCAATCTGCCAATGCACTTGTTCCCCCTTGGAGATTTCCTGGGGCATTCTCTTCGCTGCCATCGTACATCGAGCACCAACCACCTCCACCCCCTTCAACTCCCCCTCCACTGCCACCTTCTCCACTTCCACTTCCACTTCCATTTCCGCCGCAGCCCGCACACCATCAATATCATGCACTCGTCACTGCCGCAGAGGATGACTCAAATAACGGCGACATGGATATGGACCTTTCAGACGATGAATAGCGCGCTTCACCGCTGTGCTAGCATGCTCTCGTAATTCATGAATCACAGTGGTATAATATGAGTAAATAAACTCCGTGAGGCTACCTGTGCTCGAGAGTGAGTACATGAATTTGCCTTGACGTCAACATTATGGATGATAAGGACCTTAAGAGTCTCGTCGACAACCTGTCAACTGATGAATCAAATCCACTGTAATATTCAATCACCGCCACCAAGTTGCGGCTAGGTTGTCCAAAGTTTACCTAACTACTCCAGAATCTCTAACCTGTATAGACCGTCACCTTCACCCCGAGAAATGCGGAAATCTTGACTCATAAACACTGATACCGCGGGGCTTGTGTAATCCCGTGGGGAATACTTGATTTCGTGGCCATAATTCGACTTGAGTTATGGCCCCACCAATGATACCCGACTTTACTAACTCTCTATCACCACTGAACGTTGAACTCAGCATCTCACTTCGTAAGAACAGTTGGCTCGTTCTAATCAATATCTAGGTACGATTGAATGTCGCGTTGGCATCCATATTGCCAGTGAATCCATTATCCAGACGTCTTTTCCTCGCATCTAGTTGATACACCTGAACTGCTTGTGATCAGTATTCCTAACATTGTTCGGGTGGTTGTATAGCGCCACCATGCATGCCGGTGAGCATGACTTCAGGAGGTAATTACGACGAGATATCTGTTTAGATCGGGAGGTGATGGAGTCTGACAAAGAGAGGAAGGTGCTGGATGACGCCAAGTGATCTTTGTCAACTAGTGGTTCTAGTAGTTCTGACTTGCGCACTTCGTCCTGCAGGAAGTGAACTCGGAAGTAATTCTAGAAAATATAGTAGCGACAGGAGGAGAGCATGTATGTAAATGTAGCGAATGAAACTTGTGAGAGGGAGCCCATTGAGTAGCAGAACGTAACAAATGGAGTACAAACGGGTATTGTATAAAATCTGTAGAATGCGCATAAATCCTCAGTCGATTAACATAGCTACATGCCCAAAGTCCGTCTGACAGATACTACCACGAAGGCAATACAACCTACTAATGGTCGCGACACTCGTGCCATGATGTGCCGTGTGCGACACGACTCAAGTCCAGCTGTGGGGTATTGCTAGGAATAACCAGTGTGTTGCCTGGGACATACATCATGCCGGAGTAGAAAGTGAGTGGGATCCAGAGGAGCAGCCGTCCATCGGGACCTACAACCCATCCCTCCTCGTCCGTGCAGGATGGGGCTGAGTATTCAGAATCTCGGAGAAAGGAGGAGGGGGAATGAAGGGCATGGGTCGGGTCAGATGAAAAACATATTGCAGGTGCTTCAAATGATTGGTGCCGGTTCAGGAAATCTACATCCCACACTCTAATGGTCTTGTCTTCTGACCCAGACACGATGTGTTTGCCATCAGGCGAGATCGCGACAGACCGAACGGGTCCGGTGTGCCCTCGAAAAGGGGGACCCACTGCCTCGCCAGTCTTATCCCAAACCCAGACAGTCTGGTCGTCCGAGCCAGACACGATGCGATTACCGTTTGAGGATATTGATACAGTATTAACTCGGGAAGTGTGGCCTTGAAGTGGGGCACCTAATAGCTGGCCGGTCCCCATATCCCACACACGGATAGTCCTGTCATCCGAGCCAGATACAATGTGACATGCATCCGGCGAGATTGCAACAGAGAGGACTCGATAAGGGTGGCCTTTGAGAGGGGCACTGTATGCCTTGCCAGTGCCCATATCCCACACCTGAATTGTGCTGTCATCCGAACCAGACACTACGTGATTTCCACCCGATGAGATTGCAACAGACCGAACCCAGCCAGAGTGCCCACTGAGAGGATATGCCTCGCCAGTTTCAATATTCCACACCCGGATTGTCCAGTCGTCTGAACCAGACACAATATTATTTCTGTCTGGTGATACTGCGACAGACCGAACATAATCAGTGTGACCTTGGAGAACACCCAATGCCTCCCCAGTTTTCGCATTCCACACGTGGATGCTCTTGTCCGCTGAACCAGACACAATGCGCTTCCCATCCGGTGAGATTGCAACTGACTGAACAGATCCAGTGTGCCCTCGGAGGGGAGCAACCAATGCCTCACCAGTCCATATATCCCACACCCAAACTGTCCTGTCATGCGAGCCAGACACGATGGAACATCCATTTGGCGAGATTGAAACCAAGTTAACAGAGTCAGTGTGGCATTCAAGGGCGGCAACCGATCTCTTGCTCATAATGGTGTCAGCATCCCACACCCGAATTGTCTTGTCAGATGAACCAGATACTATGCGACTTCCATCCAGGGAGATTGCGACAGACCAAACATCCTCAGTGTGGCCTTGGAGTGGGGATCCTACTGCCTCGCCATTCTTCGCATTCCACACTCAGATCGTCTTGTCACTTGAACTAGTCACAATACGATCTCCATCTGATAAAATTGCAACCGACGTAACAGAGCCAGTGTGGCCTCTGAGGGGGACACCCAATACCTCGCCAGTCTCCAAATCCCACACCCGAATCGTCTCGTCACCTGACCCAGACATGATGCGTTTGCTGTCAGGCGAGATTGCAACAAAGTAAACAGCGTCCGTGTGGCCTTGAAGAGGGGTGCCCAATGCCTTGCCGGTCTCCATCTCCCACACCCGAATGGTCATGTCAGATGATCCAGACACGATGCATTTCCCATCTGGCGAGATCGTGACAGAACGAACCACATTCATGTGGCCTCGGAGTGGGGCACGAAATGCCTCGCCAGTCTCCATGCTCCACACCCGAATTGTGTTGTCGGCCGAACCAGACACAATGCGTTTACCATCCGGTGAGATTGCAACAGACCGAACACGGTCATCGTGGTAGAGAGGAGATCTTAATACTTCGCCAGTCTTCGCATCCCATACCCGGACTGTATTGTCCAATGAACCTGAAACGATGCGATGTCTATCTGGTGAGAATGCGACAGACATAACCCAATCAGTGTGGCCTCGAAGAGGGGCACACAATGGCTCCCCAGTATCGATATCCCACACCTGGATCGTCCTGTCATCTAAACCACACGCGATGCGTTTTCCGTCTGGTGATAGTGCAACCGAGCTGACAATGTCATTTGCGTAGCAGTATCTTTTCCATCTGAGGCCAATTCTTGACATGGCCAGAAGCAATGCGAGGGGTGCGAGAAAACTTTGAGACGAATTTGCAAAACATTCTCGACTGCGACGGAGCGAACGGCAGAGCAGACAAGTATAAATGGGGGGTGCTGCGTAAAATGGTGGCTGCGAAAGTTCGGACGAAACGCAGGGTATCCTTGATAGCGTGACTGACATGCGTGAACTCGGCATGACCCTGCGACCACCCCACTACTCGTAAGAATTCGTTTAAAGAAGAATGAGCCTGAGCTACGCACCGAAAACCATTTTGCAATGGATGAGAGGGTCACTACCGAGCCACTGAGGCTTTTCATCAGAGCCAGTGCTTCCAACCACCAAAGGAGGCGCTCTCCATCGAAGAAAGCTTCAACTTCCTTAGCGAGCAATGATTCGAAGGATGTAGAGCCGACATGAGTCCCCAAAAATCGACATGAGTATGATAGCTCAGCCGAAATGGATTCTTTGACTCGTTTCTCCAAATTGGGGACGGAAGAGTTGGGTAAGTACGAATCCTCCAAGGAGCAGATGTTGAAGCGAAGCCCGCGCTCCGAGTCCATGACCCGAAGGGAGGCAAAGGCAAGATCTCTTCGTACCGCTGATGGATCAACGAAGAAGTCATGGCTCCGTGATTTGTCTCTGAGGAAGTCGTAGAAGGATGCGTGGAGCGGGCGTATGGGAGTCTGAGAATCCGCAATGCCGGTCAAAAGGGACCCCAGTGGCCCAAGGACCTGATCCATTTCGTAATCGCAAGTCCCTTCGGGAAAATGCAATCGCATAGCGATCAACGCAGGCATGGAGAGTGGTTCCAATGAGGCAAGGATTTGCCCCATCACTGAGCAAAACACCGGGATAGCTTCCCCACGCTCGTCTTCTGGCATGATTTCTTCCAAGATGCGTGCATACATGACATCCAACAGACGTGTTCCTTTTTCAGACGTTCCACCAAGGACAGCATTGCACCGACCCACCGGACCCACGCTCACTTTGTTCGTGCCCATGATGTACTCACGGCTAGACGAGCCCATTCGAACAGGCCATCGGATTTCTCTGCAAGCGTCTTGAAGTGCGTGTCGTTGTGAAAAAGTTGTGCAGTCTTGCGAGCCTGGTGGAAATGTATAACTGGATATCGTTGTATGTGGACGCAAGCGAGATATCATCCATGGAGACATGGCGGACATGCGATCCATCCAGGGTATCATGAATATCTGGGAGTGGACGAGAAGTGAGGAGAATGCGGAAGTTGGCTGGAAGTTCGACTACTTGTGAGGTTGAAGCATTCAGCTTGCCAACAAGCAGACGAAGAATCTGTTCCCGGGTATTCAGGTCACCGCTCTCGTCCAATGCATCGATGACCAGTAGAACAGGCGCAATGATGGCTTTCGAGGCCTCACCAATTGGTCCTATAACTAACTCCTGCCATTGTCTTGAGACGTCTACAGTGTGCTTGAGCTCGTTGTCATCGTGAACTGCACATGCCAATGCTGCCCGCATCGTGATATCGCAATCAGCCAAGTCGCGTGCGATTGTAGCGAATATCTTCTCGTGGCGGCGTTCGGCTACCCTTGTGCTGTCAAAGCAGAAACAAGCACGCATTCCCCCGCGCTCGTGAGACCAGTTGGCTATGGTATGGGCAATGGCTGATTTGCCTTTCCCTGCCGCCCCAGACAACCACAACACACGTGGCACGTCTTCACCCGTACTACGGATCCAGCACTTGATTTCAGATAGAATGTCTTCCCGAGTGCCTGGGAGACAATTTTTGAGGGTATTTCGTCCAGCATCAGGTACGTATTCCATACCGCTAACATCCAGGTCTTCAGCTAATAATTTGCATCAAAGTTTAGAGAGATCAAAGAGAACTTGAAGTTGATCATACTGATACGGTGGACAGTTTCGACAGTGGTAAGAGCCATTTGATCTCGGAGCTGTTGCATGAGGTTGTCGAGAACCTCGTTGTGAAGTTGTATCGCAGACTCTGTTTCATTAAAGATGTGCTTGCCAAGTCTTCGCCCTGTACAAGGATGATGAGTCTTGGGCGACATCGTGGTGGAAAAGAAAAGACTCGCAAAAACTCTTCATATCCGAGTAATGGACGACAAAGTCGGCACACTCCAGCGTCTGTCGTGCAATCTTTCCATATAACTCTAGCATGGCATGCAATCCTAGCCGTTCCTTCGTGGGCTGTTAATAAAGCATAGACATCCGAAATTTTCGAGAGCAGACGGGACACGGCATCATCCCGGTTCGCCTGATCGAGAATCATCTATCGCCCGCACAATCTTATTGACCTGCAAGTGTAAGAATATAAAATCGAGCACACCTTGGACGCGAAGGTGAAGATACTCAACGCTACCTTCGCGTAGGGATGGACCTAAACATAAAGATCAGCCAAGTACAGAATAGAGATAGATGCTCGTACATCTGCAAGCCTTGTAGCGATGAAGTTAAACACTTTCAATGGTACGAGCATTGGGGCGAACGTGTCGATCGTATCGGTAAGAGATTGTAGGTTGTCAGATGCTGAAGCAGCATTTTCCGCCATTCCTGGGACATGTCTGATTCCGTCAAGATCTGCTTGAGCATTTGCGAGCTTTTCCTTGACAACCTTCAGGTCGGGTTGTCCGCACTAAGGATGGGATTCAGTACATGATGGAAAGAGGAATAAGAACACTACGAACTGTAATAGCCGAATTTATGTTTGCAACGCCCACATCGGAAGACTGGTCAGGATTTGGTTCGGGAGTGACGGTGGTGAGTGGTGGAAGATCCTGCGGCCGTTACTAGTTAGATCACACATGGAATGTACTAAGGACTGTATATACCTGGTTTGTCTGAGGGTGTAGGAGATCCCGTGCGCTGGAACTTGCAGCCATAGATTCTGAGTTGGGAGACTGTCGAGTGCTTCGAGCGAATTTGTCAAATGACTTGGGAAGAAACCTCCACAATCTCCCGTGAGATCCATTCCTCGAAGGCGGAAGAGAGGACGGCTATAATCACGATTAGAGACAATGATGTAGCTGTAATGGAGAAAGTTCATACATCACTGACTGCTCTGTGGCCTCTCTCCTCTGCCAAACGAGGGCTTGACCGACTTAGCCTCGGTAATCCCCAACGCTTCTTCCGAGAAGGATTGTCTTCACTCATGGAGTAAGTTGGAAGGACAGCCGAGCATGACTTCTAAGAGATTTCTTGGTAACAAGGTGACGAATGGTACGCAGGGCGAACAGGCAGCCGGCGAACATGCGTTCTGAAGCGGCCATTATCGATTGGCTGGACTAGAATATCAATTAGTACACGCTGGAGCCTGGCTGAGGTGGGTTAAAAATGGCCAATCAATGGATCTTGTCGTTGTTGGGTGAAAATACTCACGCAGTAATGCTCACGAGTTACACTATTGGAAGAACATTGTAAGTTCATTCACGATGAGCTAGACAGACTAGCTATAGGCGACTCAGTGAGATGCAGTAGTACTAGAGTCTAGTTGTGAGCGTGCTTTTGTTTGCGCATATTTGGACGCACACTTCAAATAAGATAGACCTCGTTCATACACCAGTTCATCACGTGACTTGAGGCTAGAATACATGATTTTGGCTCGTAACTCGACTTCAAATTAGAATTAGCAAAATCTGTTCCATGATATTGTAGATACACGCTACAATATTAAAACGGTCTACTCAGAATTTTTATTTTCGGCCAATTGACGGAGGAGTAGGCTTTTTGGTAGCCAGTGACCCATTTGTGACTGCCTAGCATGCCTGTCACGCTGGTAGTGCTCACTTTGACAATATAAAGCCTACTTAGTTTCTTACATTAAATCATAAAAAATACATGCCCAGCTTGCTACAGACTATCCGCACATAATCATGGAACAGATTTTGCTTATGTTTTGTATACAATAAGTTATATATATATTTGTTGAAAAGTCACGCTAAGTCACGTGATGAACCGGTGTATGAACGAGGTCTATCTTAGCTCGAGCTGCCGGCGCCCTCCTCAACAGACTCTTTTGAATCTATTCACTATTGAAATCTCACTTAGGCCACCGCTCGCCTGCGGATGGTCTCTCGGATCTTTTTACGAAAAGTAAACTACATTCGCCATCTCTCTTTCTTCATTCGTGGGTGACCACAACGTTCAAATATCGCATCTATTCCAGGCTCTCAACAGTGCTGTGTATAGTTGAACTTGACCATGCACAGAACCATCTGTGCGAAGGTCAGCCACGGCGCGTCGGAGTGTCAGACCTTGCGAGCCATTGACCGTCGTGGCGCATGCAGGTTGTAGTGGAAATTGTTTGCAGTTGAAACGTTGACGGTCCAACTGGACCGCGCCGGATTAAACGAGAAGCTCCCAGAAGGTATATGTCGACACTATCATCGTCAAACACTTCTATCTGGGAGAAGTGAAGAGTGCACAGACACCTATGATGGAACCTGGAGTTAGCCTGTCTGTGGAACAAGGGCCAGGTAGACCTGCTGAGCTCCAAATTATGCACAACATCCCGTACCAATGAGCCATTGGGTCGTTGATGTACGCAGCAACGAGCATGCGTTCGGATATCGCGTTCCTGGTCGCGAGGTCATGGCAATTCTTGCGAAACCCTAGTAGTTCCCACTGGGAGGCTACCAAGCGCGCGCTGCGTTATCTGAAGGAAACAGGCGTCTTCGAACCCACTTTAGGGTCAACCGATGGGGGTCTTGAAGCCTTCGTCGACACGGACTGGGGAAGGCACTAGCTCGTCCTCGTTTGCAGAAACTAAGGACCCTAATGGGTCTGTTATCAATCACTTGCAGTATAAAGGCGCATCATTTAGTGTACGAGCGTCTCAGTTCTTGATTAGAGACAGATCCTACCTTTGTGTCTAGTTCTATCCCTGCTCAAATTCCAGAGCCGGACCATATGTATAGAATAAAATATGATATTTGATCATCGGTATGGAAGATTCAGTACACGACGCTGCTTAAACGCGCCTATTTGCAATTGATGCGCCATCATAGCTCTAATGAGGAATTTACTACTGCACTGATCCATAGCCTGACTTGCAGTTCTGTTTGGCAATGCTAGCAGAGCCACTACGCATGTAGCAGATCCTAGCAGTAATGCATTCACCTGTACATGCCGGAGTGAGTATAGAGCCCTTTCCCTGGTATGAATTGAAGGTCTAGGAATAAGTGAGACAACAAGTTCAAAACGTCCAGTTCCGAAACTTACCTGCATCAAAGTCGGGTTCACTTCCATCTCTGAAATAATATATATATAGCGATGGTGATGGAAAAAGAAGGAACACACGCACGCTCAGTCACAAGATGCCACCAGGTCGCGTTCAGTGGGTCAGTTGCTCCCCAGGTAATGTTCCCTCCATATGCCTCGCGAGTGCTATACTCGAACTCATAAGTAGGGCCGAATTGAGTCTGCAAGTCCAGCGCAGGGTATTCGTTGACGTAACTCTTCCAGCTGGAGGGAACTTGTAAGCAAAAGACCAGTCGATGACAAGCAAAAAACTGACGTATAAGCATCGACCACTTCAAAAGTCTGGGGGAATGTGTAAGCTAGATTCAGCAGACGTCAGCAGGAAAACCTACAGCAGAGTCAACTTCATAAACACGGAACCCAGAGTTCAGGTTGGTGAGGGGTGTTACAGACGGGCCAATCTGGAAACCAAGTAAGATGGATAGTCACTATGAACCCGTCAAAGGACACACCCAGGATACCGCCTGAGCGGTCTCAGCATTCATATTCGTACCATTATTGGCATAAAAGATCTGGACCAGGAAGATATATCAGTGTTCCCTTTCTATGAGGCGACATCGACTCATACGGATAGCTGGTCCTCGTGTGTGTGACCCCAGAAGATGTCTGATCATGAGTCGTCAAAATTTGTTTCGGGCATCATAGAGATAACATACTAGCAATAACATGAGGGGAGAAGCGATCAACGCTAGGTATATCAGCTCCATGCAGTAATCTCGACATCCAGCGGACTTACATCTGGTAAACTAGTGCAGACGCTGTTCAGCAAATTGCACATTAATCGGGAAATTAAACTTACAGAGATCGGTGGGATTCAACCTCGAATTTGAACCATCCCAACCACTAACGACGTGCCCAATGATCCAGACTGAGTATCATTAGATCGACTGAAATGTAGTATCATCCATCAGCCCACCTCGGTCTCCCGCGTCTTCCGCGTCCTGAAGTTCATCGGTGAGGAACCTCATTAGTCCAGAAACGTCTGGTTCGGAAGAGTTGATGTAAGTGAAGTAGTTCGAACTTTCCACAGTTTATATCATTGAGCTTTTGACTGAGTGGACCGTTGATCACGTACTTGTACCCTGTAAACCAGTTTGTCAGCGTTCATGCCAGTCAAACATATCGACTTACATAAGTTAGTGTCCAAGCTGATTACTCTCAGGCCATCTGCACGCTTGACCATGTATGCTGCATAGTGAGCTCGTGAAAACTCGACGGAGGCCTCCGGAAGCCACCCCTCCATCTCCCATAACGCTGTAACGTGGTCGTATAGCCTAGTGGATGAGATAAGGTATAAAATGGAAATTGATGAGAGAAATTATACCAGCTGAATTGTTGACCCAGAGTACCCCCTAGGGATAAAGGCGAAGCTAGATCTGGCAGACAAGTATCGTGGTTTCCGAGTGTAGCATAGGTAGGGCCAGGTCCGAGCATACGCTTGAATAGATCATAGAGGACGACCTGCCAGCATACATGATACACAACGTTCAATTTTGAAACACAGACATTACCTCAGAGTACTCGTTCAAAGCCCTGGAAGGGAAGTGAGAAAAAACCGACAATAAGTACAAAACACGTACCTAGACTGCTGATTTTCCGGGTCATGTGCCAACATGTCGCCAGTGAACACAGTAAAATTGAAGCCAGTTGATTCAGTTCCGGTCAACGGTGGGATGGCCTCCAGGACGGACGCGATCAATGAATACGGAGAATCACTAAAAAGACATCAGACTGTATTCTTTCAGTGAAGGTGAGCTCTAACCAGAGGAACGAGCCGTATCGTGGCGCAGGAAGGAGAGGCGTCTGAGGACTGTGAGAGTTGTAAGCATTGTCGCGACAACACAAACCACTGGTACAGTTTGCTTCTGCGCCGTTCGCATAACCTGAGATAGAATATCAGTGGAGATAAACAATGCATACGTGCAAATACCGCGCACGAGGATCAATATGCAGGTCTGAAAGATGCAAGACTTTGAGCAGTTGGCCACTGGGCTGCTTCGGAGGGGGAAGAGGGTTGGGCTTTGGCTTTGCAAACCAGCCAGTGAGATTGAGAGCTGTTGTCACAGGTGCTGGACATAAACCAAGGAACTGAGAGCAAATTGCCTGAAAAACATGATGAGACACAAAGCATTCTTCTGTTTAGGTGACTGGTTTTACCTGTCCGTCGTATCCTCCAACATCAGCAAAGGATGCAACTTGAGTAAGGATCGGTCCCAAGACGAGGGGTCCATAACTTTTCTCGCAAGAGGATGAATAATTAAAGTACTCGCAAAGCGTCAGAGCCAGATTGGTCCCTTGATCAGGAGCCGCAAGAGCAAGAAATTTGGCCACTTCTAGGGAAGCCTGGCAGCGTGCACATGTACTAAACATTGGGTTTACTGCGATTGACTGAATCTGGGCCACAGCTTGTTGAAGAAGCTGTTGGGAGGATGCCTGGGGTGGAAGGAGATGAGGATCCACGGTGTCATACTGTCAAGGACGGACTCCGGGTTAAAACGATGGAACTGACGCGGCGCACACTGGAAATGAAAATTACCTGAGGAATGTCTTGGGGGTCTGTCAGGTTATATGGAAAGATTTCATGCTGAAGAGCGAGTTAGTTGCAGCGACATGACAGTTATAGTAGAGAATTACAGTGACAGGATCTGAAATGACTGGCTGCGGTTGGGCAGAGGTGGCCGTTGGATTATTGTAGTACTGAGAGTAGAGAGAGGTTGGGAACGCTCCTTGGACCGCATATGAAGAAGGAACAGCACTAGTGGTGGTAGTAGACTGGACCACCGAGGTAGCTAGGACGAACTCGGAACCCTGGCCATAGTGACTCCAAGCCAAAGTGGCGGCTAAACCTAAGAAATATCTGGTTTTAACAGACATTCCGAGCGTCGTACCCAGAAAGACGAACTGCACAGACGAGGACCTCACACAATATTAATGCGGCAAATTATGGTTCATTCATTAAGACTACCCTGTCTGTAGGTCCAGTGAGAACTGCCACGAACGTTCGAACGCCGCGCGGTTCATTATAGGTGCCTTTGCACACGGATGTAGTGCTAAATCAGGAAGTGCTATAAGCTTCTTGTGGACATTTGGCTTCACTCAACACGTTGCTAGTACTTGGGAAAGGAATGATACATCAGCGCTCAGCGCTGTTTCGTTTGAAACTCCCCAGGTTGTGCCAGTGAACGTGTCTGAGACACACTTTGGATCTGAATTACCGTGAGTTCGTAACATTGCAATGCCGTCACTCGCCCATATGGGTTCCTTCCCAGATCCCTCATTTGTGCATTGGCAAACGCAATCCTAAGGCAAACTCAGCTGCCGTTCCGAAGACCATGTTGGCCAAAAAATGCAATGTTTGAAAAGCGACGTGCATTCATCCCGCAGGAAATTCGGGCAAAAGCTTTAAATTCCCCACACTGCATTCCGGTTCGGCGGTCCGGACACCCTTACCTCCCTGTAAATCTGGATTTGGACACCACCTCTCGATGGCATATCATAGGAGTCGCCTCGAATACCTCAGTTTGAGATACATTCACGTTCAGGGAATATATATATTATATATTATATACCTATTCGTTTGTGTTGCAAGTCGTTTGTACACGTTGGAAATGTTGTCGCAAAGGAGGTTTACATTTAGGTGTGTTCGTTCATACATGTCGGGAAGGAGTAGAATTACTTCGAAAGCCAAAACACACTGAGTAAAATGACAAAATGTTTCGTCAATACCAGCGCGCGTGTTAAAACTCGCTACTGGTCGAAACTTCGCTCGACTGTGGGTTTCCTGAAGTTGCCCCGTATAAAACTATAAGTTTTCCTTACTTCGATGTCAATGACAACCAAAATTAGTTGTTTGAGAATCGACATACCTCGCACTTCTGACACACATCTTCCGAGGCGCAAGTAATGCACATAAATGCCCCACAACCCGGACATTCTTCGTGGTCAATGCAATCTCTGCAATGAACAGTGTTACAAGATTCACAACGGGATTCCCGCTCTTCAAAGCAGTCCATACAGATTCTACCCCGACATTCTTCGCACGTCGCTACAAGGAATGCGCTCTTGTTTGCGAATAAAGACTTCTCCCTGTCAGATAAGTCTTCTTCCATGCAATCGTTGCATAGCGTCATCTTGCGGCAGTCCGCGCACACGTCGATGTATCTGCACCAGATAAAACAAAAACAGTTCTGACATTTTGGACAGCGTCCACAGTCGTTCAGAATTTTCTTGTGAGTGACACATGCGCCACAAATCCAGCTGTCCCCGCAGAGACAAACTATGTGACCGTCCGTGGGTTTGACGCAATCAGGACAGATTACGCCACCAGTAAAATGTGCGCGAGAGGAACAATCGTGCTGGCTGCATTTTTTTGTCTTCGCAAGGGTCGAAAAGCATGATTGACACGAGGACACAAAAGTAACCAGGTTAGCGCCTTTGCAGTAACTGTTATCGCAGGTCACATTCGAACAACCATGACATGTGACAAGGAGGTGCGAGCAGATTGGACAGCGAGGATGATCAGGCGCGGGTGGTGAAATAGGTATCTCGGGTGCTTGACTTGATTGTGACTGTGTTATCAAACCGTGATCGGCGAGTCGCTGGTAATAGTTCTGGGAAATAGTTTCATTTGAATGTGCAGTGGCTGGATGCTCAGCTGTACGCACCTGGAGACCGACCTCAGAAAGACTTTGATCCATCGCCGACTGTCGCGTGCCCTTGTGCTCGTTGTGAGAACCTACTTATCAGGTTTTCATCTTCAAGTTTACGTTTCCTCATCATGCTGTGCGGGGTCCAGATGATTTAGAAGCGACGAAAGCATGTTTTTGGAGTCATTGGGCTAGTCCGGATACTTCCGGTGTTCCTAGTGTGTCACCACTCATGACTGTACCTTCATCACAATGCTGTGTCTTCCCTCTTTGCGAAGGCTGCGTCGCTTTCGAAATTGAACGTGAACGTTAGAATCATCTGTGCGTGTTCTATCGGCTGCCCTATCCACACAATATCAGGCCGCCCTCAGAGGTTCAGAACTGTTTCCATCGGGTTTTACTCCAGTCCTTGTGACTATTCTCGCGCATGTGAATTAAATACTGTCGATCTCATCATCTATTGACGAAATGGCATTTAGGAGAGTTCAAACGTTCAAAGCTGGCTGGGATTCCGAGGGCCGAGGTCGATTTGGACTCAAATCCTTTGCAACGTTTGTGACGGCATGCAAAGCCTTTCACAATCCCATGATGGATGTGCTGTGGGCTGAAATAAACCAGTTAGAGTAACTCTTATGCTGTGTGACGAGGTCCACTAGTATATCGTATCAGTGTCGCACCGTCAGGGTCAGTTTCGCACTGTTCATTTCCTCACGTTCATTGACAACCTGGGCCTGGCCAAGCGAGCATTTATAGTGCACTGCTGGGCAAAAAGGCGTCGAACCGTTATCTGCCAACGAGACATGTCGATTTTTTTTTGCAGTTCCTCCGCTTGTCACGGTGTTCCCTCATCGATCATACCATTTGACCCTTCTTTCAGTCATCCATGTGTCTTTCCAGGGCTGCCGTCCTCAACCTGGGCTCGGAGTTAGAGGAATTCCACTGGGCGGTAATGGACCTTTGTTCCTGGCCATGCACATACGCTGTCTTGTTCTTCATCGATCGTCCATCAAGATCTGAACTCTATTGCAACCTGCTGTGCTTCCGCCATCTGGCGATAGATAACTTGGGTCGCCATATATCACAGTCCGTGAATTATTCACAGCCGATGACCATACTTGTTTTTGTTGCAAGGGTCAATTGAAACCGTGAATCTCGATATCGATCCTGATGAGCCAACACAGCATATCTCCCAACAAATATTTGGACATACCTCTCGGAGTCTCATAGCGGATCCTGAAGGCTCTCTCGCTCGTGATATTTCCACCTAGTTCCCTTGGATCGCACGTTCATGGATCGGGAGCATTTTCAGGAAGCCAACTTCCATCTCACATCTGCTGCGTTGCGTGACACAAGAGCCGCCTCAAATATATGAGCTTGGGATACATACATGTTTGGGAATATCCTGGAGTTGCCGTATTCGTTCGCACATCTTGGGAATCGTTTTTGCAAGAGCGAAGTTTGCACTGGATGCATATGGTTAGAATGTATGCAAAAACTTGAATAGGTAAAATTGTTGATGTTTTTTTTGCCAAGGCACACTGAGCCAACGTCACAAGGTTCTGCCGACAACCACTGCCAGTCTGTCTAGACTCAGTGATTGCTGGTGGCTGATTCTGAGTCGACAGATTCATCGATATCCTCATCACGCCGTTGCATCGCATGCATCAGGATACCTACCTGGTCTGCAAATACCTCTTCATTCCCTTATAAATCGGGTACAGAGGTGTCTCGCAATCCGAACGCTTTCCATTTCTCCAGCAATACTGGCAACGAACTCGGTTGCATTTCCGCAACAGAACTCGCGCTCTTCGAAAACAGTCTGCGCTGATTCTGCATTAGCAGTGTTGTCACGCTGTCGCCAGAATTGTGCTCGTAAATGATTGGGGACTTCTTGTCTGGTGCATGCGTGTCCACCTCGTCAGACATGTTCATCTCCTCGTCAAACAAATGAATCTCCTTCTCGTCAGAGATATGCCCATTTTCTCCACGTTCCATGCCATCGCTGCACAGCGTCGTCTTTTTACACCCCGCACATGCGTCGATGTATTTCCACCCGGATAAACAGAAAGAATTCTGACATTTGGACAGTGTCCACGCTTGTCCACAACTGTCTTCATCAGTGGCACGTGCCACAAACTGAGTTATATCTGGGGCAAACTATGTCCATGGTCCCACATAATCCCGACAGATTACGCCATCACGAGCGACTGACAGTCGTGTAAGGGTCGAAAAGCACCGTTGGTCTGGCGGGTTTGACAGTTTTTATAACAACCATCAACTTGTTGCGGGTGACACTAGACAGATCAACCACGGCGTGTGTTGAGCAGATTGAATAGCGAGGATAGTCTGGCGCGGATAAGATCAAATTGTCATCGATGAGTAGTTTTGGGATGTAGTATTATCTGGATGTGAAGTGCCTTGAAAATTAGTTGTACACACCTAGAAGCCAACCTTGAGTTTGATTCATCATTGACTATCACATTAGTGCTCGAAGCGAGAGCCCATTCATCAATTGGGTATTTTAGTCTTCAAGCTTCAAGTATCAATCAGTACGTGCGTCCATGCTATGTGGCAGTCGTTGATATCGATCGACTGGTGACCATCCAGAAGAACACTTTCGCAGAAATCAGAAATCGAGTCAGCTTACATTCAAACCCTATTAATTGCAATATGAAATGCTAATGAACATACAATTGTCCAATACAGCACAAAATAGTGTACACCATACAGTAAATATATCGACGTGAGACCAGCGTTCCCGCTGGGGTTGTCCGTACTTGTACACATGTAAGTAGACCATGTAAGTCCGGTCATGTTGATGACATGCGTGCAGCGTCATGATAGTTCTTAGTGATAGGAAGCGTCTGTACTTTCATCAAATCGCGGAACCGCTGGAGGCGAAATGAGGTTCAGGCTCAGGAGAGGGGGAACGAGAGGACCGGGAAGGAACGCTAGTGGGACGAGGTGCATAGCGGGGGCGACTCTCAATAGGCTTGGAGATCAAGAAGCCTAAGAACCATGATGAGGATGTTGTACGAAAAAAAAAACAATGAAAGCTGACCTTTGAGGCCTGCAGCCTTTTCACCTTGGCGCCCAAAGCCGTAACCAGCTCTGCTTGGATTCCTCATTGCACCGAACTCCGTAACATCCCTAGTCTTCTCGTCATATACTGTCGAAGAGGAGGATGACTGCCCAGAGTTAGAGCGGTCGAGATTGAGGTTGGTAGTATGACGCAGGTTGGTCGGCAATACATCCTTGGCGCCTTCACGCCATAACGTAATTGAACGTCTACGCTTGGCCGATTCCCGGAAGAGAAGACCGAGGAACATGTTTATACAGCCAAGGACGAAAAGGAAAAAAGCGGAAACAAGGGTGAAGTCATCTACATGCTGTGAGAGGACTGCAGCTCCGATACTAAAAAAAAGTCAGCCCTTTGTACGAAACTACGCAAAGAAGATGACTCACAGTCCTTGGAAGATACCGAGAGCACCAAGTCCAAAGCCAGAACCAAGCACAGGGAAGAAGCGATCAAAGAAAGTGGATGGCCAGCCAATTTCAGAAAGGAAAAGTATGACAACTTGGAAGATAATAAGGAGGCGGTTGATGATGGCCCAGAAAACGCCGCCAATCTGGTTGGGTACGGTGCTGTTCCTGTTTCCGACGTCAGCATACAATAATACTTATACATGGGACATTCGAACTTACTCGATATATTCACAGTCAGCAAAATCTTGCGCTGTGACATTGCCACTTTGCCTTGCAGCCTCAAACGTGTTAACAGCTTCGACGTCTGTGACTATAACGAAGATACTGCTGGCAAAGACCAGTATGAGAGACACAATGCTCAAGAAGCGGACAACATTGAGTCCAAAGAAAATATCTAAAGCCAAGTCAGCTAATCTGCTCGAGAAAAAAACATGTAACTGTACTCACATGCTCGTGGGCCGACCATTATGCAAGATAGAAAAGATAGTTGATGTCTAGGAGATGGTTAAGGACGTAGAGTGTTTGACTTGAAATAATAGCAATTGCAAGGACGTCTTTAGTGAATGAATGATCAGGTGGCCCAGCACCGATAGTAGAAAGCAACGATGACGGTTGAAGAAACGAGGCGAGGGATGGAATACATTTTGACCAGTTGAGAACAACGATTTATGTAGTTTGGACTGATGTGGACCATTGACCTCCCAACCTTATTGTTCTTGAGAAAGTCCACACACGATTCATTGAACAAAAAGAGCGAGGACAATGCTTCAACCGACTTTTACGTAATTGGTGCCCGGAATCAAAATTAAGAATATCTCAATCGCGGAGTTGAAAAGTACCACAACACTTCGCTGGCTCGTCCGGCTTTATTGTTGGTTCACACCACTCAGTACTTCTCGTTGTCAGCCTTGGGTTGCCCAGTGGACGTAGTACAACACATGGTGTTATATACGATCTCCCAATCACATACAGTGTCAGAAATCGCCGCACTTCTCAAATCATAATGTACAGTAGTACTATGTAACCACTCACCAAGAGTATTGTAACCAGGATCAGTGGATATACTTATATCAAGGTAATAAACAGCGCTGGCCGAGCGCTAGCATACAATTCGTATTTATCCACTTCGAGGACAGAATAAGAAATCACAGCAAGGATATCTTCAGAGACGATTAGAGAGTGCATTGTCCATAGGCTACGTTCAAACAACTGTAAGTATATGGGCATGAAGAACGTGAAAGCGTGGCTAGCTATAGTACGGTCATCGTAAGTCCATCAGATAGGGTTAGAAAAAGTAATATCTCAATAGACTGTTTTCGGCAAGGGTGATGAACTATTCCCTTGAGTAGGGTGGGGGTTCGTTTGACGTAGCACCACCTGAGTTGGGAGAAATCAGTCCGGCATCTGTGTGCACAACGACACTGTTAGACCGCCTCCGTCTAGGGGCACGTTTACCGGGCGGCCGGGCAGGCACAGATGAAGAGGCAGGTGCAGGTGCAAGAGCAGGTGCGGGTATACGTGCAGGCACAACAGCAGGACTAGCACTGGGTTTGGGCAACTGAGGGTCATCGTTGATAATTTGCAAGACCCGTCTGTCGATCACCGAGGTATGACTTCCTGTGCGATTAAGCGGATCAAATGCGCCAAGCTCGTCAACACGATTACTCGATGAAAGGGCAGAAGGTCCGGATCCATCTAGCAAAGGCGTCGCACTGTTGGTTGAAACCACAGATAGCGATCGGGGGCCCATGGAAGACTGGGATGTCGATTGGGATGTCGCGCTGAGATGCCTCTGCGCAGCAGCAGTCTGTGCTGCCTGCATGGACCCTGAAATGGAAGCCTTCGAGGCGTTCCCGGGCGCAGAACTAATGCCAAGCAAAGGGGTGACTGACGTATTGCGGCTGTGGTTACTTCCTACGGAAGTACTGAATGAAGGATGATGAGATTGGCTAATGCTTGGCGGGGAACCAGACCCTGGTGGTGGCGTTACATGTCCGACGAGACCATACTCATATGGTTTAGGCTCAGCGCCGAGATCGAGTGTCCTGTCACGGTCTCTGCGCACAGCAACAGGGGAATCAAATTCTTCATCTTCAAGAGCTTCCCTATCAAAGATATCATCCCAGGATCTGCGTCTGCGGCTGAAAAGAGGGAAAGGGAAAAGTAAATCGGGGAAATAAATGTTAGGGTGACAGAATTTACCAAAGGTACCACAAAGCGCCCACGATCGCGATCAATCCAACAAAACCGCCAAGCACGCCCCCGACTATGGGGGCTACATCTGTGCCTGACCCACTTGCATTTTCTGTACTTGTGACAGTTGGATTTGCGATCACAGATGGTACATAAACAGAAGATGCTGGGAGTGTGGATGTTGTAGTGATTAAAGTCGCAACCACATCGCCGTTCGTAAGTGTCGTAGAAGACGATTGGGTGATAATGGTCGGCGCAGGTGTAGTCTCTACCAGCACAGACGTTGTCACTGGACTAGGAGTTGAACTAGAACTTGTTTGACTAGTTGTAGCGTGTGATGTTGTCTGCGACGGGGTGGAACCATCAGAGCAAGAGGCAAAGAGAGTATTCGTTGGTTGAGTCTGGGTGACTGGAACCGTGACAATTACGGGTACTTGTGTGGTGACAATTCCGCCTGGAAAGAATGTAACCATCAGCGCCCCATCAGAAGCAAGGGATGCCCAAAATAACCGCGACAGGTGGAAGCATCGGTGCCGTCAAAGCGGTCACACAACACCGCGGTGCGACGGTCAAGGGAAGTAGGCACGATAATGAACCACGCACCTCCAATGGTGTTTACCTGCGTAAGCGTTGTGCTCGAGACGCAACCTGTACTATTTGATCCACTCAAGGTGCCAGTGGCGATACAAGTCGGCTGCACGACGGTCGTGACTGCGGCCTGGTTGCTCACTACACTCTGCGAGAACGACGTGGACGTCGTAAATGTAGTTATAGTGGTATACTCCGTTGCAGTGGCAGACGGAGTGCAAGACATGGTTCTTAGAAAATTGGGCCAAAGAATCAAGCAAATCTAGCACCAAGGGTTCATGCAAAGAGTAAAAAAAAAAGAACTCGGGTCTAGAAAGACCGAAGAAAGAAAAAAGTAAGCAATCGAGAAAAAGGAACTGGGGAGAATGAAGTCAAGAAACAAAGGTAGAAAGTTGAGCAAAGCTTACTTGTGCAATAATTTGGAAGGTACGAAGGCACTGCTTCGCTACCTCGGCACAGTCGGTTAGCCGTACTAATATCATCACATCTAAGTTCTATCAGCAGGGCTGCACACTACGGGCAAACTATAAAGCCCCGTCGTGACGATGTGCGTGGAATGACAACACTAGTATTATTATTCGATAAAAAGTATCACAACACCGAGAACCTAGAACTTTTACAGTACTTGGGCACGAATTATCTGGATGAAAGATTAGACTATCATAATTCGCCGTAAAAGTCTTGGAGGAATTAATATAGGCCTGGACTAGAAGGCATAGTGCTGCCCGTAGTCCTTCTCCGCCGCCACTTCAAGTTGTTGTCAATGACATCAAGCACAGGGCGCTCAGCACGCGTGCCCATCTCTGAGATAACTACTTGTCTGTGCTCTGGCATCACTTCCACCAGCTGCTCCTGATTATCCATTGGTCTGATATCAATAACGACATCGTGTTGGATAGGCTCTACCTGATCCACAAGCCCATTCCTCTCTCTCACGCGTCGCCACAGGTTTTTAGTCGCGCTTTTCACGAACTTCCCCAAGGTGATAAATGGATCCTCGAACAGTGGGTCTGGGGGAGGGTCACTGGTCCACAACGACCGTCCTTGCTGACGACCTTCACGCGCGGGTCGTCTTCTCCGCGAACGGGCCGCTACCCCGAGCGGCAAATTCGAACGCCTCCTGCTAGGGTCCGTTAATGGAAGCGGTGCAAACTTAACAGTTGGCATGTGCCCCAGCGAAAAGCATGTGGATGAACGAGAGGGGTTTGATGAATTAAGGTTTGTGATGGTAGGTAAGATTAATGATGAAACAGGGGACGGGGTATGCTCCAAGTCGGATGAGAGCTTGGTCACCACTTCATGGGCATTATCGAGGCGCTTGGAGATGGACATGGTATATATGCCCTTGATTGACTCGGAAGAAAAGAGTGTAGGGTGTTCAAAGAATGTGATGAGTCTCCGAGAAAATTGTAACCAAAACGACCCTACACTGCGGTCTGCAGCCCAGTTGCAACTTGCAAGGCAGCTTTAGATGGAGGATTAGGGCAAGCCTGAGAGGTTGGAAAACAATTTATTATTAGTTTAACTCCATCTATCTCTTGGTAACAGCACTCCCAACCAATTTTTTTTGACTTAGAGCTAAGCGCATAACCGCTTTTGGCTGGATAGTTTTCTGCCAGGAGTTTTCGTTACATAATATTGTTATAACCGAATGTCATGAGCACAGTCCGACCTGACAGTCATACGCAACAATTCGGTCGGAGGAGGTCCAATACTGCACAATCAATCTTTCGCAATCCACCTGGACCGCCGCCACAACCTCTGAAGCTCGGAGATGTTAAAGTTCTTAATTCATGGGTACACGACCAGAAGGAGTCATCTACCGCTATATTGAATCAAACATGGTTGCCCGGTGTGGCGGAGGGAGACATGCTACAAGTCTCAGGTTGCAATACAGGGAATGCTACTACTGGGTATCTATTTATGGTTCCAAAGGACGAAGGCTGCTCGAAGTCCGCATTACAGGTGCCTGTTCTGCTTCGGTCACCGTGAAGTCACGCTCAGCCAGACCTAGATTTCCCTTCCAAAGAATGTCGCAGACGTGTTTGGGATAAAGAACAACGGCGAGGTGGTCGTAACGAAAGTAACTTTATCCTTGACAATTTTGATTGAAGGCATGCTCATAATTGAGGCAGGTGGACAAGCAGCAGTATTGCGCAGACTATATCGAGTTCACGTTTCAAGACCAGTATCTTGGTCGAAATGAAATGTGGAGACTGGCTGAGCACCTTGTAGGGCAGTGTGTATTTGTCGACCAAGAAATATCTTTCATAAGCGTGATCGCCGCCAAGATACAATCCATCTATGTCAAGGGTCGAAAAGTAGGTATATGACCTCCCGCATCCCTGTTATGCTGAAAAGGCGCATCGGCAGGTATCTGCAGGATACGTTACTGCCACTACCAAAGCGATATACCGGTCACTCTCTGCGAAGGTAACAATCTTCATTCAAGTCTGCCGTGAACTCTGGGAATTTGCGGGAGATGGTGAACGCTACAATGAAAAAATTGTACATTCATTTCTCCCTGCCTTATTTGCGAAGTGGCGCGAGGCTGGCACGAATCACACAGTGACCATTGTGCTTATTTCGAGGGTGTATTACGATGACTCTGAAAAAGAGTATGCTGCAGGTCCTCTAAGACTGGATGAAGATGGTCGACGGTACAAGGATTTTTACAAGGTTATTACTGACCTAGAAGTCATACATGATTGGAAACCTACACTCGTGGGACTCAAAGTCTCCTTTTGGGCCTTTCAAAGAGACATCTTGCTCGCCCATCACTACCATCAAGCCTCTGTCGAATCTACAGCACCAGAGCAAGCCAGACTCGTTGGTCAGCTATCGGACGCGCATGATGGGCCTATTTTGGAGGCTCTTAACTTGGGTCTTAACCCAAACGAAACGCACTACATTGATCGCTCACTGTCAAATACTGGAGCATCAACCATCCTGATCACTCCTGGCACGGGCTATTACAAAGTGTCCAAGCAATTGCTCCGATTAACTACAACCCGCATGCTTGACCAGGGTTTCGGTTTGGATCTCGTATCACTAGCAAAACGCCCTTTGCACCAGACTCCTATATTCGCTTTCAAGGGATACGAGCCACGCTTGGACAAGGATGGTAAGAATGGCGGTCGGGCCCTAGACCCGCTCTGGGGAGGTGATGAAGATCCAGATGAGTCCAGGAGATTGGAGAAGACTACGTTCTGGTGGGAACCATTCTGGATAGGTGTTTCTTTCTGGGACAAACAAATGGATCTGCCTTTTCGCGAGGATAGGTCTGTTGTTCGAGCTCGATTCTTCACCTTTACTGACGACATTCTCAGGTTCGTTGCCAGAGCAAAAATGCATGAGATACAGATGCTCGGGCTGCTCGAGCATGACGTCCTTTCAGGCATAGAAGTTCCTTATCTCCCAGAGTTATGTGACCCGTACGCAACGCCGCCACGAGACAGCTTTTCGGAAGATGACCGTACTCCTACACAAGCAGATGCTGATCAAGCCGACATGGATGTGTTTGTCTTGAAGAAAGAGTTCCGACCCATCGCCAGCACCCGCACTTCATATGGCTCTTCTGCGAGTGGGACTGTCATGGCTTCGTCCTATCGTTCATCAATCATGAGCGAGAGACGTGGGCTAGCATCACAACGCAATTCTATCGCTTCCATGCGTATAGCCCCGATTGAAGAGAGTCCCAGAAAAATCATAATGGATCTACCTCCCGAAGGCAATGATGATGGGTTATTACCCTCCGTGACCGGACTCAACACATCTCCTTCACAATCCATACGCTCAGTGAGAACCAACGCGTCTGTCACAAGCAATAGCGGAAGTGACCCTCAATCCCGCAATGCGGGTTCTTCACGTCTTGCTAAAATCGCATCGTCTTGGTTTTACAATGCCTTCCAAAGAAGCTCGGGAGACTCTCAGACACCTTCGATTCCTGCTTCATCAGTGACAGGCTCCACACCTCCCCCCACTCCAAACATGCGCGTCCCGATCACGTCAAATCTCTCCGCTACACCTTCTGCCTCGCTTTCCCGCTCACCTCAGCCAATGGCCATATTGCACGGTGCTTCCGGTCGATCGGCCTTGAGCAGGACGTATGAGGAAGATGGTGTTCTTCCGCATCGAAGCTCCTTGAATCGGCATTCACCGATGAATACCCCTCCTCGTGATGAAAGTACCTTTGGGAAAAGGCGAAATACGACATTGAATTCGCTAAACCTGTTCTTCTCGCCGTCTTCCCCAATTCCGACTTTTCGCACCAATCCGTCGCGACCCCAATCTACAGTCTCGTATGCGCAATCTTCACTTGCTAGACGCTGGCAGCATGTATTTCCTACACCCACATACAAGCATGAGGTGAAATGGAAGTCTATGGTCACACCAGCGTGCCTTCCGCTCACGATGGACCACTTCCCCAGTAATTCGGAGCTGGAATTGTCATATGATGTATTCTCGTATGACTTTGTCGTCGATCCGACGGAGATGCGTTCTTTTCTCGTGAAGCCGCCTTTTATCCAGGGGAACACCGAAGAAGTGCGACGTGCGTGGGCCCTCACTGTAATGCGTGGTATGGTTGCCGTCCGACTTGCACAAGGGTTCCAGTTTGTCTTGCGACCGCGTAAAACGGGTGACGGTGAAGACCACACAATCATGCGGCGTACGAAGTCTTTTATGGGCGAGGACGATGCATCGCCAAAGCCGGCTGGGGCAGCGGAAGTTCTCAAGACCACCAATGTGCCTGTTTACTTGAGCATGAGCAACGAGATCCATCGCATATCTTATACTGGTGAGGCGATCCAGGTGAGGCGGTATGTGAGAAGGATGCCGCCGACCCAACCCTTTGAGTACGAGTGTCTCATTTGGCCTAAGCTCGGGGTGGGGTATACAGAGTTGAAGACGACATTCGTCTCACATGGGCTGGAAAATTTCGGCTGGAACAGGTCTGTTCTTTGTACCTGTAGACGTTGTGAAAGTGCTGATTTCTTATCCTAGATTGGATATGTTGGTTGCTGGCTATGAACACCACTTTAATGAATCCTTGCGATACTGGCGCACTCGGTTCGTAGTCATACCGTCCGCTGTCCCTGAGGGTAATGTGGGACCTTCTGGAGAGAAGCTCAATGACGAAGAAATTCGGCTTATGGGAATCGATAAGCTTGCCGAAATATTCACAAAATTGCGGTGGCAACCTCCGGATGAGCGTGGTTCACCAGTTGCACCCGTGCGCTTTCTTCCTACGACACTCGGCCCTGTACACTCTGTCCTGGATGAGTCACTGACGGCACAGCTGGACGAAATACATGCTGCAGGACCTCTGAAGAAGAAAATGCAGAGCACCAGGGAAATTGCAGACACCCCTCTTTCATTGATCGCGAAACTCATGCGTGAAGAGGATGGGGTACCGATCAAGTTTCATCAATGGCATGGAGCGAAGTATCCTGATTCTTTTACTGGGTTTGACTTTGTTTCGTGGCTTGTGCGCGAGTTCCGGGATGTAACGTCAAGGGAACAAGGTGCTGAATGCGGGGCCAGGCTTTTAGAACAAGGGCTGTTCTCTCATTGCCGAGGGCGCCACGGCTTACTCGATGGGCAAGTTCCTCCGATGTTTTTATTCTACAATGTTGGACTCATTTGTCATTACGCCACAGGCACTACTTCTATCAGCTAAATGGTGAATATGCAAGCGTCAGCACCCCGAGAGGAGGGTGGATCAAGACATCTCGTTATATTAATGGCGATGAGGTCAGCATCACAAGACCAGGGGGATATTACCCATCCAGCCTCAGTAGACCCTTGGGGGCTAGGCGAAACAGGAAGTGCCTGATCCTGAGTCAGACTATGGTCATTGACGTTGACCCCACCAAGGTACGCAAAGTTGTACTCTGCGATTTCCCTGAACTTACGTCATTATACAGAGGAGCGACCAGGCTGAATCAGTAGTTCTTCACCACGACATCATTCAAAACCCTGGGACAGTCTTTCACTTTGAGCTGCAGTGGATCGGATCCACTGCGCGTTGCATTGAAGACTCGCTCCGGCAATGGAGTCGGGCGATTGAAAGGTATGGCCTCAAATTGGTCGAGGCCTACGTCATGGAAATCAGCGACATACGAGAACGCAACGCGTTCCAGTCTTGCTTCCCTTTGCGATTGGTAATACCGCCACCGATCGTGCCAGGTCTTGAGAAACGGGTACCTGAAGGAACGCACACAGCACACTATTTCGAATACGCAATTCTCAGACGCTTCGACTTTGTCCTCGACGTGGAAGCCACCAACCTATACCCGAAGGATGTGGAGGTCTCCTACTCTTACCGCCGAGCGCCTTTCAAATATTCGCAATTTGTGCATCGGTCTGGTGTCGCATTTGTGCAGGTTGTAGGGGGTTCGCAGGGACTGCTGTTCTTGACCAACCGCTTGTTGGGTCCAGGTCGCATGGGAAGTGCAATGAAGAGTAAGGAGCAAAGACCTGAAGTTGCGGCAGAAGAGATTCGGGTAAAGATGTATGAGTTCTGCTCTGATGAAGCTGCATTGGTACAGTTTTATGACGAGGAGCTGGCTGCTCTTGGGCCGGACGACCCTCCACCGCTTAGTATATGATGCATTCGGTGCATTGTAATGCAGATAATAGTTTGTGAGCGAGCATCCGCAGAATACGTCTACTGGTTTACGAGACATCATGAGCGCTGACTATCATATCTCGACCATTGGACCGTATAGATCGTTGTGCCATGTCGCGTGACAGACATTTTCGCATATCTGTCAGATATCAGTATGGATCAAAGCATCATTGGAAGCATACGCACCAAACGCGTCCTCCTCATCTCGTCCATCTTTTCCTACCCCAAGATTACCGTAGTATTCTCTTACTCGTCTGTACACGCTATATCCCATACCCTCGTACATTTTGATGGCTAGTGCATTGTTGCAGCGCACATAAAGATCCACAAAGTACCCTTTGTATGTCGCATCCGAGGCGAATTCGAGACGCTGGCACATGTTTCGTGCTAGAGAGAGACGACGGTACTCTGGAGCAACGGAGACGGCTGTGATGTGACCATGCCATTCTGTCTGAACCCCTTCAGCCTTGCCAAGAACTTTCAAGATGTGTGAATTGTATCGGCTGACGACATGAGGAAGATTGATTGACGCACTGTAGCCTTGTAATCTGCCTCCTGGGCTTTCTTGAGTGAAACAGAGGTCCGACCACCTTTGAAGGTAAGTTAGGTAGAAGGGAATACCGTACTGTCAAAACAATAAGCTGGATGTATGGTCGAAGGTATGATAGACTCGCAGTCTCTGTCCAGACGTCTAAATTACTGTGAATCTCGGTTAGTGCATGACAGATGGTTTAAAATGTGTCAGACTTGCATGTTGTTAAACCTGAATAGATCATTCGCTTTGAATGGCCTGAGGACGCTCATCGGGATAAAGTTTATGAACAGATGAAATGTCACTGTGATATGGAAGTATCGAAGGAAGACACGCTGACGTACATAATGTCAACCTATACGGTAAGGGCCACCTGCTGAGTACTTCTAGTCCTGCTACTTAGTAAATACTGTTCACGTTCAAATTCTGGCATGCATCATATTAGCACGGTACCGAGATGCCCAGTTAGGACTAAGTCCACGTATACGTGGTACCGGTACTTTGCTATTGTTCCAGCAATTAAGAAAAAGGGTCTGATTTGCATCATAGACGTATATTGGATCTAAACAGCTGTAAAGCCCCGCCGTCGGCTGAATCCTTCTCAGCTTCTCAGCGCAAATTATGGATCATCCACCCTCAAAAGAAGATGAAGTAAGTATCCAAATTTGTGTCGACAGCCTTGGTTCCTAATAAATACAAACACCTGCTAGCAGTGTACGGAGTCCTAGTAAATTCTGCACTCAACCCACTCACATACCTACCCGAGACCCCAGGGCCCGTCGCTGTAGCTGGCTCGATTTCTGACATTTGCAATGTATCAGCAGTTCCCCGCTGCATCGTCCAACGATTATGGCCAAATGATAATGTCTGCGCCTGCTGCAGGCCCTAGTACTGTAGCACCACATGCAACTACTACCGCTCCACAACCAGTGACACCAAAGCCAGCAGCCCCTTGTGGCGACCGGCAATTGGACGACTGAGCTCGTCCAGCTTGCCAAAACAGCTGAACTCAAGTGAGTTGCGTGCGTCATTAAAACCTGATTGCTCCAACATCGTGATAGTACAATACTGAATTAACTATGGGCAGAAAACATTCCCTGACACTGCAACTGCATACCGCTAATATAGTTGCTGCCCATAATACCCTCGAACAAAAGGATAAGACAATTCAGGATATCAAAGAGCAAAAAAATAGGTACGAATCACCTTTTCGATGATTCGACCAATCTATCACATTAGTTTTCCCAATCTATCAATACCGTGTCTGATTCGCCCATTTTTGAATTTTCCATGTGGTACCGACGGTGTTTGCTAATTGCCATCTGGCAGATTGGACAGCGAACGTGCACGGTTACTTAACGCACTCGCAGAGGTATGCGTTCCGTGACTTATCTTATGTTATTATTTTTGATAGCAATTGTTGGTTTGACAGATAAATGCAGACCGTGACAAGGTGCGTTCCATCGTCTATTTAAGGATGATATTGCTCACATGCTATCTTTGATCTTTCCTCAAAGGTGGATCTCCTCGAAGCATCCATCACACGAGAGTACGTATCTTTCCCACGTCTCTTATTGCCCCGCAGTCTGTCCTAATTAACTCTACTGTGCAGATGTGTGGACCTGAGGCAACAAATCCAAACCCTACAAGAAGGTGAATATGCCATAGCAAAAGCGGACGTTGATCGCTTGCGGACCGAACTCGGTCAGCCCCCGCTCCCGCCACTCCAAACTAAGCTTGATGAGAAGGCATCTCAGTAAGTCCAAGTTCCTTCCGGTTGTGGTTTTAGGGAACTTCTGCCCGGCTGTGGTGTGTGCGCCGCAGCATGTTTTTGGCGATCGGCGCCCCGCCACAGGAGTGTAGTAGTCCTGTCGCACGGCGGGGTTCGGGTGTTTTCTCTGCGCTGCCTTGCGTGTTGGTGAGCGTGTGCTGACTACTCGTTATTCCCCAAATAGGTATTTGCGTGATCGTCGGGTAAATGGGGAGAAACGGCCCGTAAGCGACAATCAACCAGATGCTCAGCCTAGTACTACGAAGCGCCCACGAGGACGGCCTAAGGGTAGCAAAAACCGTGGTGGCAAAGCGGGTGGTAACGCACCTAGCGGGAGTGGGAGTACTAGTGGAAGTGCGGTGGCTGGTGGCGCTGCATGATTGACCAGTGACAGGTGACAATGGCCGCGGTCGGGTATGTAATTGCTTGGCGAGCGTGAATGAATGAAGGACGATCAATTTGTGGGCCGCAAACCTACGAGCTTGCAAGTTTTGAGTTCTCTTCGGGGGGCGAGATGCAGGGACGACTAGGGACGAATGCTGGGTACAAGTTGTACTATATCACATATACATGATAAATGACCTTATTGAACTCCGTGACTGATGGATGATCTGCTCCCCCTGTGATGCTGTGTCGAAGAGCTATTCATTTCAACGGCTATCTTTGTGCCTTATTAGCGCGAGCGGCACCTAACGACCAACTACGCTAGAGTCACGACTTTGTCATAGTGACTACACGATGAACGGAGGGCATAAACCCCCGCACTTGGCAGACGTATGGTTCCTTGGCGAGATGTTGTGACCGGGGCAAAGGTTCCTGTGGAAGTTGTTCCTTGGTTTAGTATACTTAGCATTATATCGGAGGACGCCACACGCCCAGTGACATGTACGCATGCTAATAGATTTGCGTGAGGGTACGTCCGATTGGGATTACGAGTCATCTTCCCCGCAACAATCGCGGCCAAGGGTGGTAGATCGCAGCTAGTAGGGAGAACGTGTCAGCGTACCCGAAACGTTCGCAACTGGTTCTAGTGACTCGGAAGCTCTGACGGAAAGTTATGATTTATTATGGGTACTTGAAGAGAAGATTCCAAATTAGCATTACTCGGTTGAATATTCATACCGTGTCCCATCGGCCAACCGGCGGCATCGCATCTCTTGCTTACCGAATTTAAACATTAAATCCAAATATGGATATAATTGTAATCCCTTTAACAGCGGTGCGTTCAGTTCATTCACCGACGCCGAGTCAGCACAGTGAAAAGCCGAAACCGATTATGCAATACTCCGGCCCTTCCTTTCTAATCGCTCATGTCAACCTGTCCCTTTTCGTAAGTAACCGATCCGGCTCTCTTGCTGTTCCTCCCATCCGGTGTCCCTTTATATACCACACAATCCATCCACTATGAATACCCCACTAAGCCGTCTCCGCTTCAGGCTTTCTCTCTTACTCTCTAGACAACAATGGTCTCCTCCTCCCCAATCCACAAGGCAAGCCTCGTAGACCCTGCTCTCCATTCACCTGCTCTCTTGGAGCTCCTCGAAATAAAGCTATCACGACCTGTTATCGGTATGTCTCACTCTACCTTTCACCTCTTATCCATCCTAACAACCTTCCCAGAATATGTCGTCGATTGTGTAGTAGACACAGTAAATTATGCAATGGGTCGCCCATCATCATCATCTCGTCGTGGCCGCAGCGTGTCTCGCCGCCCAGAGCACACCAAATTCACTACATTTGTCTCCAACGTTCTCACTAGAGCAGAAGTCACACTTCCTACACTTCTCGTCTCCCTCGTTTACATCAATCGCGCCAAACCTCACTTGCAAATCGCTCTAGAGGAGTGGGCGTGCGAGCGAGTCTTTCTCGGCGCCGTAATGATCGCTAGCAAAGTACGTTTACTCCTTCCCATGTCATCAACCCCTGACTGACTCCACCGTAACAGTTTTCAAACGATTCCACACTCAAAAACGTTCACTGGGCTCTTTGCACCGGTGTATTCGGCAAACGTGATGTCGGCCGAATTGAACGAGAATTTCTCGACGTGCTTGATTTTGATCTGTCAGTTACCGAAGATGACATTCTTAGCCACCACGATGGCTTGTCTGCAGTCGCACTTCCTTCCCACGACTTTCGCAGAATCGCAGACTCGTCTCCATCCCACGCGCACTCCCAATACCACCGTTCGCACCACGTTCATTGCCCAGATCTGGACCCATCTAGCTCCCACTCGTCATCTTCTGGGAGCTCTCCTCAGCCACTCACTCCTGAGGCTGTACCAAACTCTTCATTCAATCCTGCTGTCAACTCGCATCATGATGCTATGGAGCTTGTGATTCCCCCTCCACCACCGCCCAAGAAGTCGTATCACCCTTCATCCACACTAGACTTGCTACGAGCATTCCCTCTTCCCGTACCTCATTCGAATTCACGTTCACAACTTCCCACTTCAAACAAGCCTCACAATCGTTATTCGCATTTTCCTTTTAAGAATCCAGCGATGCAAGTCGCTGCATAGATATCCTTCTCCAAACAAACGTGATATCCGTTCGAAATTCTTTGTAACCTTATTATGTGGTGTCGCTATATTTTCAAGACTAATTCCACATCAGCCTCGTGCTCAAAAGCTTATCGTCATACTTACTATCGTCAATACTATGATCATCATCATCATTTATCTTACTCCAAACCGCATGTTCATCAGATCTGACATGACCCATCACCGTGAATTTACCACGTTGCGATTGAATAGTATTGGGTAGGCATGATGCAAATTATACTAACAGGTGAGATTTGGCGTCACTTGCACTGCATGTTGACGGCAAGCGCGCAATACCGGGGTCCGAATGGCTTCTGCTCGTGGACTTGGTCGGCTGCGAACAGCCTGGACCGGGAGCCATAGTACACACTTAATACAAGGCGAGGATCGTGTCAGTCACCGAAATTTCCTTGACCACCGGGCAAACGGTAGTGAATGTTAATGAAATATTGAAACGCGGGAGTCGTGCGAGAACGCTGCGCCACCAATTCAATAATGACTTGAGATTCGTCGTAGTCGCCAAGCACTGGCCTTGTTTTCTTGTTTGCTTTGTAGTACTTTGCAATGCATATATGCTACGTTTTTTTTTTTTTTCATTCATCTGGCTTAAACGTTATCACGGAAGTTTTCTTGACGACCTTCTATCATTCATTGTGTGTATAATTGGCCTTTCTCACGAGGAGAATCACTGCGGACACGATGCTGCGAAGGGTCCTCCCTCCAAGTCATATAATACACGACGATCGGATTACACGTTGCCAGCTGTAGGGCCCGGCCGCGAGCTGTCTAGCACCAAACCTCGTGATGATATTTCAGGAACAACCCTAACCGCGAATCTCTCGGAATCAATCAATGGGGGGCGTCCTGCGGACCAGTCGGAGAGTATCACGATACAGTATCACAGGGCTTGGCGTGGTTTGGGTTGGGTTGGGGGTGTGACCAAAGTAATGACCTCGAAAAGTTATTCAGGGCGTGAGTAGTACCTTAAGGGCCCCAAGGCTCGGGTTTTCTGTGACATTTATGGGCGTCCGACGTCAGTCGGAGAGGTTCGTGATCATGCTTCGCTTCTGGTCACGGTGCATTGGGGGTTGATGAGTCTCATCAACGTGTGTGCTCTCCCTCAGCTGATCATGATATCGCTCGGCATGACTTTTCGCTCGATACTCGTCATGATGATGGCATACGAAGGCGCCCGCACTGCCGCAAGCTCGTATGTCCTTTGCGGGCCGAAATAATCTACCATGGCCATTAACTGATAAGCGGTAATTATAGTTCGCCTCCAGTTTTTTTTTTTTATAACGCTGGCCGGGAGTGCATATGACTTGACCGTCGTCGGTTATTCGATCGCAGCGGTTTTATTTTACTCAAGCTGGAACGTGGACTCGTGTCCGGTGCCTGGGCGGGCCTGGGTTTTTGTCATGTGGTGGGCCGGCGCTATAGGATGACGCTGCGGGAGCACATTACTGGCCAATGTCGTAGCGCTTGGTCGGTTTTAATATATGGCGTGTGCCGAGCCTTCACCCTGTCACGGTGAGATGGCCGATAGACCCGGGTCCGGTGCGTAGTTGTGATATCACCCACTCAAGGCGCGATCGCACTGGTCTGACTAGTGCGATTGGACGTCCATGATTGATCTGGGGGTTGTGTGGCCTTTGCGTATTTTTGCCATTTCTTTTTAAATATATGATGTGAGCTTCGTAGCTATCTTTGAGTGGCAGTGGCGACTAGCATGGTTGATCGTCCATTGTCTCTGTTTCCCTCTATACTAGTCTGTTAGTGGCGTATCGAACTGAGATCAGATAGCACCGGGTATGTTGCTGGGACGCTTCGTTTCCGCATGCTAGACCCAAATACGTGCGACTTGGCAAGTACATCCCAGGCTGGCCGGGTCTTCCCCGCACACGCTATCACCTCAAACCAGAATATATATAGAGCATAGGTTCCACGACAGGAATAGCGACATAATATTACATTGTTGAAATCTACCAAATAAAACCTTTGAGATTAAGGAATGTAAATCTTTGAATATCCGTCCACGCTTGAGTAAATGAATTGTCAATCGGTGTCGTTACGGCCTTGTAGAAATACTCACCTTCTTCGACAACAGGGACATGTGTGAGTAGACGCAGACGAACGGGACGCGAGATTTTCGCGGCAGTCATCACACACCGCGAGACATCTGCCAAAGGAATCACCGTCACATGGCTTCCAAAAAGAAATCGCGCTCCGTTACTCACCGACATGGCCAACATATGATTTGGCGTGGCTCTACTGTGCATATCACACAGTTTCTCATCGTCTCGTCTTCATGTGGAGCAGTGCCACTAGAAGATGATCGTCGGATCGCAGCGACGTCCGACCAGTCACTAAGGAAACTGTCAGTGCGCTGAGAAGGCGTTGACGTGAGGTGCTGGAATCGCCGTCTCGTCATTGGCAACGATGAATCATGAATCATATGCGCCACCAAGACCGGCGCAGAAGTCATGGCTGAGGGACCGGAAGAGAGGTCCGAAAACAAGCTGACAATCTCCTCTGTGTCTTGCCGTGGATCCTTCTCCCCTTCTTCTTCTTCTTCGCTGCTATGCTCAGAACTCGACGAAGCGGAGCCAACGGAGCCATCCCGTTCCATTTCGGAGGGGTAATATTCAAAATCTTCATCTTCTTCGTCCATGGGCTCTCCCCTAATAAATCTTTCGTACAATTCTTGTTGTTCTTCGGCTTCTTCATCATAATCTTGATTCCGCTGACTTGTGGTTGCCTCGCTCCTGACCACGATACGCCGAGGAGGGAAGTTGGGCGGCTTTCGCGACCTTCGGTTGAGTACTTTCCAAAATTTCATTATCAGCCCTTTGACACATCGCACCACACTCATCCCGAGCCTTGCAAGCTCCTTGCACCAAGTCATATCCACCCAGATATCCCCTCCAGTCGTCGTGATCTTGACGGTCTTGACTTCATTGCAAAAACCCTTCTTGAAACGAGGGTGTTTGATGGAGCCTTCAACAGCCGGAGAAAGCGAAGCCACCCCCATGCGATTCAGTTCCACGGTTCCATCGTTGAAGGGAAGGGGCATGACCGCAGCAACACCCCCTACTTGGTTCCCAAGGCCCAACACGCACGACGCCTCGAGGCTTGCCGTACCCATACGTAACAATGCGACTGAGAAGTCTTCATCCCATTGAGGAAGAAGAGCAGCTTGATGGCCAAATAAGAAACGGGAGATTGTACCCTCCGTGGCAAGTTGAGTAAATGCATTGAGGAAAAGAGCCAGAAATATGACGGCTAGAAGGGTAGATTCAAACAGGCAAGGCACATAACTGAGCAAAGGATAAGATGAATCCGATAGCCACATAACTGAATGGAAGTGGGTGAGTGCAAGGAACGACGCAAACATCGATGGAAAGAGGCGATGGGACGACCAATCTTGCTTGATCCCAATCGAGTGGATGACTGCGAGCTATAAGGGGTTGTTAATTATTATTATTATCCCATGAGGCGAGGCAAGCCAGCGAACCTGAAGCAAGGGCAATAGGATAGTAAACACGACATGCTTGTCTGGCCGTGAAGTCGAGCCTTCAAGCGTTACCCAGTGAGTCACTGGAGAAGAGTAGGTGTGCAAAAGAAATGCATATCCGAGCTTTTTTCTTCACGTGAGTGAGTGATGTTGCATATTGCGCTAGAACCGCACCAGATTAAATGGCGAAGGGCGGTGTGCTCCGCCTTCCAAACCATGTGTTAGTCCTTCCATGCATAGAACACCACAGACAGCGCAAAACGTAGACCAGCAGAGGTCCGCCGTTTCTCTTTTGGCGACATAAGTCCCCACTAATTGCAACGATGACAAGTCCCACGTTGGAAACTTGTCTGCTGTTTGAGCGAGGACGATGAGCCATATAGCGACCATCTTCAAGATGAAGTACAGTGAGGGTGAGCGCAGCACGAGACGAGTTATTGAAGACGACAAATCTAGGGGGAAAACAGGCGGAATGAAAGAGTTGGCAGATGCGCGGAGCCTTGCAGTGCGAGTAAAACGGGTGATGAAATGGTCTCTGGGCACTACGATGTTCCGTATACGATGTAAGAGAACCGCCTGGTGCAAAGTCAGTCATAGAACACATTACTTGCGGGTACAACACACCATCACGACTAATCCAAAAACATACCAAGACGTCAAAAAGCTCCATGGACCTGGTAAAGGGGTGGATATGGGTGGGGGAGGAGACTGTGATAGCAAGAATTCATCGGAGTGCACGTCACGCATTACTGTGAATGCGAACATATTCTCCGAACTGTGCGTCCATCTGTCATCTGTGCCCAACTTCCGTATGCGACCCAGCAATTGGACTGGGAAGGTCAACAGCGTGACAGACGCCTGGATAACGCTTGACTTTGCTAATCTGAACACTTCGACTGTAGCATTCGCTAACATCGTGTTCAGTACGAGAAAGAGAGGATGATAGAAGCAGCCAGCAGTTCAGCCTCGTTGCCAGAATCGTACCATCCCGGGACTCCGTTGGTGTCTAAGTAATACAAACGGCTGCACGCAGCATCCTATCATTCGCTTAGTCAACAACCCTCTTTTAAATTTGCCTTTTTGAACTCACCCGCCTTCGCTGTAAATAGTAATTAATTCAACCGCCTTGAAGATACAAATAACTTACATGCTCGCAGCATACATAAATGTATGCAGGCACTCCAGCACGCACAAGGCACTCCTGAAATGCTTTACCGTCTCAAAATGTGCGCGTAACTTCTCTATTACGCGCAACTTTGATCCTACCATTCGTGAATTCGTGTCTCATCTCGCTCAGAAACAACCGAGCTTCAAGGTAGCGTCGAAAGACGTGCATGTGCTCTCACAGCCTTCTGACTTCTATAAAAATCTACTTGTAAGCACCCGTATCTTATCTTCGTGAGACTTTCCGACGGTGTGCATGCTAGAACATCATTCGCCGTGCACGACGGCGGATTTTTCTGTCGTCATTATACATTGGTTTCTCAGAGACGGAACTGGTAGGCACATCATGTATTCTGCGATGAAGAGATTTATCCTGATAGTTACCAGATAAACGCCTTGGACGATGCACTTCGGACGAATCCTGGTTTGCACCTCTACTTAAACTTGGATTACAACCGGTCGACTCGACCTGGACCATCGTCTCCCATTCTTTCCCTTCTTCCCCTCCTACGGAACCATGAACATAGAGTACATATATCCCTTTTCCGCAGTCCAAAGCTCAGCGCAACGATGTCAAATATAGTCCCTCCTCGATTCAATGAAGGTTGGGGCACCTGGCATGCCAAAATTTACGGTTCGGATGATGAAGTCATGATCAGCGGGTCAGTCTTTGCAAACTCAAAAAAAGGCAGAGCTAATGAAGTAACAGAGCAAACCTGAACAAAGCATATTTCTCAAACAGACAAGATCGCTATTTGCATTTCAGTGCGCAACCTGCTCTTGCAGATTACTGTTTCTCGTTCTTGCAGACCATCTCTAGTTTTTCGTATCGAGTGCTGGCAACTTCAGATGGACCGGCCCTTCATTGGGACGACACGTCTGTTTTGCCGTGGCAGATCCAGTCCAAGGCAGAACGTGTGTTGTCACAGTTTCAAATGAAACATCTGTTTTCATCTGCGTCCTCTACCAGCAGCGAAGAGCAGGCCAATTCGTCAGATGTAGTCATCTTTCCTGTTATCCAAGCCGGGCAATTTAATATCCGAGAGGAGGAACGCACTCTGTCGATGCTCTTCGATCACTTGGCGTCTCGCGAATACCGTTTTAATGAAGAACCTGTTATGAATCTGACGAGCGGTTACTTTGGATTATCCAAGGAATACCAGGACCTGATTTTGAAATCCAATGTTGGATGCAGTATCATAGCAGCCGGTCCGAAGGTGATTTTTTTTTTCAAGATCAACCTGCTGATCATGATGTAACCCGCGTTCTCAGGCGAATGGTTTCTATGGGTCTGGGGGCCTGTCTGGGCTCATCCCTGAGGGATATACCCTATTGGAGAAACGTTTTATGTCGGCGGTAAGAGCCGCGAGCCGACCTTCTTCAAATGGGTCAGACGACCACAATATCACCCTTAAAGAGTGGGAGAGGGATGGTTGGACATACCACGCAAAAGGTTAGCGCTTTGGGTTGGAGCATTATCAAATCTTATGTCGTCCATTCCAGGAATTTGGCTTTCCCCTTCAGTAGATTCACCGCCAGTCCTCACGCTTTTTGGGTCCACGAACTTGAACTCACGTTCAGCAAACCTTGACACAGAGTTATCTTTCGTGATGGCGACCTCGTCAGATGATTTACGTCAAAAATTACAGGAGGAAATTCAGGGACTGCATCGTTGGGCGGTGCCTTGGAGGGGCGGAGAAAGAAAGGTCAGGTGGCGCACGAAAGCTATTGTGGCTCTCGTTGGTGGGATGTTGTAGGTCGGTTACAGTTATCGCTGTCATTTCGCATATCTTCTGCCGTCACGCCTCTGAGTCAATGCCACATGACCCAGCTTACTGTGACATCGGGTTTTCAGCGTCCAACGCAGTTCAATTTGCCTTGCTGGGAACAGACAAAGAAATTCATGAAGAAATGTCATTGTTCACTAACACGAACAGTGACTACGAAACATCTACCTCCGAGTCAGACGGGCTTGGATTGACACTGGCAGCAGATCTCGAGTCAGCAGCATCAGCCATTTGGTTCTTGGCCTCTTTGTTGCCGTTTCCATTCGATTTCTTCTCTGTACCTCCTGAAGCCGAAACATACTCGAACTTCCGAGTATCCAACGTCAGAGTGACAGGTCCCTAAGCAGATAACATGCACCACCGCAAAAAGCTCGAGTAATAACATCCCATACCTCATTTGTCAACGAGACATCCATCATAGCACCGAATTGCCCGTCTGGAAAGCGCATCAAACATGTGATCGTACACTCGACTGGAATGAAGCTAACCTTGTATTCGATCTGGCACGTACAGACGCCGCATCTTCTCGAGAAACGTTGCATACAATTCTCTGGAGGCATTAGAGGACTGTAGAAAAAAATGCAATCGGCATTAAACGATGAAGAACTTGAGATGGCGCACCATCGCACGATGGAAATCAGGTTTGTTGCCCTTTGTAGTATTTGCCATTAGCGTGAACTGGGAGACGCAGAGAACTTGGCCAGCGATGTCCTTAACGCTCGACTTCCACATCGAGCCATTTGCATCGAAGATGCGGATGTTCAGTCTGTGATAGTGGTCAGTGCGGAGGACAAGGACCAAGGAATGCGTTCGTCCTTGCATTTTGTTGGCCAAGGTTTCGACATCCGCAAGCGTGTCATCTATCCTGCGCGGGTACTCGTTGGCTATGTATCTGCACAGGATACATATCCGTACCAGTACCGATTCCAACCAGGACCATCAGTCCTTTGGATATGCTTGAAATCACATTTCCGTCGACTGCGATGCGGTTTAGGTACATTAGCTGTGATAATTGTTTTCTTACCTGATACCGAAGCCGATGCGACACGTTGAACAACAGCTCTCATCCTGTACGCGACGGGCCGTCGATTGCTGACCTATAGTGATGACAGTCCAACAATAAGATTGATTACATACAAAAGTAGTTGCGTGACTCATCCAGGCAAGCCCCGCGGGCGCGGTGCTATGTCCCATGTCACTGCCACAGCGACATTGCAACATTTTCACATCGCGCAACTCAAATTGACTCAGCCTTTGCAATACATACTCGATGCATGACTCATGTGCATGGTGTACTCCCAGTCGGCACTCGTCCTACACGTTGGTTGAACGGCAGAATTCTGTGAGTACTTGTTGATGCATTCAATATTTAAAGGAACCAGTGATCTAGCCACGTCAAAAGATGGCAGATGCTTACAAGAAGGATACTAGTCTGCCGGCAGTTACTCATCGACCGCCGTGACTCATCGCCGTCGGCTCCTGCTTATGCCTGGTCGCGGCAGTTCACCTAATACTGGATGCTCGGAGATGTGCACGACGAGTACGTACTGTCACAGGATCAGGGGAAACAACAGCGGTGGGTGTGCAAGACATAACCTTACTACTCCTTTATGTAAGCTCTCACCACAGGTTGCGTCGCGTGGCTCGGCGTCTCCGTTACAGCTCAGTCAGCCTGAGCTTTCGCCACCTAAATCGATTCCAGGGCAACTTGAAGTCCAAAATATCAAAGTACGCTATTCCCGTCGATGACATAAGATGTCATAGTTATCTTGAACCGCTCAATCAAAAAAACGGCTTGATACATATTTCCGGGGTACGGTGATCTCCGGCTCGCATATCAAAGGAGTCATTAAATTTGTCCCCATGTCTCGCAAAAACTGCTCATATTATCGCAGATCTTGGGGATTCTGTCGGTACTTGCTTGTCGGTGCCGAGTTTTTGGTTTTACGGTAGATCTGCGCGCAAACACCACCGGAACGGGGACTGCCTGTTTCGTTTGTGAAATCTGACATATGTCCGTGTTGGGCGTTCGTACCTCTGGAGTCATTTTCAGCGTCCCCACGATGCTCGCGTAGTAGAGTCATCCCGAACCAGCCGTATAGTTCGAACTCACTGACGTTTGCCTTGGGAAGTGCAGTCAATCCGCAAGGAACACTTCACGGATTGCGAGGAAGATATTATTTAGGTCCGTGACTGATTCCCTCGAACTGGCTCAGGCCAGGGATGAACCTGGACGTTTATGTGAGCGTAAATCTAACTGACATATGATCTCTGAGACAGAATTGCTCGGACAATCAAAGTGTAGGTGCATGCCGCAAGAACGGCATGTTCTGATAAAGCTTTTCAGGCGTCAATGGTTATATCGTATGTTCATTCCACGATGTCGGATTAAACTCATCAAACTCACCAGTCACATCACGCTTTTTGGACATGATCTGGTGCCCCAGGTTCTCCGCACGCTGCGAGATTGAGATTTTTGGTGTTGCCGAGGTTATTTGATGCACGTGTGTTGATCCTCGTCTCGACAAGCTCAAGTTCAGGACGGCGTTGATCGAAGGTACTCCAAGTTGTCTCCAACTGCTGAGCCAGGTACGCTCATCCCTTGACGAAGCGTCCCACGACCGATACTGAAACAAAGTGTATGGTTCGTCTGGTGCTTGACTGTGACAGGTTGTCCTTGTGAGCGATCACCAATTTGGTCTGGTTATTATGAACAAGATAAAAACGCGCGCTGGTCTGACGCAATCGCTTTTCGAACTTCTGATTCCACTTGGGAACAGACCCTCTGCAAGTGCAGTACCGCATGCGCCCTTGTTTGTCTGAATTCCCCTCATACATGTTCTACGAGGGCACACTACACAGCGGTGTCACTGCCCGACGTCCTCGTAAGAATGACAATTTTATATAGTCCACCCCAGGCATCCTGCCTACCCATATCGACGCTGTCACACCCTACGATTCTTACACCGTCAACTATACGCAGTTTAATAGGTCTCTTCAGGACTTGTGCAAGGACATCGAAGTAGCTAGCTTAATGTGGATGCCTTAAATCAATGCACTATATTTCTTACGTACCACACATGGGGACTAAGTAAGGTGTAAATAGACTCATGTCCTCGAGAAAATCAGCGACGCCTGGTCTCCGAACACCAATGAATGTTTGCGTATGATGACAATCCTTAACATTGATTTAGATAGATACCTTCAAATGCATATCATACGAGTATCGGCTTCAATGAAAAAGTTCGGAAGGGAGCGAGTGCGAAGAGCAGCAGTACTTGTTTGGCGGTGGCGAGAAAAACATGGGAGGCACTTCGCGAGGCAATGTCACCATCGGGAGATGGATGTCGAAAGGTCAGGCAGACTTACATATTTGCCTCGTGCTGCTAAGACGTTTACAACGGAAATCCTGCTCGGGCAAGGAGCATGCCCATGGGGGATAGAGGAGCGAGAAAAGAGACGGTTCATCATGTTTTTGATTCGGGAGCCTTTGCCACGATGCGTCATGGGTGCGTCCAGGTGGAGCACGTATATCAAGCTTCAAAAGGATGGTAAATGAACGTGCATTGAATCTGCTGTATCTTATGGACTATGTGAATCTAAGTACTGACATCATCGAAGAACCTAGTCGGAATTGCAGCGCTGGACCCAGGTCGTGTGTCTAGGATCGTTTTCTACAACACTGAATTTAGGAATAGTAAAAAACGAAAAGCATGAAAGCGTACTTTCAATTGAGGATTTTTCGCGCAGACTCAGACTATCTGACATGTCAGTACTTGTGAGGCATGACATGACAAGGAAATTTGCTCACTTGTTGAAGCTCCTTCTCTGACCTGCTCAGAGGAACTGACCATGTACGAACGAGCTTATCCTCACAGCTAGTGGCGATGAGCTCGCTGTCCTCAGAAAATGCCACACACAAGACTACATCAGGGTGCTCGAGTGACTCGCCGATAGGTTCGAATGTGTTCATGTCAAAGAACCGTGTGGTCTTGTCGGATGAAGTGGTCGCGAATTTGCTGCCATTGGGAGCAATGGCTAATGATTGACAGGGTTTGCCCCACTTGTTTCCCTGTTTCCAGATTCCACACCCGGAGGGTCTTGTCGGCGGAGCTAGTGACGAGAAGATTCGTACGAGGGATGAAAACTACGCCGGACACCCATTCTTCGTGACCTATAAGTGTGAGTTTGGCCTGAGATGTTTCCTCTTGCATTGGCAGGGTGGTTAGTTTGGATGTCTGTCTTCGTGAGCGGTAACCACCATTCAATATTCGACCTTGTTCAATGTATCGGTCAGCAGAAGCTTTGAATGGGGGAGTAGACACTTACGTGTGTTATAGTGAGTGTCGATCAAGTTGTTTCTACTTAGCCTAATCTCAGCCTATAGTTAGTCTGTCAGACTCTGTCCAATAGTCACGAATGAACTTTGTTCTTCCAATTCGGTGACTCGTGAGCAATATTACTGCGCGGATACTTGCACCCAACAACGACAAGGTCTATTGCTTGGCCATTTTTAACCCACTCAGCCAATGAGGCTCCAGCATGTACTAATCGATATTCTAGTCCAGCCAATCGATGATGGGCGCTTCAGAACGCATGTTCGGCAGCTGCCTGTTCGCCCTGCGACGTGCGTTATCATTGGTCACCTTTCTACCAAAAAATTTCTTAGAACTCACGCTCGACTGTCCTTCTAACTTACTCCATGAGTGAAGACAATCCTTCTCGGAAGAAGCTTTTGGGATTGCTGAGGCGAAGTCGTTCAAGCCCTCGTTTGGCAGAGGAGAGAGGCCGCGGAGCAGTCAGTGACGTATGGACTTCCGCCATTACAGCTACACCATTGTGTCTAATCGTGATTATAGCCATCCCCTCTTTCGACTTCGAGGAATGGATCTCGCGGGGGATTGCGGAGGTTTCTTCCCAAGTCATTTGACAAATTCGCTCGAAGCGCTCGAAAGTCTCCCAACTCTGAATCCATGGCTGCAAGTTCCAGCGCACGAGATCTCTCACACACTCAGACAGACCAGGTATATAAAATCATTGGTACATTCCGTGTGTGATCTAATCAGTAATGGCCGTAGGATCTTCCACCACTCGCCACCGTCACTCCCGAACCAAATCCTGACCAGTCTTCCGATGTGGGCGTTGCGAACATAAATTTGACTATTACAGTTCGTAGTGTTCTTATCTCTCTTTCGATAATGTACTGAGTCCCATCCTCAGTGCGAGCAACCTGACCCGAAGGTTGTCAAGGAAAAGCTCGCGAATGCCAAAGCAGATCTTGACGGAATCAGACATGTCCCAGGAATGGCGGAAAATGCTGCTTCAGCATCTGACAACCTACAATCTGTTTCCGATACAATCGACACATTCGCCCCAATGCTCGCACCATTAAAAATGTTCAACTCCATTGCTACAGGGCTTGCAGAAGTACGAGCATTTATCTCGATTTTGTATGTGGCTGATCTTTATGTTTAGGTCCATCCCTATGCGAAGGTGGCGTTGAGTATCTTCACCTTCGCATCCAAGGTGTGCTCGATTTTATATTCTTACACTTGCAGGTCAATAAGATTGTGCGGGCGATAGATGATTCTCGATCAGGCGAACCGGGATGATGCCGTGTCCCGTCTGCTCTCGAAGATATCGGACATCTATGCTTTATTAACGGCCCACGAAGGAGCGGTTAGGATTGCATGCATGCTAGAGTTATATGGAAGGATTGCGCGACAGACGCTGGAGTGTGCCGACTTTGTCGTCCATTACTCGGATATGAAGAGTTTTTGCGAGTCTTTTCTTTCCCACCGCAATGTCGCCCAAGACTCATCATCCTTGTACAGGGCGAAGACTTGGCAAGCACATTTTTAATGAAACAGAGGCTGCAATCCAACTTCACAACGAGGTCCTTGACAACCTTATGCAACAGTTCCGAGATCAAATAGCTCTCACCACTATCGAAACTGTCCACCGCATTGGTACGATCGACTTTAACTTCTCCTTGATCTCTCTCTCTGAACTTTGATGCGGATTATCAGCTGAAGACCTGGACGTTAGCGGCATGGAATACGTACCTGGTGCTGGACGAAATACCCTCAAAAATTGTCTCGCAGGCACTCGAGAAGACATTCTATCTGAAATCAAGTGCTGGATCCGTAGTACGGGTGAAGACGTGCCACGTGTCTTATGGTTGTCTGGGGCGGCAGGGAAAGGCAAATCAGCCATTGCCCATACCATAGCCAACTGGTCTCACGAGCGCGGGGGAATGCGTGCTTGTTTCTGCTTTGACAGCACAAGGATAGCCGAACGCCGCCACGAGAAGATATTCGCTACAATCGCACGCGACTTGGCTGATTGCGATATCACGATGCGGGCAGCATTGGCGCGTGCGGTTCATGATGACAACGAGCTCAAGCACACTGTAGACGTCTCAAGACAATGGCAGGAGTTGGTCATAGGACCGATTGGTGAGGCCTCGAAAGCCATCATTGCGCCTGTCCTGCTAGTCATCGATGCATTGGACGAGAGCGGTGACCCGAATACCCGAGAAGAGATTCTTCGTCTGCTCACTGGCAAGCTGAACGCTTCTACCTCAAAAGTAGCTGAACTTCCAGCCAACTTCCGCATTCTCCTCACTTCTCGTCCACTCCCAGATATTCACGATACCCTGGATGCATCACATGTCCGCCATGTATCCATGGATGATATTTCGCCTGCGTCCACATACAACGACATCCAGTTATACATTTCTACCAGGCTCGCGGGACTGCACAACTTTTTCAACGATACACACTTCAAGACGCTTGCAGAGAAATCCGATGGCCTGTTCGAATGGGCTCGTCTCGCCTGTGAGTATATCAAAAGCAAGAATGGAATTGGCCTTGGTCCTGTGGACCGGTTTGACGCTGTGGTTACCGGAACGTCTGAAAAAGGAACACGTCTGCTGGATATTATATATGGGCGCATCTTGGGAGAAATAATGCCGAAGGACGAGCAAAAGGAAGCTATCCCAGTGTTTTGCTCTGTGATGGGGCAAATCCTTGCATCGTTGGAACCACTTTCCATGCCTGCGTTGATGGCTATGCGATTGCGTTTTCCTGATGGGCGCAACCGTTACAACGTGGAAGACGTCATTAGGTCCCTAGGCTCGCTTGTCACCGGCATCGCGGATCCTCAGACTCCCATACGCCCGCTCCACGCATCCTTCTACGACTTCCTCAGAGACAAATCACGGAGCCACGACTTCTTCGTTGATGCATCAGCGGTACGGAGAGATCTTGCCTTTGCCTCGCTCCGGGTCATGGAGTCCGAGCGCGGGCTTCGCTTCAACATCTGCTCCTTGGAGAATTCGTACTTGCCCAACTCTTCCGTCCCCGATTTGAAGAAACGAGTCAAAGAATCCATTTCGGCTGAGCTATCATACTCATGTCGATTTTGGGGGACTCATGTCGGCTCTGCATCCTTCGAATCATCGCTCGCTAAGGAAGTTGAAGCTTTCTTCGATGGAGAGCGCCTCCTTTGGTGGTTGGAAGCACTGGCTCTGATGAAAAGCCTCAGTGGCTCGGTGGTGACCCTCTCATCCGTTGCAAAATGGTTTTCGGTGCGTAGCTCAGGCTCATTCCTCATTAAACGAATTCTTACGAGTAGTGGGGTGGTCGCAGGGTCATGCCGAGTTCACGCATGTTAGTTACGCTACCAGGGATACCCTGCGTTTCGTCCGAACTTTCGCAACGACTATCTTACGCAGCACTCCCCATTTATACTTGTCCGCTCTGCCGTTCGCTCCATCGCAGTCAAGAATGTTTTGCAAATTCGCGTCGAAGTTTCCTCGCACCCCCCGCATTGCTTCTGGCCATGTCGAGAATTGGCCTCAGATGGAAAAGATACTCTACGCAAATTCGGTTGTCAATTCGGTTGCACTATCGCCAGACGGAAAACGCATCGCGTGTGGTTTAGACAACGGGACGATCCAGTTGTGGGATATTGATACTGGGGAGGCATTGTGTGCCCCTCTTCGAGGCCACACTAGCTACGTCATGTCTGTCGCATTCTCACCGGATGGACATCGCATCGTTTCAGGTTCATGGGACAATACAGTCCTGGTGTGGGACGCGAAGATCGGCGAAGCATTAGGATCTCCCCTCTGCCACGATGACCATGTTCGGTCTGTTGCAATATCACCGGATGGTAAACGCATCGTGTCTGGATCGGACGACAAGACAATTCGGGTATGGGGCATGGAGACAGGCGAGGCATTTCGTGCCCCACTTCAAGGCCACACGGATATGGTTAGTTCTGTCACAATCTCACCGGATGGGAAACGTATTGTGTCTGGGTCATATGACAACACGATTCGGATGTGGGATATGGAGACCGGCGAGGCATTGGGCACCCCTCTTCAGGGCCACATAAACGCTGTTCACTCTGTCGCAATCTCACCTGATGGCAAACGCATCGTGTCTGGGTCATCTGACAAGACGATTCGGGTGTGGGATTTGGAGACTGGCGAGGCATTAGGTGCCCCCCTCAGAGGCCACACTGACTCTGTTATGTCGGTTGCAATCTTATCAGATGGAAATCGTATTGTGACTAGTTCGAGTGACAAGACGATCCGAGTGTGGAATGCGAAGAATGGCGAGGCAGTAGGATCCCCACTCCAAGGCCACACTGAGGATGTGTGGTCTGTTGCAATCTCCCTGGATGGAAGTCGCATATTCTCTGGTTCATGGGACAAGACAATTCGGGTGTGGGATGCCGACACCATTATGAGCAAGACATCGGTTGCCGCCCTTGAATGCCACACTGACTCTGTTAACTCGGTTGCAATCTCGCTAGATGGATGTTCCATCGTGTCTGGCTCGCATGACAGGACAGTTCGGGTGTGGGATATACGGACTGGCGAGGCATTGGTTGCCCCTCTCCGAGGGCACACTAGATCTGTTCTGTCAGTCGCAATCTCGCCGGATGGGAAGCGCATCGTGTCTGGTTCAGCTGACAAGAGCATCCGCATGTGGAATGCGAAAACTGGGGAAGCATCGGGTGTTCTCCAAGGTCACACTGATTATGTTCGGTCTGTCGCAGTCTCGCCGGACAGAAATCATATCATGTCTGGTTCAGATGACGAGACAATCCGGGTGTGGAATATTGAAACTGGCAAGGCATATTCTCTCAGTGGGCACTCCAGCTGGGTTTGGTCTGTCGCAATCTCATCAGATGGAAATCACGTAGTGTCTGGTTCAAATGACAGGACAATTCAGGTGTGGGACATGGGCACTGGCAAAGCATTCAGTGCCCCTCTGAAAGGCCACACTAGTCGGGTCCTCTCTGTTGCAATCTCCCCGGATGCATGTCACATTGTATCTGGCTCGATCGACAAGACTATCCGTGTGTGGGATATGGGGACTGGCGAGCTATTGACTGCCCCTCTTCAAGGCCACACTGACGATGTTAACACTGTTTCAATCTCCTCAGACAGTAATCGCATTGTGTCTGGCTCGGACGACCAGACCGTCCGGGTTTGGGATTTGAAGACTGGCGAGGCAGTGGGTCCCCCTTTTCGAGGGCACACCGAACCCGTTCTGTCTGTCGCAATCTCGCCTGATGGCAAACACATCGTGTCTGGGTCATCAGACAAGACCATCCGGGTGTGGGATGTAGAATTCCTGAACCGGCACCAATCATTTGAAGCACCTGCAATATGTTTTTCATGCGACCCGACCCATGCCCTTCATTCCCCCTCCTCCCTTCTCCGAGATTCTGAAGCCCCAGCTCCACCCCGCACAGACGGGGAAGGATGGATTACAGGTCCCGACGGACGGCTGCTCCTCTGGGTCCCACTCACTTTTTACCCGGGTGCAATGCATCGTATGTATGCCCCAGGCAACATGCTAGTGATTCCCAACAATACCCCACAGCTGGACTTGAGTCGTGTCGCACACGGCACATCATGGCACAAGTGTCGCGATAAGTAGTAGGTTTTATTGCCTTCATAGTAGCATCTGTCAGATGGACTTTGAGCGTATACCTATGTTGGTGGACTGAAGATTTATGCGCATTCTACAGATTTCATACGATACCTGTTTGCACTCCATCCAATCCCTTCTACTACTCATTGGGCTCCCTTTCGCAAGTTTTATTCACTACATTTACATACATGCTGTCCTCGTCTCCCTACTATATTCTCTAGAATTACTTCCCAGTTTACTTCCTGCAGGGCGAAGTGCACAAGTCAGAACCAGAACCACCAGTTGACAAAGGACACTTGGCGTCATCCAGTACCGTCCTCTCTTTGTCAGACTCCATCGCCTCCCGATCTAAACAGATACCTCGCCGTAATAACATTCTCCAACCCTCGAAGTCGTGCCCACCGGCATGCATGGTGGCGCTATACAGCCATCCGAACAATGAGATGAATACTGACAGGCGGTTCAGGTGTAAGCAGCTGTGCGTCCGTAATCAGTCTCTCCTAAGGATATCAAGGAGGACCTCGCTTACGATGCACATTTACGGGTGGAGGGTGGAAGGATCTGTGGGTGATCGAAGGAGGGCAGACGAAGAGAGGCCGCGTGTAGAAGTTGAAGGATGGTTTAGACATTGACTAGGGCTTAGAGGTTCATTCCTGTAGTACCTATGTTAGGACGATGTATAGAGCTGCGAGATAAGACCAATCTCCGTCGCACATAACGTTCGAATACCTTCATGATGCTTTGAGGCGCCTGTTGCAAAGGATTTGTGTTTGTAACGGTTAGCCAGTTAGCAATGTGTCGTGATGCTGGCTTGATAAGTTGCGGGAGCAGAGGGATAGCAAGGTGGATAGCATATTCGATTGATGCGAGGGCACGCTGTGGTAAACCTAGACCGCATATAGACAGTAAAAGTTCGGAGGGAAAAGGAGCGACGCGTCATCGTCGCTATGATGCGAACTATAAAAATTACTGGGAGTGCATCGTCAGCCTCTGTGCACTTTGACTGGGAGCGATAGTGAAAGGCTGCTTACCTAGGTAGGTTGTGTTGCTGCACAGCGGCACTGCCAGAATGCGAATTATGTAGACGAGTGGGTGGAATGAGCTCCTGCTGACAGTTGGTAAGTAACGAGCGCGCGAGTCAGAGAGAACTTGCCTTATCGCAATATTTAGAGGCTTGTCTAGCCACTGGGAATGAAGTGTCTGTTGGAATCGGTTGAAACACCTACAAGTGGTAGCATTAAGAACGCAAACAGCACCTGATGGTACCACGTTGAATTGTCGCGAATCCACATTGACGTTCAGAATAGAGGGCGATGAGAATGATGATCATTCAACTAATGGGAGGAAGGCCTGGGATGGTTGAGTAGAGGACATGCCTGTGGACGGGTCGATTGAAGTTCTATCTGCATGGCGCGTTTGATATATGGATGCCAACGCGAGCCAACTGTTCTTACTAAGGTGGTGTAAGTCTATTATTAGACTTACTGATCGCGAGGACCCGAGGTGTATCATATTTGGTGTGTGTCCGTATTTTGGTTCGTGCTTGCTGAATCCTCACAACATATCGACGGGCCAATGTGCCCATTTGCAACAGTACCTTGGCCCTCCACTGACAACACCGCACACGCACCTGGCTACCATCCAATTTCTTCAAGGTTTCTGCACCATTCTAGCATCCACCTCCCCTTCTCCAACCACATCTCCTTCAGCACGCTACACATTCTCTGCTCGATCCCCTTCTTGGCATATTGTATTACCCACCGCCCCTCTGATAGTCTGGCAGCAGTCAACGACAACCGACTCCTCAAACTGTCAACCTTCACGAACACATCGACAGCGTGTACTCGTCACTTTTTTTCATCGTCGCTGAGGCTGGAACTTTAGGACGTAGTCTTTGGAGGCTCGCTGATGGTCGGTTTTCTCTCCCTTTTCCGTCTTACGCAAAGACACGTCTCTCTTTCTTGATGCCTCTCACATACACATCGCACAACTTTTATTGTATCAGGACCTCAACACTCGCTTAGAACTACAACATGTCTTTACGTCTTGCAAATGAATGATATATTCAGTTTAACAGGCCAGGGGCAGAACTCGATCAAATGCGTTCTGAACACATACAAAAAGCCCAAGTCCCATCGTACTAGGTCGGGGATCGTCGATACCCATCGCCACCAGTAGGGGGTTGATAGATAGTGAACAGTCTTGCTGAATTTCGTGTAGATTTTGCAAAGATCGTGTATTTGAGCTTGAATTATAAGTGATAAAACAAAAGTCAGTCGATCGAACATTGGACCTTGGCGGGTTAAAAATTATCATTGGCCAGGAGCGTATAGTACATGCGAGATGTCGATGATTCGTGACGTCGAGAGGTTTCGCAACACGATGGTGTTTGGGCTAAGAGTTGATGTCATGACTCGTCAGATTGCGGAGCCGGAAGCACATGTACTAAGCCGCCTGCGGGGAAAATAGGCTGCCAGGCTCGTGTGAGGTTCTGTATTACGAAAAATAGTTCGAAACGACAAGTGCATAAGCAGCCCCCAAGGTCATATTGAGCCAGAGGGTGACCAAGACTCGTCAGTAAAGTCGGATATCATTGGTGGGGTCAACGTTCCATAACTCGAGTCGAAGCCTCATGGACGCCGGAAGTATGAACACGGTCATTGAGCCTGAGTCGGGGGTCGTTATTCTTGAGGACAAACCTCTCAACGTGAAAAGTCTGTGATACTTACATGCGCAGGCCTTCCGAGACACGACAGAGAGGTACAGATATTTTGGTGCGAGCTCAGATATGACGGTAGAGATTTCAAAGACACTAATTGTGATCAGTAAAGCCGGGCGTTGATCGTCCTGAAGGAATGTCAAGGGCATTTTGCGGGGTGAGAGTGGTATATCCGCAAGTCAAGTAAACATTATGCAGATTGCGAGGGCACATGAACGCATAGATATCTTGCAAGCTCAATCAGAGTCAAATAGCGGACAATAAGCTGAATACAATGTTTCACTTTGAGTTATACGATTGCCTCTGATCACGGAGCCCGCCATCCTTCCATGCTACCAGTGCTGAATAAATTAGTGAGACAAACTCTTATCCGCCACATCCAATGGTAAACGCGTTCGATCATTGGGTGTGTGCTACCAATGGATGTATGGATAATTGTTAATTGGCAGAACACACCCAAACACTCACTTTAAACGCTCTTGTCCCAGGAGAAATGTTCAACCGAACGCTCTCATATAAGTTGAAATAAAGCACAGTGAGTAATACATAACTTCGGTCATTTGAACCACCATCAGAGTCTCAGAGAAGGGTGGTGCTGCAGATTTCATACAAGCAGCGCTCAGTACTCGAATTCAGTGGCATATCAAACATACACAAACAAAGGTGGGCGAACAGTGTCACAGTCATGTCGCTCATCATGCACGGAGTCCGGTAAACAGCGTCCTTCCAATAAATACCATCGCTTTTTGAGCACTGCTGCACTACTATTTGCACCGAACAATGAGGTTTCCCGATGGGCCTCCTTTGACCCGATCAAGCTATCCCAGCTGCTTCTGAATCGATACCATTCCAGTATGAAAACAATCTGACCAATCGATAACAGGCGCTTCCAAACGCATGGCCATCGTATATTAAATAATACTCGTTACAGACATGCACTGCAGAAGTACGTATATGTTAGGTTCTACCCACCGCATCCCTCGTTCCATCTAAAACCTCTCAATACACACACTCAGCTATCCTTCCCACTTTCTCGATGAATGAAAACAATCCCTCTCAGAAGACGCCCTGGAAGTGGTTGAAGCCATGTCATTCAGACCCTCATTTGGCACAGGGGAGAAGCAGGAGAGGGGCCAGTCGAGATGTATGGACTTTCGTCTTTAGAGCTATGGTTTGTTTCTCATGATTACAGCCGTCCTCTCTCCCTGCTTCAAGGCATGGGTCTACTGAACGATCTTTGGGCTTGGTTCCCAAGCTCGTCAGCAAAGTGACCAAGCGCTTCGGTCGAGGCGCTAGACAGTCTCCCAACCCTGAACCCACAGCTGCAAGTTCCAGTTCACAGGACATCCAACATGTTCAGTCAAACAAAGTATGTGCAAACTCAGCACTGAGCGTGCTATGACCGCCACTCATCACTTCTACAGGATCTCGCCGTTCCTACACCCGAACCAAACCCTGAGCAGTCTTCCAATTCTGGTGTTGCAGAAGTAAGTGTAGTTCACAATATTCTGATCTGTCTTTTTCGATGATATGCAATCAGGCCGAGCATCTTGACCCGAAATTTGTGAACGAAAGAATTGTTGAAGCTACGAAAGGTGTTGCAAGCATCGGCCAGGTCCCAACAATAGTCCAGGATGCTTCTTCCGCGATCAACGAGCTACCATCCGTCTCTACTACAATCGATACCACAGTCGACAACTTCTCCGTGTTTCTTCGACCCTTGAAGGCGTTCAACACCATCGCCAACTCTATTGCAAATGTACAGCCACCTATATCTCTTCTGTACGCAACTGACAATCATACGCAGGTCCATCCCTACGCGAAGGTCGCATTGAGTATCTTCACTTGCGCGTCCAAGGTAGGCTTCTTCCTCGATCATTGGTGTTGCAGGTCTACAAAGTTTCGGTTGCAGATGATTCTCGATCAGGCGGAACGTGATGTCGCCGTTTCTACTCTACTCTCAAAAATATCTGAAGTCTATACATTCATCACGGAAGAGGAGGAACTGGCCAAGATTCAATCCATGCTAGCAATATATGGGAAGATAGCGCAGCAGACGCTGGAGTGTGCTGATTTTATCAGCCATTACTCTGAGACGAAGAGCGCATGTGAGTAGATTCCACTGCTTCGTTGCCTAGGACTCAATAATGCCTGTTTGCATAGGGATAAGGCTCGGCAAGCATGTTTTCGACGAAACGGATGCAACGATTCAGAGCTACAGCAATGTTCTCGACGGTCTCATGCAGCAATTTCGAGACAGGGCGGCTCGTGACACCGTTGTAATCGTCCACCATATGGGTAAGAGACGCTTTCAGGTCTCTTTTAGCCTCATCTGACATTCCATGACCGCTGGCATAGCTGAGAGTCTGGACCTCGTAGGGATGGAGTCCGCAGCGGGCGCCGGATTGAATCCGTCCAAATGTTGTTTGCCAAACACTCGGCAAGACCTGCTGAGTGATATTAAGAATTGGATCAGCAGCACTGAGGAGGGCGCTCCACGCGTGTTTTGGTTGTCTGGCACAGCAGGCAAGGGTAAATCGGCCGTTGCCCATACAATAGCGAGGTGGTATATCGAAAACGGTGGTCTTGGCTCTTGCTTCTGCTTCGATCGTACTCGGCAAGCGGATAGACGTCAGGACAGAATATTCACGACCGTTGCAAGGGAATTGGCGGACTGCAACCCTATCATGCGACGAGCCTTGGCGCACACAGTTCGTGATCATGACGGACTCAAGCGCACACCAGATATCGCAAAACAATGGCAGGAACTCATCGTCGGACCGATAAGCATTGCCTCAACAGCGATAGCTGCACCCGTCCTGATTGTCATTGATGCATTGGACGAGAGCGGGGAAGCTAATTCTCGAGAACAGATTCTTTGTCTGCTCGCTAGCAAACTGAACACTTCTACCTCACAACTATCTGAACTCCCAGCCAACTTCCGCATTCTCCTCACTTCCCGCCCACTCGAAGACATTCATAACACTCTGCACGCCGTCCCACACGTTCGCCATGTTTCCCTGGATAACGTTCCATCTGAATCCACAAAGCTCGACATTCAGCTTTACATCTCCCACAAGCTGGAAGACCTGCGCTTACGTCGCGTCCTCAACGATGCGCACTTCAAGGATCTCGCTCTGAAATCTGACGGCCTGTTTGAATGGGCTCGTCTTGCCTGTGAGTACATCAAGGGTACGAACAAAGTGAGCGTGGGTCCGGTGGGCCGTTGCAATGCTGTGCTTGGTGGAACGTCTGAAAAGGGAACACGTCTGTTGGATATCATGTATGCACGCATCTTGGAAGAAATCATGCCCGAGGACGAGCGCGGGGAAGCTATCCCGGTGTTTTCCTCAGTGATGGGTCAAATCCTTGCCTCATTGGAACCACTCTCCATGCCTGCGTTGATCGCCATGCGATTGCATTTTCCCGAAGGGACTTGCGATTATGAAATGGACCGGGTCCTTGGGCCACTAGGGTCTCTTTTGACCGGCACCTCAGATTCCGATACTCCCATACGTCCCCTCCACGCGTCCTTCTATGACTTTCTCACAGACAAATCGCGGAGTCGTGACTTCTTCGTTGATGCATCAGCGATACAAGGAGATCTTGCCTTTGCCTCGCTTCGGGTCATGGACTCAAAGCGCGGGCTTCGCTTCAACATCTGCTCCTTGAAGAATTCGTACTTGCCCAACTCTTCCGTCCCCGATTTGAAGAAACGAGTCAAAGAATCCATTTCAGCTGAGCTATCATACTCATGTCGATTTTGGGGGACTCATGTCGGCTCTGCATCCTTCGAATCATCGCTCGCTAAGGAAGTTGAAGCTTTCTTCGATGGAGAGCGCCTCCTTTGGTGGTTGGAAGCACTGGCTCTGATGAAAAGCCTCAGTGGCTCGGTGGTGACCCTCTCATTCATTACAAAATGGTTTTCGGTGCGTAGCTCAGGCTCATTCCTCTTTAAATGAATTCTTACGAGTAGTGGGGTGGTCGCAGGGTCATGCCGAGTTCGCGCATGTCAGTCATGCTACCAGGGATACCCTGCGTTTCGTCCGAACTTTCGCAAAGACCATCTTACGCAGCACTCCCCATTTATACTTGTCCGCTCTGCCGTTCGCTCCATCGCAGTCAAGAATGTTTTGCAAATTCGCGTCGAAGTTTCCTCGCACCCCCCGCATTGCTTCTGGCCATGTCGAGAATTGGCCTCAGATGGAAAAGATACTCTACGCAAATTCGGTTGTCAATTCGGTTGCACTATCGCCAGACGGAAAACGCATCGCGTGTGGTTTAGACAACGGGACGATCCAGTTGTGGGATATTGATACTGGGGAGGCATTGTGTGCCCCTCTTCGAGGCCACACTAGCTACATCATGTCTGTCGCATTCTCACCGGATGGACATCGCATCGTTTCAGGTTCATGGGACAATACAGTCCTGGTGTGGGACGCGAAGACTGGCGAAGCATTAGGATCTCCTCTCTGCCACGATGACCGTGTTTGGTCTGTTGCAATCTCACCGGATGGTAAACGCATTGTGTCTGGTTCGGCCGACAAGACAATTCGGGTATGGGGCATGGAGACGGGCGAGGCATTTCGTGCTCCACTTCAAGGCCACACGGATACGGTTCGTTCTATCACAATATCACCGGATGGGAAACGTATTGTGTCTGGGTCATATGACAACACGATTCGGATGTGGGATATGGAGACCGGCGAGGCATTGGGCACCCCTCTTCAGGGCCACATAAACGCTGTTCACTCTGTCGCAATCTCACCTGATGGCAAACGCATCGTGTCTGGGTCATCTGACAAGACGATTCGGGTGTGGGATTTGGAGACTGGCGAGGCATTAGGTGCCCCCCTCAGAGGCCACACTGACTCTGTTATGTCGGTTGCAATCTTATCAGATGGAAATCGTATTGTGACTAGTTCAAGTGACAAGACGATCCGAGTGTGGAATGCGAAGAATGGCAAGGCAGTAGGATCCCCACTCCAAGGCCACACTGAAGATGTGTGGTCTGTCGCAATCTCCCTGGATGGAAGTCGCATAGTCTCTGGTTCATGGGACAAGACAATTCGGGTGTGGGATGCCGACACCATTATGAGCAAGGCATCGGTTACCACCCTCGAATGCCACACTGACTATGTTAACTCGGTTGCAATCTCGCCGGATGGATGTTCCATCGTGTCTGGCTCGAGTGACAGGACAGTTCGGGTGTGGGATATACGGACTGGCGAGGCATTGGTTGCCCCTCTCCGAGGGCACACTGGATATGTTCTGTCAGTCGCAATCTCGCCGGATGGGAAGCGCATCGTGTCTGGTTCAGCTGACAAGAGCATCCGCATGTGGAATGCGAAAACCGGGGAAGCATCGGGTGTTCTCCAAGGTCACACTGATTATGTTCGGTCTGTCGCAGTCTCACCGGACAGAAATCATATCGTGTCTGGTTCAGATGACGAGACAATCCGGGTGTGGAATATTGAAACTGGCGAGGCATATTCTCTCAATGGGCACTCCAGCCGGGTTCGGTCTGTCGCAATCTCATCCGATGGAAATCGCATAGTGTCTGGTTCGAATGATAAGACAATTCAGGTGTGGGACGTGGGCACTAGCAAGTCATTCAGTGCCCCTCTCAAAGGCCACGCTTATTCAGTACTCTCTGTTGCAATCTCCCCGGATGCATGTCACATTGTATCTGGCTCGATCGACAAGACTATCCGTGTGTGGGATATGGGGACTGGCGAGCTATTGATTGCCCCTCTTCAAGGCCACACTGGCAGTGTTAACACTGTTGCAATCTCCTCAAACGGTAATCACATCGCGTCTGGCTCGTCCGACCAGACCGTCCTGGTTTGGGATATGAAGACTAGCGAGGCAGTGGGTCCCCCTTTTCGAGGGCACACCAGATCCGTTTCGTCTGTCGCAATCTCGCCTGATGGCAAACACATCATGTCTGGGTCATGGGACAAGACCATCCGGGTGTGGGATGTAGAATTCCTGAACCGGCACCAATCATTCGAAGCACCCGCAATATGTTTTTCATCCGACCCGACTCATGCCCTTCATTCCCCCTCCTCCTTTCTCCAAGATTCTGAAATCCTAGGCCCACTCTGCACGGACGAGGAGGGATGGATTGTTAGTTCCGAAGGACGGCTCCTTCTCTGGATCCCGCTCACTTTCTACCCATCCGTGATGCATCATATGTATGCCCCAGGCAACATGCTAGTGATTCCCAACAATACCCCACAGCTGGACTTGAGTCGTGTCGCACACGGCGCATCATGGCACGAGTGTCGCGACCAGTAGGTATTGTCTGTCAGATGGACTTTCGGCATGTACCTATATTGATTGACTGAAGATTTATGCGTATTCTTTTATACAATACCCGCCGTTTGCACTCCATTTGTTACGTTCTGCTACTCAATGGGCTCCTTTTCGCAAGTTTCATTGGTTATGTTTACATACATGCTATCCTCGTCTCGCTACTATAATGATTCTCTAGAATTACTTCCCAGTTTACTTCCTGCAGGACGAAGTGCGCAATTCAGGGCTCAATGTGAACTTGAACCATGTCACCATCCAGCACTTCCTCTCTTTGTCACACTCCGTTCCATCGCCTCCCGATCCAAACAGATCTCTCGCCGTAATTAGTACCTGGGCCTGCATGGTGGCGCTATACAACTACCAATACTGATCACAGGCAATTCAGCAGGATCATCATTCTTGCAGGACGTGGCGTCATCGACCTTCTAGGTCCTGATACATTGAGTTGTAACACTGCGAACTGTTTGACGGTGTCTCCAGTAGTGGCATCTGATATTCGGATATCTTTGCGGTCTCCACTGATGCAGACGGAGACCATCTTGAGTGAATGCGACTCTGGATACCAGTTCTCCATTTGTTGTGTTCCAACCGTACCTGCTGCTAGTTTTCTCGAGGACCGACTATTCCACTTGTCTCCCTCTTCTACACGCATAGTGTTTTGTTGCATGATGCACTTGGTTGTCCGTTGCAAATCTCCAAACGATATTCCCATGGCCCTTGGACGGCTCGGAGATAGGCACTTTTGTGACCTGTCTCTTGTCGCAACTTCCCAGACTAGGATATTTCCATTCGATCCTCCACTCGCAATCCACACCCATCACTCTCCCACCTGTTTCCCGGTGTCCAGATTGCACACCCGAAGATTGTTGTCGACCGAGCCAGTGACGAGGAGACGGGTGCCGAGGATGAAAGCTACATGTTCTTTATGATGGTGGAGCGTCAATTTGCATTTCCTTTCGTACACGCTGGGCGGGCGCTTTGGGGATGCATTATGAGTGGTGACCCCCATTTAACATTCAACCTTGTTTCTGGGTCTTAGGAGCGTTGAGGAAAGAGCGATCAAGTGCATGCGATACGGTGAGTAGGCGCCAAGTTCATCTCGCGTCAGCCACGCTTCTTTCGCAGTAGGCGCAGTGATCGCTTTTACTGTATTTTGACATGTCATGGCTGATGCTAATTTTCGGCCACAAGAGATCTCTTCTGGCACTTTTGTGCCTTAAGTTGTATAGGTTGTTTCCAATGTTTGACCCACTCTTTGGATCTCTTTTCGAAACAGCGACAGATTCACACCGGCGTCACTTCCCAATCAAGAACGCGAAAGTTATTTGACGGTTCCACACTGAAGACTCCGTGCTCTTCAACGATCCAAGGCTTTCTGGATCACGGTTAGTCTCCCGTAGCAAGACCGATAGGAAGAAAAAGCCGTTCCTTCTATCGACCTCGGTAGATCTGCGCTTGAATGGAACGCAAACCACCTATTTCACGTTGTACTACGTCTGCGCCCGTTCCCTGACAGAAAGTTCTGAAGAGGTTTTCCAAAATTTCAATCGCCCAGCAAAGTAACCATTGCCCAAATTTTGTCGGAAAAACGATGAAATAACTACTACAGGGAAGGTCGGAAAGTTGCAGTGTCACGCGTTACGTTCCCGGTCGCATTCCTCATTCTTGTATCATCTCGATACTCCTTGAGGTGCAACAGGCAAGAGATCGGAATAGTAGAATTCAGGCTGTCGTTGCGACTTTGTGAATGTCGGCTTTCAGGTTGTGCTTTCACCTCGCCGGATTTCAATCTCGATTACGCATCCTCGCTTATGAAGCGCTGAGGTTCGCCTCTTGTCCTCCTTCTCGCGCTCCCAATTACAGATATCAGAAGCACCATGAAGCACCTACAGCTTGCTTGCGACAAGGAAGCGAGAACTGCACGGATATAACAGACTAAAAGGCTCCTTCGACAGGGATCATCCATCATTCCTTTGATTTGTTCCCCAGGTCGTGATCAGACGTGCTGGGTTCGCCCAGTGTGTTCGTTTTGATGCCTGAGCACGTGACTCTTGGCCTGTATATCCCTCCCCACTTGGACTTGAACGTTGCAACTGGTGACGCAGAGTCAATCCTTGGCCAGCTTTACCTCTTGTCCTACTCAAGTTCCAATTGATAAGGCTATCACAAGCAACCTTCTAATACGGAGAATAACCCTGGAGGTTACTTATGCGTGTGCAGGTTGCTCTTTGTTGGCAGGGCGTTAACTCCTGACCCCATTAGTCAAATACATTATAGTGTTCGCCACTACTGCGATGGTTGGGTCTCACGCTAAAAATGTCTAGAGATCAGAAGATCGATAAGCCACAGCTTACCATTACGCAAACCAAGAACAGCTGTACAGCATATACAGCTTATCACCTGGGACATACAAAAGCCCTCCTTTCTGGACCTCTACTAACTACAGGACTCGACGCTCTTCAAGCCATACCTTCAACCGTACTTTGTGTTTTGGAATTACTTTACAACCTATCATGTTGATACCTTCGGGGACCCTCGTCAGGAACTTGACATTTCAGTCGTGAGCGTCTTTGTGCTATAGCGCTGCTATCGTCTTTTTTACTCAACCGTCTTGCAGCAACGATCTCGGCCGAGAGACAACAATTCTGCTCGTCTTTGATGCCAACGTGGAGGGCCTTTGCGGCACAATCTACCCCGTGGTTTGGAAGTAAGTACCCCCGCTTTTGCTCTCGAGGAATACAAACCTGTCAATGTTTTCAGAACTTTCACTTTCCCAAAGACAGGTAGGTCCCTCGCGCCCAATTCCCACTTCAATTATGAACCTTCGTCTTAGGCTCGAGTAGTTTTGAAGTGACCTACACGAACGAGTATGTATTGTCCTAGTAGTGATGACCAATATCATGCTCACGAACGCCGCTTTTATTCAACGTATAGCCTTGCTTTTTTTACAGCAGACATCGAAGATGAGAACGTCATTCGAACTTTCACTAAATTCAAGCTGAAGGTGCGAGACTCACATCCGCTCTGCGGTTTCCAGTGCAAACACAAGTCATCATACAGCCAGGCCAAAAAACCACACTGTCTCTGAAGAATGAAAGTGATACGTTAAGTTTCTCTGTATGAAAAACCTCTACCTCCATCTCAGCAGCTTAATAACAACCTGCGTAGCCACCTGTGGATGGTACCAGCGGTTGCCTGACGGCAGAGAACAAGACTGGACTTGTTCAGGACCTTGCAGTCGGTTTGCGGCATCTTTTTCTTATCTTTTTCCCGCCTTAATATAACTACCAGGCTTTTTTGCCTCGAGCTACTTCACGGCTAATGAGCCTGTTCCGGCACTCTTCTTCAAGGAAGTTGAGTATGTCAACTCCCCCTCATTTCCCCTCTAGGAAACTCATAGTTCGTACTGCAGAGACGGCAGTAATGCAACTATTCAGTGGAAACCAGTCCTTCGCGTTTACATCGAATCGGGTTATCGAGAGACCGAGGTCTTGGTCGATGCCATCAGCAGTACTGCCATCTGGGAGCACGATCTCCACCAACTTTTTCGGAACACGACCTTAAACCTCGAACGGAACAGGATAACTGGACGTTGCACGCTCAAGAAGACTAAACCGTAAGTGGGTTGGATTGCTGCCCGCGGCAAAACCGTCACACCACCAAGTAGAATACTAAAAATTTACCTTTCAGTATCAGCGAGGGTGGGTCAGCTAATGTACAGTGCGCAAACCAATGAAGGAATGCCAAATTGGTGACTGTTATCTGAGGTCAATACCTCATTGTTCTTCCTGTTTTTGCCACCCCCTGATTCAGAATCCTAGTTGCTTTTCTTGTCTAACCTTTCATTTTGTGTATTCACCGTTGTACTATGTTGAGTTGACTGATCATCTGAAGGTCATCTTGTCTGAAGACTACGTCAAGCTCATCTATGCTAGAGGACTCTGACCGAGTCTGAGTGAACTCGCATAATTGGATGAAATACAAGGGTATGAGTATTACACCAAGTACTAGCGGATATAAGTACCCTAAATCCAACGCCATAACTGTCCCATTCCTTTCGTCGACAGAAACGACACTTAATTATGATAAGTTACAGTGAACTGATGACTGATAAAAGAGACTGCGATACAGAGAATGCGCTATTAAATTCACAAATGTCATGCTAAACTATTCACATCTTCATCGACGTCCCCCTCTTAGTTAGTGAAGTCGCCCCCTCACTCAACCGCTGGGGGTGCGATGAAGGAGGCGCAGAGTGCGATACGTGGTCTAGTTGCTGGTCTTCGTCTAATGATACCTGACGAGCTTGGGTGAAGAAAACTCTTGCATCTCGATCAGATATGTTCTCGATGTAGTAGGTGTTGCCTGAATAGCGGATACGGTTTTTATTATTGATGAGATCATCGACGAGGACATGAGGAATGGGACTGACCACGCGGCACGATGAACATGCCCCCTGTAGCTACGATGTATTGTGATTCGTGAATCACAGCGGCTACGGCACCTTCAATGACGTAAAAAACCTGCGTAAAATAGGGTAAATAGATCGAAGTGCGCAGCGTAGCAACAAATGCGAACATAAGTATTGTCTTTTGTGCCTTTGCTTGGTTTGCGGCCCTGCGGGGGTATGCGTAGGACACCCGCCGCAATAAAGTCGCCCTCCCCGAAGATCTTTTGAAAGAACCACCCGCCGCCAGCTGCAGGTCTCGGATCGACCTTCTTTGCTGTATAGACGATACCTGTAGCAACGATGGTCAATATAAGACTATGAGGTGCTGATGGGAGAAGCTGCGTACGTCTTAACACAGGCTCTTCAGTGACATAGTCAATGACCACACCGGATTCCTGTGTTTCGTCGTCCCAACCTTCTTCGGGGTCAAATGACTGAGGTATGCTCTTCGCACGTTCACTGCCTGTGCGCTTGCGTTTCTTTCCCGCCTTCCCGAGTGGTTTAGGAGGCTCTTGCGGGATCCGGATGATTTCTTTAATTTGAGGAACGAGAATTAGGCCAGAAACGTCGCCACCATAAACAACTTTTTCTTGGCGCCAGTATTCGAGTGGTCTGTACCGATGCCGTCGACTGCGACGTACCCCATCAGGTGGTGGAGAATCTAAGGTTGATGAATTTCTTGTTCATGGTTTAAGAGAGATGACTTACTTTCTTCGACCGGTTTGACGACTCGCTTAGGTGCACGTGCTGCTCTCGGTTCCTTCGGTTTCTGCTCTTTCAGATTTTCTTTGCGTGACTTCTTAGGGGGCGGGTCTTCATCTTCTTCCACATCTGGCGCATTCTCAACCTCTTCGAGTCCTTGGGCAATATCTTCATCGATCCCGTTTTCCTCCTGTTGCTCCACCTCTATATCTGCACGCCCCTTGCCCTTGCCAGCCTTCTTCGCCCGTGATGTCATCTGTTTTTCGACTTCTGCAGCGTCATCCTCGTCATCCTCATCCTGATTCACATCATTAAAACTTATTTCCTTCTGTGGTGGGCTGTCGTTCGGCAAAGGATCATAGTCAAAGTCTTGATTTGCTGGCTCGAACTCGGGGTCCGAAGCAGGGTCAGGTTCACGGGTGTCGTTATATACAGAGAACGACTTGGAGAGTACCGAAGGTCCTGCACCGTTTACAGTAGATTCACGCCTCGATGGTGCGGTGCGCATACGAGGCGAAGGCACCTCGTCAAAGTCGATCTCAGATGTTCGCGGGATGGACCGCGACGAGCCCGGTTTGCGCGCACTGTTAGGCGCCATTATGGGAGGCGCATTGGTAAAGTAAGCCAGCGGACTGCCTTGGTTACCTTTGTGAAAGTATGAGAATAAACACGTCGGACCTTACTCGCGGTCAAAGTCACTCACTTTCCGCCAACTCCATGGACATCTCGCCATCCTCATCGTATTCGTCGACTTCTGGAACGGGAGTAACCACTAAAGCCTTCTTCTTGCGTGATTTGACGCGGGGTGGTGTGCGGTCATCAGCTTGCTTGATGACCTCGTCGAATGGCTCGAATTCATCAGAGTCACGACCGACGTATTGGACGGCGATTCCGGTTTTCTTTCCGAGGCCAAGATCGTCAGCGCGAAATGGAATATGTTTCTTTGGGGGACCGCGGCGACTACCTATGCTTGATTTTCTGCGATCTGTAGATTCGCGTGGCATCGTTAGTGACGGCGAGCACCTAAGCTAGAGGAGTAAGTGCCGTGGGAAACTTAAACAAGACACGCTTGTCGCGGTTAATGGGTCACGGCATGTCACGCGCACATCACGCGTTTATGTCACTTCGCGAGCCACAAAAGGCGTGGCATAAAAAGTTGATTCAAAGAGCGTAAATGTAATAAAAAAAATTACTATGATTTCCCCTCCTCAATATCACCATTCCCGTTCACACCAGGACTCTGCTTGTTAAGGATCACCTGCAAAAGGTCCAGTGTCGCCTCACTAGGAGCCCGTTGTGGTGGTTGCGTCGACTTGCGCACGATATTATCCAACTTCGCTGCGCGCCTAGGGTTTGAGGTGTGATTGGTGAAAAGCTGCAAAGGTTCAGCTGCAATGTACTCCAGTGACCCAGGCCTATTAGTGTTGCTCTGGGAGTGACTCTGCATGTCATTTGCAAATGCTGTCATTGAGAGTTTCGCTGCTTTCAACCCTTGCCTCTTGTACACCACTTCTGGCGCCTTCTCCAACACTGCAGACTCGGGCCTGAGGTTTGTCACTCCAGTCTTGCTAGCGTCTCCCCACGTCATCACGTTGCCCACTCCTTTGTTCTTCTGCTGTACGAGGGTGCCCATACCAGCATATGATGCCACGAAATATAACGGCTTTCCTCTATCGCCCTTTACCTCTTCAACCAGTCGTCCTTTGTGTTCCTTCGTAGAAAGATACGTTTGAAGTGCTGAGAAATGAGAATAATGGAGACCTGCAGAGCGATGCGGTACGCTTTCGAGTGAACGTGATCGAGGATGCCCTCGTATTCCCTCAGACTCCCACATGGCGAAGTCATCAAGGGAATAATCCTTTGGAAGTTTTTCGGGAGGGGCTTTTTTCGCCCTAGACAATCCTTTGGATGTAAACGATTCCTTAAATGGCTCTGCCTTCATCAGCTTTAACGCCTCTTCCTCCCTCTCTTTCATCTCCTTCTGCTTCTTGAATGCTTCCGTCTTCATCCTCTGGTATTCAAAAAAGTGCTTGCGTTTGCGACGGATATGCGCAACATATTTCTTGAATTCCAAGTTGGACATGGCATGAATATTGGGGACAGCGGGCGAGCGCCAACATTTTGGGTCCGTTCGCATTGGCGCATAGTCCGAGTCTACCATACCACTAGAATCCTCGCTCGACGGCCGACGCGACTCTTCTGACGTGGGGTTTAATTGTAATTCATCCCAGTTCTTCATCCACATTGCCTGAGGCTCCGCAGAGTTCCATTCTGTCTGTTGTTCAAGTGAGTCAACAGCCTTCACTGTGATGTAGGCTCCACGTCTGCGTATCGGAAGTGGACGTTTGAAGCCCCAGTTGCCACGGTGAGCGTCACCACCATGTGTAGTGTAGACTTGGGCGATGCGGGGATCAAAGGAGGAAAATTTTGACCGTTTGAGAAGAGTAGCGAAAGGAGATTGTACAACGGAAGCCATGCCCAGACGTTTTCGTCAAGCAATTTTCTATGATGCCCGATACCTTGCCAAATTTGGACGACTTTGGATATCCGCTCGGCATTTGCCGTGCTGATCAAAAACTTCTTTGTTCCCCTACATTTTTTTTTCAACGAAACCACGACGTCCAAATTACTGTTTGTCCTCTGCTTCACGCAACTTCCAAGGATGGATAGTCCAGACAAACGTCGAGGATGAAATTGTTGTCTCAAAAACAATCTTTGCTGAATGTTCCTCCCACTGGTCGAGGGATGATGACGCAGGATCACCTGGAGATGCCTACACACTCCTGTCTTGGAACTGATGTTTGTATTGTTTGTAGATGGATACCTCGCAATTATAACATTGTAAGTTGTATATTCTTCTCGCTCAAGCTGTGATGGGTGCCGATGCATGCCGAAGAAGATCATCCTGGTAAAAACACACAACCCGCTCGAATGGGTCCCTTGATGTGCGAGGGTGTCTGATGCGGTTTTTGCCAAAGAGCCACACAGACAGATGGGTGTGAATGGAGAAATAAAGGCGAGGCTGAGGTATCGCATTGGTACCCATCCTGTGACTCGATCGCGAGCTGTGATGATGGGCTGATGATAGTTTCACAGATGACAAAGGTTGATGCATAGCAGGGTAATTCATATTCCGAGCTCGAGCTCGATAGTCTGTAGTCTGCATGATTATCTCAAAATCTTGTAACATGTTCCACATGTAACCTAGAATATTGAGTTCAGAATCACATAACGCGAAGTTGATCAAGTGACTTATTACATAGCCGATGTTGGTGAATGTCGTGATTTTTATGGATACACCTTTTTTGTGTGACGCCTCCATCATCCTCAAAGTTTTTCCTACACTGCTGCAGTGCTTAAGAGCACTGACTTTGTTAAAGACTAATACGTCGTTGCTCTCTTGGCGACTTGGTGTTAATTTAGTAGCCACAGATTTGACTCTATTTAACTGCCACGGTCGATTCGGACGAGGTACTGCTTTACCTAGACGACTTGTGTTTGCAATCCTTTCTCATCTCTTTCACGACAGCAAGCTACAGCCTTTTATCATATTTCTTGTTGGTCTCCGTTATATTATACGTGGAAGGAAGCACACTGAACAATATCCGAACCAGCCAACCAATCGCGTTCGTTGAAAAAACGGAACACGCACGAGTAGTCAGTGAAGTCATCCGTAGCACCCTTTCATTCTTTACTAAACCTTGGTCCGCAGTGCCTTCATCTTCACATGAAATGTATCATCGCGCATACCCTTCCATCCGTTCCGTTCCTTCATCTTCCAACATCTCCGGCACCACAAACACCAGCCCACGCCTAGCCCCATTACTTCCTCCCTCAGGCCTTCATGGTCTCTCACCCAAATCAACTGGATTACTTCTCAACCAGCATCTCAATGCAGCCCTACCAGAAATAGCTCCAAAACACCCAACAATCTGCGGAATGCCTCTGAAATACGTATCGTGAGTTCAATCAAGTGTTCCGTCTGCAGATAGCTAACTTTCCCATCCATCAGGCTCATCACTCTCGCCGTTCAAAACGCGACCTTGTCCATCGTGATGTACTACTCTCGCGTATCCACACCTCCGCACCTGTCATATTCTCCTGCAGCAGCAGTACTACTATGCGAAATATTGAAAGGATCCATATCCTTCGTCATTGCACTATGGAGAGCACAGGACATATCAGATTCTCATTGGCAATCCCGGAAATCATTCACCGGCTTCGTGCAATCACTCTTTCCATGGTCTGCGCCTTTCCGCCAAGTATGCAGTGAGATTTTCAGTCCCGATTGTTGGAAGCTGTCCATACCAGCTGTCCTTTACGTGGTGCAGAACTCGTTGCAGTTCGTTGCTATTAGTAATCTGCCCGTGGCATCCTTTCAGGTGGCATATCAGATGAAGATTCTAACTACTGCGGCGTTCTCCGTCGTCCTCCTCCGAAAGACACTATCTTCGACGAAGTGGTTATCCTTGTTTTTCTTGGCGATTGGCGTTGGTATTGTCCAGGTGCAGACGACTGCGTCGAATAGCGGGACGCGGGAGATTCGTGTGGGGAGTGCGCATGATGCGGCGCCTCTGCACATCCATATTATGAGCCCACTGAAGGGCTTTGGTGCAGTCACTGCTGCTTGCTTTACATCCGGTCTCGCAGGTGTCTACTTCGAGATGGTGCTCAAGAACTCCAAGGCAGACCTATGGGTGCGCAATGTCCAACTTTCGCTCTTCTCACTCCTCCCTGCCTTCCTCCCCATCCTCTACGGCCCTGCTCAGCCACCTTCCATGAGTTTCTTGAGTTACCTCTTCCGAAACTTTGGTGGATGGGCGTGGGCCACGGTGTCAGTACAAGTCTTTGGTGGTCTGGTGACCGCTGTCGTGATCAAGTACTCGGACAATATTTTGAAGGGATTCGCGACGTCACTATCTATCATTATCTCCTTTCTCGCCTCTGTCGTGCTCTTCGACTTCCATATCACCCCATCTTTCATCATTGGGGCTTCTACGGTGCTTGCAGCCACTGCCATGTACAACCAGCCCGCGTCACCTGAGACAAAGATAACATCCGAAATCAGTGGCGGCTCAAAGCCATTTTCAGACGCCCCTTTAGGCCCTGATGATCCCATAATTGGCCAGTTCCCATCACAGAAGAGGTCATCGCCATTTGGAAGCCCCCGAGCTATCGCCAGTGCTCTGGGTCTTGCAGAAAAGCCCTCGAGCACGGTTGAGAGCGACTACTTTTCCGACATGGAATCCACTTCGCGATACCTCAACGCACCATACGGTTCTCCCTTTCCATCACGTACGCCCACACCCAGGCCCGAAGAACGGCTGTAATCAGCACACCAGGACATAAAAAGAACATATCAGAACTTTCAACTATTATACGACGTCTCATGATGATTTTTTTGAATATACCCGTTTTCTAGATCTTCGCAAACAAGCCCTTTTTATCACAGATATTGCATTGCGCCCACTGCACCACGATCTCACAAACAGGCAAATCTGAATCTATTTCATGGTTATCATATCAAATCTTCTCTTTTTCACAGCCGAGTCACGTTGCGATTCGTCTCGCTCATTCTCGTCTGCAGTCTTTTCTGGTTGCGCCGCTTCAGAGTGTTTCGTGCGTTTTTGCTATCCTGACGCTCTTCGTGCCCTTCATTTCAGATTGCATCTCTACCTTTTTGCTTAGTTTTGCTACTTTTACGCACCAGGACTCGGGGTGGCTGATCATAAACTTCGAACTTTTTTTAGTAGACTATCGATTTTTGCTGACATGTTTTGTTGGCTGTAATTGGGACTGAATTTACATCTTCTACATCTGTTGTTCTGGCTTGCTGAGGTGTCGATTGCATAGATGATGAGTGGTGCAGCTCAACGATCTGCCTGTTTCTGGCGCAGCCCTGGACGACTGCCTTCCTGGCCCCGCTCCTCGCCGGGGGTGAATATAAACTTTCGTTGGTCAAACATTAACTCATGGCAACTCAGCGGCCTTTTTGAATTTGTCCTGGGGGCCGCTTCCTCCAAGAGCACCTTCTCGGCGCGCGATCTCATGAATGATAATCACACTCCCATGCGTGTATGTCGTGTTGGACGCAGATATGTGGATTCTTGACTTGCTCTTGACAGTCCATCACTTGACCTGGCGCTCTCAGGAGCGTATGAACCTCCGGCATGCACATGATGTCTGATCAATGGCTATTACTCCACAATATACCCAGTGTAACTTTCCTTGGCGTCGTACAACTCAAAATCGGCATCAAACAACCACTCTTTCAATATGTAACCCAAACGCACTTATGAGTTGTACGCCAGAGGTGCAAACATTCAGCGTGACATATGTCGGGTTTCAAAAGCGAAATCAGGCCCCTTGCAGCGGCGTTTGAGCCATATGTGATGATCCTGGGACTTCTGACGTTCAGGGTCTTTAACACGGAACTACTCTGTAATGTTTGGCACTGAAGTAAACGTACCCCCCTGGCTGTTTCAGAGGATACCCAAAGGAGAATATTTATGGGCATCTTCGCTGAGCTTCTAAGTGCAGAACTCAAAGCTTTTTAATAGCAATATAATACCCTGGCCGTCTCTAAAAACCTGACCTTTCAGATGTGCGTGCATGAGTGTCTTTGGCCTATAGGGCTGTGCCCATTTTTCGTTTTTACCCGGGTCTTGCAACGACGATCTCGGCAAGAGAACGACGCTTGAAATCACTTTCGTCCGTGAAGAATTCAAGCCTTGCAATATGTCAGAACTAGTACTTTCGCAGTGAGCGGTAGGGTTTCCTTCTAAATTGCCCACTGTGGTCTGTCGCCTTAGACAAGGACAAATTGCAAACAAATCCATCGGAGAGTACACAATCACCCTAGTAGATGAAATGATGTCAAACTGACTTGCCCATTGACATGGCTACCGTTTGAGGTCAGTATTTCAATGTTCTCCCTGTTTTCGTGTCATCCTGACTCTGAGTCCAAACAATCTGATATGGTTGTTGGTCTTGTATCATGTTGTTCGACTCTTGTGTGTTAGTTGTATTGTGTTTGAGTCATCTAAGTATTTTGAACATCACCACATTACGTTGGATTTTCACCAGGCCACTACTTCAACCTCTTGATGATTTGATGGCAATCGCATTGGTCCTCTGTAGTTCACAGATACTTTATAGAGCCGTATGCTGCACGTTTCTCGAGAACATGCGGCAGCCTTTCGAGTACAACGTCAGCGTCGTCCTAATCGAATGTTGAATGCACATTAACTTGCTTTTCTAGCTGGGAAAATCGGCACTTGATGATGAACGACTTGTTGGCATCGTACGGGTTATCGTGATGATGTGTTCATCTGCATAGGATTCATTATTTTGACGTTGGAAGTGCGAATATCTTTCGGTTTCAGGAGGTACAGGCAGCAAGAAATCGACGATAGCCAGGAACTCGACAGCTTCTGGATCTACCAATCATGAAATTATGTAGAGTATCGACGTTTGCTGGTATGATTTGATTGTTCTGTCAGCTGCGAGATTGAAAATCCGTTGTTTGCTGTTCTTCCTTTCTGATGTATCGATTGCATAGACGAGAAGAAGAGTAGTGATACTGGGCGAAAAGGAGTGGCAAGCCCCATCAGGTCGCGACGAGCGCACGAAGGGCCTTTTCGAGCTCGCCCCCACTTTCTAAGAGCGCCTTCTCGGCGTGTGATCTAGGAATGCCTAGTTCATTTACCTGCAAAAGTCTTGTGAATAAGTTATGCATCAGATGGAGATTTTAACACGTACGATAAGATCGAGGTCCTCTCGTCTCAGGACAACAGCATCTTTGGAGGACTTGGTAGATTTGAGCGCCATAACTTGCCGCAAGCTCTCTTCGAGCTTAGTTTTGGAGTATTGGTAGCCATCGCTAAACTAATAAGATGGGCGTGAGTGTGACCATGGGGATATGAGAACAGTCACTGACAGTCGCGAGGACTTCTGCCTCTCCCCGTCCGTTATTCATGTGGTATTGCTGTAAAGGAGTATCGGAGTATGCCGACGCACGTTATTCATGTCCATCGAACTGGAATGGCAAAAGCTGAACTCATCACTAGCGACCACCCTCGTTGACATCCTCAACAGACAATTAACGACAACTCAAAGACCATCATTCATCGGTCCTGTTGAAATCTCCTCGCTCGACTTTGGTACTGTCCCTCCAGACGTCGAGCTCGTCGACCTTCGTGATATATACCGCGATTTCCTCGAAGATTCTGACTCGGAATCCAATTCTGAACCAGATCATGACAATGCGAAAGTAACGGAAGGCCCAGGGGATGATGAGGATGGATTTGAGTGGGTGTCAAGGAAGGGGGCACGCCGGGGGATCGCGGAGGAAGGCCTGGCGTATCATCATCTGCCACCGCATATACGCTACGGGCACAGTCCATCTGTGGATTTGTTTGCGTCCACGCCAGCATTACATACCGGTTCACCGAGAGATGTATGGGGCGGGGGTGCTATGCATGTGAGCATGCCTAGCTTGGGCGAATTTAGGCCGATGACGAGCAACATGTCGATACCATCGTTTGATCCTGGATCGGTATGTGATTCAATACAGCGCGCGTGTACGACGCCAGATAAGTCTTCTCCTTCTCCACCAAATCCTCCAGCTTCACGCCCGGAGCCAGAGCAAGCTCCAACCTCTCCGCCTGATAATCCAAATCTTCAGCTTCATCTGTACCTTAATTGGCACTCCAATCTACGGCTTACGCTCACGACATCCTTATTGATCAACTACCCTTCCCCGTCATTCATGTCCCTTCCGATCAAGCTCTCAGTGACAGGGTTGGTGTTCACGGGAGAGGTAGCTGTCGCATACGAGGGTTCGCGTGGCCGAGTCCACTTGTGCATACTTGACGAATTGGATCCCTACGGCCCCGCGTGTAAACGCCCACGAAGCCAAACCAGTACCCCTCCTGAAATGGATGAGGACAACGGAAAACGCGACGGAAAACCTTTGCCAATCGGCCAACGCCTCCTCCCGTCTATCTTGATCGAGAGCGAGATTGGTCAGGCAGACAAACATGTTCTTAAGAACGTTACGCGGGTCGAAAGGTTCATTCAAGATGTCATACGGAATACAGTGGAAGAGGAACTCGTTTTTCCGAATTTTCATACAATGATCATCGGCGACCAAGGACGCTCGTGAAAACGATAATGTAATGTACAACCATAGTGTAACTGTACATGTTATAGTAGTGATTTGCTCATGTAAGGACCATCGAGCTCGTAGCCAAGTTTGCGATAATAATCTCGAGTACCGACACCTGCGGGGAAGATGTGAGTGTAAGCTTCCTCTTGTAAGTGGAAAGTCGGACCTGATATGACGGCGAGCTTCACACTCTCATGTTCCTCCCGTGCTATTCGTTCTGCTTCTTCCATTAGCAGTGTCCCAAACCCCTGATGTTGGAACTTCGTTGGGTCGCGCCCGTGTACTGGAACGGCAGTGCCATAGACATGGAGCTCACGGACAATACTTGATCCTCCCGCTGCGCCTTCCTTGCGCACGAGCTCAGGCCGAAAGGTGCCTTCTTCGGAACACTTTCGTAGACGAAGAAGACCAATCAAGATGTCTTGCTCTGGGTCCTCGTAAGAAAGGAAGGTCTCCCATCCACCATTGGCCGCATAATCTCGTCTGAGAAGCTCGACAGACTCCGGTCGTACTTTGTGGTGTATTTCGTGTATCTGTATGAACATCAATTTCTGAGTTAGATATTTCATGACGCTACACGCACGCCAACTTCGCGATATCGCACATCCCTGCATTCTGCGCCGAAATCTTTCATTCGGTTGAGAGCCAACTCTCTAAGATTGCCCGAATTTTCACAGCCGCTTGTAACCAACGGTAATGGAATATCTCTATGGGAAACAATTCTGTTAGAACCCTGTTGTTTCACGTCGATTTCACAAGACTGACCTTTGTACACGATATACTCGCGTCCATGGAGGTACAAGCGCCAATATCCGAGCAACTACATCCACCAAGACATTCGGTGTGTAATTCTTGTACTTGCCCGTCCGCCAAAGCTCATACAAGCCTGTCCCTCGAATGACCAGAGTAGGATATATCTTCAATCCATCACTTCTGAATGCCGGATTCTCAAAATACTCCTTGAACTGCTCAAGATCGCGCTCCAGCCCCACATTTGGGAGATCAGGCATCATGTGTGCGACAACTTTGAACCCTGCATCTTTTGCCATGTGGAAGGACTCGGAGACTGCACGTACGGTATGTCCACGATTTGTGTCTCGGGCAACGTCCTCGTATACTGATTGGACGCCGATTTCGAGGCGCGTGCATCCGTAGCGGAGCATCTGCGATAGATGAGGCCTCAAGCAGTAGTCTGGTCGCGTCTCTATGGTTACCCCAATTGCCTTTGACTTGCTCTGTTCCGAGTATCTATACGAGGCATAATCGTGCGGTTCGGAAATAAAATAGAACAGTATTTACCGTACCGCTTCATCGACATCGGTGCCCGTGAAGCCAGATAAAGCGTTATGCAGCTGTGCGACGAATTTTGCGCGGTAGTCTTCTGGCATGCTCATGAACGTACCGCCCATGATAATGAATTCGACCTTGTCGACGCTATGACCGAGGGCTTTTAGCTGTTCGACACGACCTCGCGTCTGCTCGTAAGGGTCGTAGCGCGCACGAATGGCACGCATGCTCGTTGGTTCATACCCAGTATAACTTTGCGTGCTGTAATCAAAATCAGAATCCGGCCCACCCGGGCAGTATCTGTCACAGGGATGAGGAACCAAGATAGAGACAAGAAAGTGGAACGTACACGCATATGTTCCCTGTCATAGCAATATGAGGACATCGGTGTGGTTTGCACATCACTGCTACCACAGCGATCTATGAGGAACCATCAGTTCTAACGGGTCTTGTGGTAAATAGAAGCGAAAAAAACCACATACACCACTGGCTGTTCTTATAGGCCTTGCACGAAGTTTAGGCAAGAGAGCCTTTTTATATTCGTCCGGTATGGCGCTGATGATATCTACCAGCCTCGGCACGCCCCCGAAGCCATATTTCTTGGAGATCTTTGCGCGGAGTTCGTTCAGTGAGACTGTTTGGTTGGAATCGTGTGCTTTGATTAGTTCTGCGGCAATTCCTGAGGTTACACGAAGGAGGATCTCGGCCTGGGAGGGACCTTGGTAAGATTGTGAGTTGATGGATGAAAGTGAATGTGCCACGGTGATGGGTTTACCTTCGGTTTTTGACCCTTGAACCATTTATAGGCTATTGGTTTGGTTGCCAAAATTATGCGTGTCTGTTCCTCTCTGTGAGTTTGCTTGGTTGGCGCGCTGCCCGATCTTGAAGAATAGTCCGTGAATGTGCACTCGCTGGTACACTGTAGGAATTGCCGATGTGACTTATTATCTCGGGTCACGCCCTGTCACGCACTATTCCGTTATCACGCTTTGACGAATTTAGACTTGCCGATGCTAAGTTATGTTTCGACGATGTCGCTTTTCACGACTGCAGAAGTCACAGATCCGCTCTTATTATGACTCCAGGACACATGTCCCAAGAAAAGGCGACAAGGGTGAGCTAAATCATCCTGCACTCACAACAATAAATTCCCCATTGATTTCACACCCAGTTGTCGTTGCAATGTCCGGAGGAGTGGATTCCTCAGTCACCGCAAAATTGCTATCGGACAAAGTAGGCATCATATGCCGTATTGCTACAACTCACAGATTTTTGTACCTACAGGATTATGACCTATCAGCAGTCTTCATGCGCAATTGGGACACACGCGACGAGTCTGGTTCAGATCATGGATGTGAGTGGGAGAAGGACTGGGAAGATGTCAGACGCGTGTGCAGGGTGCTCGACATACCTTGCAAAATGGTACGTTTTATAAATTTACTTTTGCAAGCTTTTAAGCTTTCCTACTCAAAGGTGGATCTCTCTCGTGAGTACTGGACGCGGGTGTTCGAACCCTCCTTGAAGTCCTGGGAGAGCGGTATCACGCCCAATCCTGATGTATGGTGTAATAAGTGAGTTGTTTTATTATGTTCGTGTATTTTATTTTTGATGTCAGGTCAGAGAGGTCAAATTCGGCGTATTGCTGGACCGCCTTACCGAGGATCCTGGGCTTTCAAATACTCCATGGCTTGCAACTGGTACCCTATCCTTCTCCCTTCATGCTCAGTTCAGCTCATTGCCTGCTGTGCGTGCAGGCCATTACGCAAATAAAGATTGGAAATACCATAACGGCGTTCCGCGACCAAGACTTCTTCGTCCTTGCGACGTTACAAAGGACCAGACATATTATCTATCTTCTGTGCCCGAATATAGCCTTTCCCGTGCTCTTTTTCCTCTAGGATCCATAAAGAAGACAGAAGTGAGGGAGCTTGCCGCGAGGTGGAACTTACCAACGGCGGCCAGGCAGGAAAGCATGGGCATATGTTTTGTGGGGGAGAAACGCAAATTTCATGACTTCATATGTGAGCTCAGGTTTCGTGCGTGACATCATCCGCTGAACCTTCTAGTTCAGCCCAGTATATACCACCTAAACCTGGACCGATCATCGATCTGGAAACAGGACTCCAGGTGGGCGAACATGCAGGGCCATGGAATTTCACTATCGGCCAGGGTGCTAAAGTTCGGGGTCTCAAAGAGAAGACGTTTGTTGTGAAGAAAGACATCCTAAAGAATATAATATATGTCGTACCTGGAACGTCAGTATGATCATATCCCTTTAAGAATCGCATATGATCGTTGATTTTCAGGGATCATCCAGCGTTATATGCACGATCTCTGACCATTCGCAAATGGACGTGGATATGGGCTGATAGCCCACCGATAGAGCTCATGAACCCTGGCGGTCTCAAAGCGCGTATGAAATTCCGACATGTGATGTCTGACATAGGCTGCTCAGTGTACTCGTGAGTTCAGCTGTTGTTTCATCATTCACAAAAATTGAATTGTCTAAGTGATAATGATTGTATTCGCATCGATTTCAATGAGCCACAGAAGGCCGTTGCACCCGGACAAGTTGCAACGATTTACATTGAAGACTGGTGTTTAGGATGTGGTACAATCGGGGAAGTAGCATAGGGCCAATACTTCGGATATGTCATGAAACGACGAGTTCCACAGGTAATGATGTCCGTACCTGACGTTGGTGAAGAATTTCACCTTTGGTCTAGCTCAGGACATTGCAATAAGGCTTTTCGTGGATCACTGTCACCCGGATATCTGCATGAACCATCTGCGGCTGTTATTTCCAACGTTCTCCTCTCATACATGGTCAATCTGTCTTGTACTCGGGCACGGCAATGATGCCAGATAGTCATCATTTTACACTTTACTTGGCGTAACTTCCCTCCTGAAAGTATCGTCCCATTTTTTCTTAATTTAGTCTTTTGGGGTCGTAGACCCTATATGTTGGACATGTTTCGTCATATGCTTTCCCCGTATGAGCATCTCACTATTGTGTGATTTGGACACGTACACATCATCAGACTACTACTACTCCTTAACTTTATACAATCCGTTCACGTTTACTATCATAAATTCCAGTATGAGAACTACGTTTGCTATTGTCTTTTACTCTTCGTCTCTTGCAAACAGCGTTCTATTGAATCCGTGCACAGTACGACTCTCGGGAGCGTCAGTCCTTGTTTTGCGTAAGCACTAGCAGGGGAAAGTGTTCGCGATTTACGGTCTAATGAAAACGGTGTCTCTGCGATACCAGTATGAGGAATTACAATTTCAATGTCTGGTCATTGATATCGATAACGGGGTGACAGAAACTGCGCAGTCGGACCTTACTCGGTTCTTTCGGGTTTCTCCACAACCAGACTCGAGCGGTATCCTCGCCTTCTACCTTCAAGTTTATCTTCTCCTCGTCACATTTTTAATTAACTTATCTCTTTCTCGCATTTTTAGCATCATGACTTTCCGTACGCTCTATGCTGACCGGTGTGCCGCTGGTTGACATTTCGTCATCGTTTCAAATTCAACCCACCGTTTAAGCTAAACAACATAGCCCGACCGGCGGAATTCCATTTAGGTTACCGAAGCCAAGCTTACTGTCCTGGTTATACAGCGAAAACGAGAGATCCGTGATCTCTGAACTATTCTTTCTGCCTCATAGTCGGCATCTCAAAAGGGAACTCGAGCACCTCATTTTTCCCAACGGCGACAATAATGACGATAATCATCATACTCAAGCTGCCGCATCAAGAACAAGTACGGTGCTTCAAGTTTTCTGTCTGGCATCTCGCGCGGCCCATATAACCAACGGAGAAAATGTTTTAAGTTCTTCGAGATTTCTCTGAGCTGGCCAAACTGGGATTTTCGACATCAATACAGGTATGTTTTCAATTGGGTCATCAGCGTTATTTTAACATATTTAAGAACCAATACTACATGGAAAGGTTCGGGCAGCCAACTTGGGCTCTATCCAGCGAGTATTGGGACAAGGAAATTCTATGACAAGGTGTGGACTCGAACTGTCGTTCAACCGACAGCCGGTTAGGGTCTACGTAAGTAATTCACGAGTGGACGTAAGGTCGAGTCAACATTGATCAAGCAGCCCTTAAGGCACGGTACTAGGACCTGAACTTGAGCATGTATGTCTACCGAATAAATTATGCTGTAAAGCTCATAGATCAGATCTCAGACCCTTACCAAAGGTGTTAGCCAACCTGGGCAACAAAACTGAAGTTCGATCCCATGGGCTCGTTCACAGGTCTAAGTATCAGGCCTATGGTATACCCATGAAATAGCTCACGTGAAGATCCTGTCCCGGATCACCGAATTCCATAAAGTTTGCTTGTGTATCGAGGATTAGGCCGAGGATGTCGTATTTCTTCCCATGCCAAGGTTTAACTGGCACAGCATGGCCAATGCTTAGCCTATCCGCGTAAGTAATTTACGGGAGGACAGCAGTCGACGTTGACAACGACCTTTTAGAATTGATCAGGCCTGAGCGCTTGAGCACCGCAACTCAAGATTTCACCTTGACATTTTTCAATCATCTCTATATATATCTGGTGTTCTGTTCGGTACAGAAGTTTTATTACTTCACGGTGCATTTGCTATAAAGTATGAAACTCCACTGACCTTTCTGACATATCAAGCCATGCTTGCCATCGCTCTGCTGCTTGCTCTGCCATTCTGCACCGCAAAGTCGGCATTCAGTTACGCAGGATCGACCGTTGTTGATTCTTATCCTCCTCCCGGTGCCACCAACACTGCTGTTGACACTTACTTCCCGGATGCATCTCAAGTCGGTTATGCAGGTCCAACGGCTAGTCAGTGATATTGTCGATTGTATTTCCTATATTCTAATATAGGAGACAAAACTCAGCCGGTGCTGAACCTGCGGCCATCGTCACTGCTGTGCCGTTCTCCAAGGTCGAAGGCATGTATCCCTTGTCGATGCCCCATTCGGCAGACGGCGCAGACACCACTTTCGATGTGACGCGTCACTGGGGCAACTTTGCGCCCATGTATTCTGTGGATTCATTTGGTCTTCCTGATGCATCCCCCGTCATCCCAGAAGGGTGTGGCATCAATGCAGTACATCTCTTGATGCGCCACGGTGCTCGCTATCCGGCCTCCGACGAGCCCGGACCCTCTCATTTCGCTTCTGAAGTTCATGCTGCTGCATCGAAAAAGGGCTTCAGTGTTACCGGTGATTTGGAATTCTTGGCAACCTGGACATATAAATTGGGCGCAAATAACTTGACCCCTTTCGGCCGTGAATCGCTGTACGTTTACTCTCCTTTACGATACTTCTGCTGACGCTCCCCACCATCAGGTTTAGCAACGGGGTTGCCTTCCGATACAGATATGGCGAGTTGCTTAATGCTTTCACGGACCTCCCGGTATTCCGTACTACTTCACAAGGTTCGCCTGCATCACACGTTTGTTTCACAATATCCTCTGATGGTTTGGTTATGTCATAGATCGCATGTTGGATTCTGCGTGAGCAATTCATTTAGATTTCCGCGTGCGCTGTACCTGATAATGCTATCCGTCACCAGCCTGAACTTCGCTGCAGGCTTTTTTGAGATCAGAACTTACGAGACTGACTATCATCAAGAGATTATCATCGAGAAGGAAAATTTTAACAACACCCTTGCTCCTTATCAAGTGTGCCCCAACGCTGATTCGGATGATATCGGTAGCTTCGGTGACGCTCAGACCAGTAAATGGGCGGATATTTATCTCCAGAATGCTCGAAGGCGCTTGCAACCAATGGTTCAAGGACTTAACTTGACCATTTCACTATTAATTGAAATGCAGGAACTGTGCGCCTTTGAGGTAGTCTCATCCTTCATGCGATCTTTGTGGATTTCTGACATCCTGCAGACCGTGGCCCTCGGATATTCCAAATTTTGTGACCTGTTCACTGAAGAAGAATGGGAAGGATACGAGTATTACGTTGGTATGTTCCCTCAAATGATCTTTGCTGAGCTCGGCGGTGAACTTCATTCTTAGATCTCGGTGAGCACATGGAGTGGTAAACTCGCAACCTGAGTGACTAATGAGTTGATTGCGAACGAAGATTTCTGGTACAGCTGTGGACCAGGCAATCCAACAGCAGCAGCGCAGGGTCTTGGCTATGTTCAAGAACTAGTGTCGCGTCTGACTCACACTCCCATCAATGTCTGGAACAGCAGCACCAACAGCACTCTTGATTCGAGCAACATTACGTTCCCCCTCAATCAACCTATATACGTAGATTTCAGCCACGACGTAGTCCTTGCAAGCGGTATGTTGCCGCTTCCTTTCCAATACAAGATCACTGACGGAAGGGCTCAGTCGCCACTGCTCTGAACTTTACCAGTCTAGCTGCAAGTGGTCCTCTGCCAAGCGATCACATACCCCCTCACCGTGTACGCAGTCTCATAGACCACCGCTTGTCTGTATTACTGACCAGTCACACCAGTCTTACGTTTCTAGCCAGATTGCACCGTTTTCCGGCCAGCTTGTAGCTCAGGTGCTGAGTTGTCCCGCTTCAGAGGAACCAACCCATATCCGGTTCCTTCTGAACGATGGTGTAGTGCCACTGACGGGTATTCATGGCTGCACTGAAGATTCAAATGGTCTCTGCGCGCTACCGAGCTTCATCAGCGGGATGCATGAACGAATTGGGCAGATCGACTTTGCGCATGATTGCTTCGCCAATTATACCATGCCCGATCCCGACAACATCATCGATGGAAGATGTCCTAGTTAAAAGGATGGTGGAGTGTGTCGTATAATCCCACAAGTTGCCACCTTTTGGAGAGTTTTAATGATGTCAGAAACAGGTAAACGACGCGCATTTCGTACTCGGCGGGCAGGTTTCGTTGATACGTATGATGACTCAAACAATATATCAGAGCGTGTGCCTTGCACTACTAGCTACCTTTAATCACTCCTTTATCGTTTATACCAAACTGTCGTCATAAAAACAAATTGATCGGTGATCGATTTGAGTCCGAACATGCGATATAAATGCGTGACGTGAACCTTCTTAGAAGATCCTAAACCCGGACCGATCATCAATTTGGAAACAAGTGGGCAAACATTCGGATTCGCATCGATTTCAATGTCGTGCAACGGTTTACATTGAAGACCTAGTATTTAGAATATTAATCGTGGAAGTAGCTTAGGTCCGCGTTCTACTTCAGACAGTTCAACAGGTAATCAAGTCCGTACCTGGCTTTGGTAGATTTCATCTTCGGTCTAGCTCGGAACATTGTCGCGATAAAGTCACTCTGGCCCTATGTTTCGTTATATGCTTTTCCCCGTATGAATATGCTTGGTATCACTAAATTGTGTCTGTATGATCCGGACACGTACAGCATCACCCAATTTGACTCATCAGCGCATGACTACTCGGAAGATCGTTTGTCTTGGGATGTGCAGTCTCTGTAAAGTTACTCTGAAGGGCGTCTCGCAAGTGTCTCGTCAATGTAATAATCAGTATCGTTATGAAACGTTGTCGGCATCGATGCGACGGGAATTTGAGAAGTTCTGCCAATGCACCAGCCACAGTTGTGCCGGCACTCGGTCAAAACTCGCGCCAATGTAGTTTTGCCCGCCCCGGCGAACTCGGATAATAAATAAATTATGCTGTAAAGCTCACCCTTACCAAAGGCTTTGGCCGACCTGGACAACAGAGCTGAAGTCCGGTGCGACGGGCTCGTTCACAGGTTGGCCCATCAGACCTATGAAATAGCTCATGTGAAGATTCTGTCCCAGGTCATCAAGTTAGCTTGCTACTAGTATTGAGGATAATCTGCGAGAAGGTGTCTCCCATGCCAAGGTCGAGCGTTCAAACGGCACAGTGGTGGCCAGATTAGGAAAGGCTTAGGGTCCGCACAAGCAATTGACAGAAGGACAGCCGCTGTATTACAGGTAAAGTCGACTTTCACTGTTTCACAACAACTGCGTCTTGGAATTGATCAGGCCCAGGCTTGTTACATGTAAATAATTCAACTCGGACCTCTCGACATTTCAATCATATCCATATATATCGGGTGTTCTGTTCGGTATAGAAGTTTTATTACTTCACGTACATTTGCTATAAAGTATGAAACTCCACTGACCTCTCTGACATACCAAGCTATGCTTGCCATCGTTCTGCTGCTCGCTCTGCCATTCTGCACCGCAGAGTCGGCATCCAGCTACGCAGGATCGACCGTCGTCGATTCTTATCCTCCTCCCGGTGCCACCAACACTGCTGTCAACACTTACTTCCCGGATGCATCTCAAGTCGGTTATGCAGGTCCAACGGCTAGTCAGTGATAATGTTGATCGTATTTCTTGTGTTCTAATAAAAACATCTAGCCGGTGCTGAACCTGCAGCCATCGTCACTGCCGTGCCGTTCTCCAAGGTCGAAGGCGTATATCCCTTGTCGAGGCCCAATTCGGCAGACGGCGCAGACACCACTTTCAATGTGACGCGTCACTGGGGAAACTTGTCGCCCATGTACTCCGTGGATTCATTTGGTCTTCCTGATGCATCCCCCGTCATCCCAGAAGGGTGTGGCATCAATGCGGTACATCTCTTGATGCGCCACGGCGCCCGCTATCCAGGCGCCGGCGAGCCCGGATCTTCTCAATTTGCCTCTGCAATTCATGATGCTGCATCGCAAGAAGGCTTCAATGCCACTGGTGATTTGGAGTTTTTGGCAACCTGGACATATAACTTGGGCGAGGGTGAATTGACCCCTTTTGGCCGCCAATCAATGTACGTTCGCTCTCCTTTACGATACTTCCACTAGTACTGACGCTCCCCACCATCAGGTTTAGCAATGGGGTTGCCTTCCGCTACAGATATGGAGAGTTGCTTAATGCTTTCACGGACCTTCCGGTATTCCGTACTACTTCAGAAGGTTTGCCTGCATCGAACGTTCATTTCACAATACCCTCTGATGGTTTGCTTATGTCCTATAGATCGCATGGTGGATTCTATGTGAGCAATTCATTTATATTTCCGCGTGCGCTGAGCCTTATAATGCTATCCGTATAGCCTGAACTTTGCTGCAGGCTTTTTTGGGGTTAGAACTTACCAGACCGACTATCACCAGGAGATCATAATCGAGGCGAACGGCTTCAACAACACTCTCGCTCCTTTTGAGGTGTGCCCCAACGCTAATTCGCAGGATGTCGGGAATTTCGGTGACGGTCAGGCTAGTGAATGGGCGAATATTTATCTCCAAAATGCTCGAAGGCGCTTGCAACCAATGGTTCAAGGACTCAATTTGACCATCCCACTATTGATCGACATGCAGGCACTATGCGCATTTGAGGTAATCTCACCCTTCCCTTCATGCTCTATAGATTTCTGACATCCTGCAGACCGTGGCCCTCGGATATTCTAAATTTTGCGACCTTTTCACTGATGAAGAGTGGGAAGGATACGATTATTTCGTTGGTATGTTCCCTCAAATGATCTTTGCTGAGCTCGGTGGTGAACTCTATTTTCAGATCTCGGTGAGCACATCGAATAGTAAACTTGCAAGCCTGTATGACTAATGAGTTGATCAGTAAACGAAGATTTCTGGTACAGCAGTGGACCAGGCAATCCAACGGCAGCAGCGCAGGGTCTTGGCTATGTTCAGGAACTGGTGTCGCGTCTGACTCACACTCCCATCACTGTCTGGAACAGCAGCACCAACAGCACTCTCGACTCGAGCAATATTACATTCCCCCTTAATCAACCTATATACGTGGATTTTAGCCATGACGTAGTTCTTGCAAGCGGTATGTTGCCACTTCCTTTTCAATACAAGATCACTGATGGAAGGGCTCAGTCGCCACTGCTCTGAACTTTACCAGTCTAGCTGCGAGCGGTCCTCTGCCAACCGACCATATACCCCCTCATCGTGTATGCAGTCTCATAGACCACAGCTTATCTGTATTTCTGACCAGTCACACCAGTCTTACCGTTCTAGCCAGATTGCACCGTTTTCCGGCCAGCTTGTAACTCAGGTGCTGAGTTGCCCAGCTTCAGAGGAACCAACCCACATCCGGTTCCTTCTGAACGACGGTGTAGTGCCACTTACAGGCATTCACGGTTGCACGGAAGACTCAAACGGCCTCTGCGCGCTGCCGGGCTTCATCAGCGGGATGCATGAACGAATCGGGCAGATCGACTTTGCGCATGATTGCTTTACCAATTATACCATGCCCGATCCCGACAACATCATCGATGGAAGATACCCCAGTTAAAAGGATGATTGGAGCATTTGGTCGTATATACCCACAAGTTGCCACCTTTTGGAGAGTGTCAATGATGTCGGAAAAAGGTACACGACACGCATTTCGTACTCGACGGACAGGATTCGTTTTTGCGTATAATGTGCTGTGCGTTCGCGTTTATGTACTGCTGTGCAGAAGGTACCGATTGCAATGATATATCCTGACGACACGCGCATTGTAGACGAGAGTGAGTTTACCATGAATGTTTCTCTTTCCCTTGTCGGCCTTTGACGAGGCATTACTTGAGGGCATCTAGAAATCCACGACTTTACACGCCTCACGCATTACAGCGACTATGTACAGATGAGCCAGGTGATCTTAGCTGTACGTTGCGCCTTTTGGCATGTTGTCAGTCATTCAGTGCCAGTCCTACCAGCAGTGGTTTTGGACAGGACTTGGGTCATACGAAGTACTTCTTCCCCCGAGCCTCAAGGACAGTCGTGCATGCACCCAGAGCGCTCCACTATGTCGTCAACCAGCGCGTTCGAGCATGCACCGCCGTCAATGCCACTGACTCTGCTGGTATCGTGAAAAGCGCTGCGCGCACCCCCGGGCCCCTATTCGCTACAAGAGCATGGGTGCATGCCACGTCCGTGTTGCCAGCTTCTATCAGGTCCTCGAGATCGTACAGAGCTCGATGACGCCATCACATACGTCCTGGAGGAGCATGTCAGTTGAACAATGTCGATCCTTGATCCGAGGCGATAATTGCAAGCATGTTTGATGAACCTATGGGTCAGAGAAAGCGGCTTGAGAAGAGGAGAGGTTTAAAGTTCAACGTTCAATGATCAGGTCCTTCGATGTTTGAAAATCCGAACGTCCGGTCATACTATAGCCCGGTGGGTCTAAACTCCAATCAGTGTGGCATTGCCATTGCAAAGGCCTCGCAAAGAGCTCGTTACACACACTCTTCGATCTGCAGCTGGCGTTCTCTGTTCAGTTATGATCATAAGGGATGCTTGCACTGGACGCTCCAGTTATAATCCGCCGCCCGTCTGAAAATGCTCCAACGGTACAGTTCAAGCAGTTTGTATGCTTAATCTTACACGTATATAGGTCAGCCAGCATCTCTTGCTCCGTATCCGCATGGCGACCAAACATGTAATCGCGGGGTGAATTTGCTTGCAGTGGTCGGGAGAAGCTACGCAATGGAGTGAAGTTGCCACTTGCACGGCTGGCAGGAACAAAGATCTTGTTCTCCTTCAGCCTAACTCGGAGGTGCTATTTGCCACAGCCAAGCAGGATCAAACGATTGATTGTTACAACCATGTTATCACCTATTGCTACAAAAATGCGAATAAATACTTAGGTCAGTAAAATCAGACGTGGTCGGGAAGTACATCAAGAAAGACAGTAAAGGCGACTACAGCGCCTACTGAAGAAAACCTCTGAGAGAGGCGCTAAAGATGTTGCCAGATCACATGCGGCCCGGGGACACCACGTGTCTACAGCAAGCCCAATATGTGGGTTCAGTAATAGTCCGTATCTTACAGAAGATGCAACTAAACAACTACTCACCTGAGCGGATGTAAGTGATAACTGCTCCCTCAGTATTCCTGCTAACCGAGAACAAGATTCAATGGCGGTCACCACCCACAAAGCATCCCCAAAAGTGCCTTCCCAGCCTGCACGAAAGGAAATGCCTCATCTCGAACTGACGTTCAAGGGTCACGAAGAACGTGTACTTGACGTGGCTTTCATCGTCGGTACCCGTCTCCTCGTCACTGGCTCGGACGACAAGAGTCTTCGGTTGTGGGATCTGGATACGGGAAAACAAGTGGGAGAGCCCTTGTTGGGCCACGATGCCCCAGTCTGGAGAGTCGCAGCGTCCCCTGATGGACGTTGGATTGTGAGTGGAGGAGAGAATCGAAGCATCTTGGTCTGGGAAGTTGCGACAAACAAGAAAGAGTTTAAAAGAGTGCCTGTTTCGTTCAAGGGCCACGGGAATGGTGTTTCGAGCATTGTATTTGCAATGGACAGCCAGACATTTGCAAGTACATCATGGGACAAGACAGTATGCGTGTGGAAGAGGGAGACGGGAAAAATAGTGATCGGTCCACTCGATGTGGGCAGTTTTGCAAACTCGGTGTCATACTCCCCCGATGGGACAAAACTGGCAGCAGGCACCGATAAACACATCATCATATGGAATTCAGCAACTGGAAAAGAGTTGCTGAAAATAGAACAGCGGGCGTACAAAATCGCATTCACTCCAGATGGTCTCCGTCTCGTTAGTGGAGACTCCAATGACATCTGCACCGGAGACATCATCAAACAGTTCGACGCACACACCGAACCCATTTACTCACTAGCCATTGCTCCCAATGGCACCAAATTAGCCAGCACGTCATCTGACAACACGACACGCTTCTTTGACCTGACCACATTCGAACCCATCGGCGAGCCACTCGAACACCCTCACGAAGTCAATGATGTGGCATTTTCTGAGGACAGTCAACTCATCGCAACTGGCTGTGACGACAATCTCGTTCGCACATGGAAAGTTCCTCTAAGCGAATCAGAGAAGGAGCTTCAACAGGTGAGCAAATCCTCTCGTCTTGTCATACTTCACGCTGACCTGTCATATAGTCCACCGAGAAAATTCTCAAGGTATGCTTTCGCCTCCGTTGTTTTGTACAATCCCTGACTTCACCTCTGCAGAAAACCATCCCAAACCCACAGCCCCGCGCAAGATGCGCTCCAATACTGGCTAGGACATTCTTCGATGATGCAAGTCCATATGATACAGTACATTCGATGCGCGTCTCATCATCCTTTGACAGTTTGATCCACATTCTCCACCTGGACGCAACAATCGCGCTGCTACCACCACGCGCCGAGCTGAGGGATCCGGAATCAAGAACATGATGAATCGTCTCTTTTCTCGCTTCTCCGCTCCCCAGGGCCATGCTCCTCGCCCAAGCAGCATTCCCCTTGTGGACGTCTCCGCCACACGAGGCAAACATGTAAGTTTTCCTGACCTTTCGACATTCACATCGTAATGCTGATATTGTCTCGCAGCGCACCGCTAATGCCCACACTGCAAAAAGAGACAGGTTGCTGAAGTCACAACGTCCTCCTCGCAATATAACCTACACCTCACAAGCTGGAGCATCAAACAGCAACGCACCACCACCGGCGGGGACATCTCATGTAGTCGGTGGAACTGCCTCAGCAACCTTGCAAATCGAAAGTAGTACTGGACCTCCTGCCCCGCTAGACGTCGCACATGCTCCACACGCTAACTGCTTTGCGGTTCTCTCGAGGTTCTTCCCGTGTCTATCGCAATCCGCTTCACGTTCCCGCTAGGCGTCTCGTCCCTTCTGAATATTTTCGTTGGAGCAGATGTATTGAAAGATATGTATGCAATTTGATGATGTTCCCGGTAGACGACTACCATCATACGCAGCATTCTCTTTCAGTTCAACAGACATTAGTCATACCTGGATTGCTTCCGCTAACAGAGAAGATAATGATACGCAAGGCAACCTAGTGTATTAGCAAGGCATCTATAGACTGTCGCATACAAGGAACATAGTGCATTGCATATCCTGATTTCAGCATAAGCATAAAGTACTTAAAAGTCAAACACCGCTTAGGCGGCGAGCAGCACGCAGACAACTACGCAGACGTACGAATGTACCGTAGCATTTGCGCACGCGACGAGGAGACTGTCGTCGGCTCGCTCTGAAGAAAAGGGATAACCCGAAGATACCGACAGGCTGCCAAGATGCGACAAGAAGTGCAAGGGAGCCAGCCTAGCTGGTCGTGGCGTCACCAGCTACGAACCAGTCCCACATATACCAGCTCGCGCAGTCATCGAGTGCGCGCATAAGATTCGCGGCAGTAGAAGAACTCGCGCCATCTAGAATACTGTCACGCCCGATTGTGTCCCCGCATACTGGCTCTTTACATCGTCGAGGTCTGTCGTGCCGTCCTGACTCTTGTAATCATACCCGCTCATGCTGGCCATGTCAGATGCACCGGCAGCAGAGGAGAAGGAGCCACGCCTCTGTAAACGGTCCGACTGCGAGAACGCCATGGTAGAACCGCCGATGCTTGCGGTGCTCGGCGGTCCAGCATCCTGGGAGATAATAGAACTGGCGTAACTACCGTACGCGCTGCGCTTCCCGACACCCCCAGAGCCGCGGGGCATACCAGGACCAAATCCACCAGCCGCTGCGAACATGGGGAGCCCAGAAGAATAAGTGGCTTGCGAGCGTAGAGACTGCACGTCAGATGGAATATACCCAAGAGCATCATGGGTGCGGTAGAAACTAGTATCGAAGCGACTTGGTGTTCCAGATCTGCCTGCACCTCCAGTACTGGGGATATAATCCCGCGCGTTTGTCTCGTGACGACGGAACTGGTCCATAGACTTGACAAGGGAGCGACGAGGTTTGCTGAATTGGATCATGCTCGCCTGTAGGTTATTCAGCGGACCCTCGACAAGGGTGTTGTGTTCCTTGTAGTGCGTAAGAAGGTAGTGCCACAGCGGATGCTGTAAGATTCAGTCAGCGGACTGTAAGATCGGCCACCAAAGCGACTTGCCTTGCTAAGAACCTTTGGATTTCCAAGGATGACAACTCCATATTTAGCACGAGTCAAAGCCACATTCAAACGACGAGGATCGTTCAAGAAACCGATGCCCTGGTGTTCATTGCTTCTAACGCAGCTCAAAATGATGTAATCCTTCTCTCGTCCTTGGAAGGCGTCAACACTGGCCACCTCAATATCTTTATATAGCTCTTTCTTGAGGGACCCGTTGAACTGCATATAGTTGACGATGTAGGAACGTTGACCCTCGTAGGGTGTGACAACGCCAATTTGGTTAGGCACGACGCCCGACTTGAAGAACTTGGTCACGATCTTTTCAACGTTGGATGCTTCCGTCCTGGGATCAGTGATAAGCAACTACTAGTAGGATATGTGGACATAGGAAGTACCTATTGAGGAACGAAGTTCCACTGGAGGATATTTCCTCCTGACCAAGGTTCTGGTAGAAAAACATCGGGGTGTCCGGGGCGGGCCAAGGGAAATCGACATTCTTGCGGAGACGCTCGGGAGCAGTCACACCGTTCTGTAGCGTGCCTTCATAAAACATGTTCGAGGGGAATTCGGACAAACAAGGGTGCATGCGATACTGCACTTGCAGACGAATGGGTCTGTTACCGAGTACGACCAGACGTTCGAAGAGCGACTGTGTCAGACCAGCACGCGCCGCTTTCTTGTTCATAATAACCGGACCAAGTTGCTGATGATCACCGACGAGGACAACCTGCTTACACCCAAGCACAAGAGGGATCATACATTCTGGTTCAAGGTCAGTCATTTAGGGATTCATCAAAGAATATAAGATCCGCACCTGGCTCAGCAGCTTGCGTAGCTTCGTCAATCAACACCGTCCTGAACTTGAGTTTGTTGAGGCGAGGGTCACCAGCACCCACGCACGTGCAGCAGATAACATCCGCAGCACCCAAGATCTCCTTCTCGCACTGCCTGATTAGAGTCTTGTACTTCCTCTCATCGTTGGAGCTCAATTCTCCCTGTTCGTTCTTCAACATGATCAACTTCTGCAACTCCACGTGAGTTGTGTTATTTGCCACTTGTTGGTGTAGCGTCAAGAAGGCGACGCTAGAGTCTAGGGCTTCCCGGGATTTGGCAGTCAGACGCACAACCTTTAAACCAGTAGCGTGAATCTTTTCAGTGAGTTGGTCGACAGCCACGTTCGACGGCGCGCAGACGAGAACCTGACCAGGATTCATCTTGGCTAGATGATAGACGATTGAAGCAGAAGTCACGGTCTTTCCGGTACCAGGAGGGCCCTGGATCAAACTAATCGGCTTCTGTAGAACACTCTTGACCGCATACATTTGAGAGTGGTTGAGCTCGGGAAGACCTGGTGCAGAGAAACGCTTAGGCATCTGCGTGCGGAGAACCTGGGGAGCAAGATCGTGCCCAAGAAGCTTGTGATACTGACGAGGGGCTAAGCGACATCAATAGGATATAAAAGGATGAACGTACAATGTAGCCATTAACGCTCTTCTCATCGACTGCAAACGTCTTCATTGCCAACTGCATCCTATCAAAGCTGGTGGATTTCCAGACGAAATCTGCCGCAAAGTTATGGGTGCAATCCGTAGGTACACCTTCCGTCCGTCGCAATTCAAGTCCGATTTCGTCGGAAATGTCTATAAAAAAAAAAAGCATGAACGCAACACTTTGTCTCGTGACATAAAGCTTACTGTTCGGAATCTTAATGACGTGTCCCACCCCGTCCCAAGCCTTGTGTAGTTCGCCCTGATACCTCAACCGCAATTCATCACCCACCGCAAGTCTGACTTCACCGCTCTCAAGCTTGGGCAAGCAAAACCACGCAACTCTCTTCTGGTTCAGACCAACATCCCATCGAACAGTGATATCAGTCTGAGTCTGACTCTCCTTCAGGCGTTTATCATAATCAGCCTCGATCTTGACAAGGGGTCCGAAAATATTCTGATACTGGTATGCGTCCTCATAGTGGAGAAGGATAGGCTGCGGCTCGTCGTCGACACCAGGCTTCTCGAGGTCCTCCAAGGTGGCGTTGGCGTTCTCACGCCAGAGATCTTCCAAGCGGTTAATCTGGTTGAATGATATCTGACGAGATCGAAGTTGTTCGGTTTCGGTTGGAGGCTTCACGAGCCACGAAAGGAAAGACCTGTCGTCGATCAATGGTGCCCATAGGGAAGCGTTCCAAGACATGTCCTTGCTGACCGTCGCACAGGGCTGGCTGTATATACCATGAATACGAGTCTCGGTGTTAACCTGACAGACTTACCGACACAAAAGGATGACGACAGTATCGCTCTTTGCAGGGATAAATCCCAGCATGAACACGTTCTTGCTACCACAATTATAACATTCTGGGGTGGTTTCCCCGAGGGGGCTCTCGGCATGCAAAATAACTTCTTTATGCTTTGCACGCACTAGATGGTTCACGATATGTGAGGCGGAAGTGTTGCCACGCGAGTTACAGAACCATTTAGAGCACACAAGGCACTTCACGACAGAGGCTGGCGAGTGGATTCCGCAATAGCTGATCGGAACCGATACGGATTGAGTCACGTTCCACCCACGAATGATATGTATGAAACTTACCTGCAGGCATGAGGGAGATCCATAGTACCCTCGTCTTTGAGGTCATCAAGAACAGCATAAAAATCTTCATCTACACCAGTTCTCGGTGTGTGATGGTGGTGCCCTTCGTGTCCATTGTTGTATGAAGATGTTTGGGAACGATCGTCTACAATGGAGAGGCTTTCTAGATCGACTGGCGTTCCAGTGTTCGTAGTTGCAGTATAGACAGAGGAATTATCGTCTACGACACTGATAGCGCCGCCATACGATGAAGCAGAATCTGTATATTGAAAGTTGTCGAAGCTGTCCATGATGGTTTGCAGTAAACGGTTCCTTACGGCTTGCCACGGCACCTCCTCGGCCTCATTAAAGGAATCCCACGGCTCGGATCCACAAACAGGAAAAACACGAAACAGAAGATGCTTAGCAAGTCCTTCGAATACATACAACACAGGATGAATTTTAATTCCATTGCGACTGCTACAAATGTTTGAATACTGCAAATGACAATGATCCAAGTCCCCATCCATACGGACGTCAAGATGCCACAAAATATGTACCGCTAGCCATAATGGAAACAACCAGATAAAAAAAAGAATGAACGACTTTGGTTTAGGATGCATTACATACAATTAACGCCTTTGCTTCTGGCGTATTCTGGGACGCGTGGGCGTCTCATTGACGGGTGGTAGGCGTGAGGGGATACCGTCCACAGGGTGCGAGATCGCTCTGCTAGAAGGTTCGCCAAGAACTGGGCGATTGCGTTGATGGCCGGAGGGTTTGGAAGGGGGCGCCCACTTTGATGCCCTGATGCCTTCTACTCGCTCCATTGGCACATCCTCGACTTCGACAGCTAGCGGATGACTGCTGTCGCGTGCACACTCCCGAGGTTCCTCGGGCTCTGCAGACTCCTCAGAAGCTTCAACTTCCAGGTCCTGGTCCATGGCGTCTACGTCCGCTTGTTCTATTTCTTCCCCCTCGTCTTCCTCCTCAGTGTCATCATCATAGAAACCACTTGGAGGCTCTCCAATCCATTCGTCCTCATCAGTGCCGAAGTCCCACACATCAAGCACTGTGGCAGGATTTCGATTGCTGGCAGCGACACACCAGCGACCCTCGAAGACTACCTGCCAAACACCCTGGATGCCTGTCAGGAGATCACGGACAACGGTACCATCGCGCACGTTCCACATCTTGAGCGTACCATCTGACCCGCTGAGCACCTTGAACTCGTCGTGTTGGAAGCACGTGATAGCGCCCGTATGGGCAGCAAGAGTGTGACGCAGTTCTCCAGATTCCGGATCCCATATACGCAAAGTAGAGTCGGCAGCGGCGGAAACGAGGTGGGAAGGGGAGAGGCCAAGTAGGCCAACAAGGGATGTGTGCCCAGTCAATGTATGTTGGCACTGCCCCGTTCGCAAGTTCCACACACGAACAGTGCCATCCATGGACCCCGAACAGGCGATCTGACGGTAGATATCGAGTACAACACTATACACTGGGATGGGGCTTTAGTAACGAGTTTCGAGTCAACAGTGATACAAACCTTTCTGCGTATGGCCCACAAGCACCCATTTACATTCGCCAGTGACAATGTCCCATATTCTTACAGTACAGTCATAGCTGCCAGATACAAGGGTGCGGCCACGGGCGGCGAGAGCACGAACTGCATGGTCGTGACCCTCTAGATGCATCTTATGATATGGATTATCATCTGCGTCCTCCTGCAAATCAAAGATATGAGATCAAAATGCAGAACGCCTTTTACGAATCTTACATCAGCTGGGTCAGCCTCAGAGTCATCTGCACCATAGCATCTGTACTCAGGATCACCGGGGCGAGGCAAAGACCACACACGAAGGGAGTGATCACGACTGCCGGTCACGATCACCGACCGCTTTGGCCACTTTTCCTTCGTGATGACACCACTCTCGCCCTCGATTTCGATCCACTCTGGCTTGACGATAGCCAGGCATCGGACAGTGCTCGTATGGCCGCCAAATATATGCGTACACCGACCGGTTGCAAGATTCCAAATTCGGACTGTGCGGTCAGTCGACCCGCTGACGAGCGTGTCTTTGCAGGCGGCAAGCGCCCATACGCCACCTTCATGGCCATCCAACGTTTGCAGGAGTTCACCTGTCAAAGGGGAGTACACATGAATTGAGTGATCATCGGACGCAGATATTATGCGTCCGTGTGAAAGAAGAAGACAAGTGACGACAGAGGAGCCATGTGCGGGGAAGGATCGATGTTTCGGGTTCTCATTGTCCACCCATCGAGTTCGGGTGAGCTGTCGGGATTTGAAGAGTATCTTATATGGATGAGATAGAGGAAGAGTTTGGGGAGTAGGGGGGATATTGAGGCGACGTCTAGCGAAGATTGAATGCGCAAATGCTCGTTCTGTAACGCCCCCGAACCATATCTTGGT